TTATATTTCACACTTTTCCATCTCTTAAGACAATGGCTTTACATGGCATATTTCACAGACAGGAAAACGATTTTTTGGCACCAAAGAAATATGTGCAGTATTTAGAGGTCACTGAATATACAACTAAATTATATTTCCGTTCGGGGTGGTATTAGAATGGCACCACATAGCAGAGCAGGTTTAGTTCAGGAAATGAAGGATACTTTATGTAATCAAATCTGCAAGGGAGATTTGGCAAGAAGGATGCATACAGACAAACTACTGCTGAGTCTGCCCATGGCATTAAAAACATTAATTTTTAAGTTGTGGGGGATCACTAAAGATCTTCAGGAGAGGAAAAGGGCATATAACCTCCATTTCTTTAAATCAGAGCCAATACTAGCAGAGACACTGACCCTAATACTCAGTCAAAGCATCAGTGCACTATTTATGACTAGGAGTTAGTGCTGCTGTCTTTGTGGTCTTATGGCTACTTATTATACATGCAGGGGTCAGTACTGCAGGTACTGTAAGGTCCAGACAGTCTCATTTAATGTATTTGTTAGGGAAAGGCAGTGAAGGCATGTTATTGCTTTGGAGACCTGAGCGGTCCCAGCAGGGGCCCTGCTCCTAGCAGGAGGCCCTTTTTGGGCTGAAGTACACTGGTTACTTTGCACACGTGAACAACCATCCAGACACCTAAAATCACATTTTAATGTGTTCTATCATCAGAATGTCTTCCTCAGGGAAGACCATTCCTCCCACTCCTTCCAAACCCATATTTTCTGTCAATCAGCTTAATTATACTCAAACCTCAGTTTCAAAGTCTCACTCTCTAAAGCTCAAGATATCATGTTATCTGGGTAATTCCAACAAAACACACCATTTAAAACCAAAGGTTAGTCCTACAGAAACATCTGTCTCCTGTTTCCCAAGACTGGGGACCATTATCCACATCAGACCAGTCTTTGCCAGCTCACACAGAGCATTCCTAGTCCTACACTGGCCACGTGTTTTATTTCTGCATTGCAAAGAGGAACAGCACAAATGAATGCTGTGCGCTACCCTTGCAGTCCTAGGAGGGTGAGAATGGATGTGCTAGTCCTCTGACCTTCCTCACTTCTTCCAGACAGGAGAGTGAAAGGGTTGTCTTTGGGGCTGCAGGAGAAAACTGTACCTGGAACCTCCTCAGATAGCTGGCATTGCTCTGAAAGGCTGTCAGGAAAGATTTGGCAGCCTCCACCCTTGGAGGTTTTCCAGATCCAAATAGACAGAGCACTGAGTAACCTAGTCTGATCTCAGCGCTGACCCTGCTTGGGGAGAGATTGGACTAGAGATCCCCTGGGTCTCTTTCAGCCTCAATTATCTTCTGATTCTATGAAAAAACCTCTGTTTTGATAGTATTCAAAAGAGATGTTTGAGAAACCTGGGTCCACGTTCATAAGATTTTAATGGGAAATGCAAAGAAGACTTGAGTCAGACCCGGTCTGCACTGCTGCACATGCAGAGAAACATCACTGAAATGAACTGATCTGCAGCATCCGATTGTCACCTAGGTACTGCCTGGACTTTATCTTGAATTATGTGACAAAGTAGTCATGCCAAAGAAAAGCAGATTTTCAGTGCTTACAGCTGACTCCTCAAGAGTTTGGAAGGGCAGTTCAGGGTGCATTTGTAACTGCATGCAGAGAGCATGTGGTCCTCCAAGTCTGGGAGCAAAACTGTTCTGGATTTGATTCCATACTCCCACTACTGCCTCTGTTAACACATGGCTGCTGTGTGAGTGTGGTCTTTGGCAGCCTCTCCTAGTAACGCTTGGGCTTCACAGGAGGTGCCTAAGCAAGGACAAATGCAAAGCAGAGGAGGAGCATTCACCAGGGCAACACCAACACCAATGCTGCAGGGCTGGGGGTTTTATGTTATCCTGGAGACTCTCACCTCTTAGCCTAAAAATCAAGCACATCACCTTGATAGCATTAGGAGGGAGGAAATTTGAAGATTTGAACAATATTGTCTTTAAGTGGTGGCACAGGCGTAAGACAAGGTGCATACTTCAGGGAAAAGTACATTATAGTTTGGGCTTGCCCAGTAGGATTCCATGGAAATAAGCAGTGCAGAACATGCAGTAGCATTATAACACACTATAGTTTATCTTTCCGTATTTAGAAAGCAGGTATTGACTGTTAATTTTTATGCTATGATTTGTTAGGCACAATTGATCAGAAATTTCGAGAAACTCTTCTTTCTCTGTCTCAAAAAATGCATGTATTTGGAGCTCTGCCCTTCAGATTTCAGAAATTCTTGTAATATGGATTTAAAGACAATAATAACACTACATTTCCAGCAGCAAGATTTCAAGAATCAGATGTCACCCCACTCGACCTCAATTAAGTCTGGCTGAATCAGCTGGATGGGATCAAGCAGGGTGTGAAAATCTGTATTCTAGCTCTGGGCAGAGAAAAGAAGATCAGTTGGAAATTTCAGTGTGAAGCTGGTTCTGTATGAAGTGGAGAATTTCAAGTGTGAATGTGTGTATGTGTTCGTGCATGTGCTGGGGAAAGTAGGGTTGGCAAGGGAGACAGAGGAGAGCTTTGTGTTCAGTGCTTCCTCTGACACAGCTCAGCCTGTTCCCTATCTCTCAGTTTCACTTCTGAATGTGCAGGAACATGCGGTGGCTCCTTGTTCCCACCATCTTCATCATCCCTTGTACGCAACAGGTAAGTTCATTAACAAGAAGAAAAAGATTTCTCCCTTCTTCACCTTGTTCTGGTTAAAAGTTTTTATTTGCTTAACAACAAATTAAATTTCAGAGAAGCAAATTCCTCATAAAGAATAAGCAGCCATTCCCTACTCCTGAGTAAATTTCATTTGCAGCTTATTTACTGCATCAGTCCTGATTTTGGTAGTTTTTTTCTCTCTGTACATTAATATGATTTAGTGGGAAAAAAGTGTTAGGGAAGCTTAAATTGCCAGTGACCTTGTGTTTTTTTTTTTTTTTAAATTTAAGCACAAATGATTATCTGATGCAGTAAGGAAGTAAACATCCATGTTCATATTTCATATATGCTCATATTCCATATATCTATGTATATATGTGTGTGCAAATATGTATATATACATACAGTGGTCTGACTTCAGGCTAGTTTTACAAAGAGAAAGGCACCTGGGCTGTGTTATGCTTTGTCTCTTATAAGAAAATTTTAAGTGATAGCTTTTTGTAAAGGTATTTGCATCAAAGCCCAGTTTCATTATTTATTTACTCAATTTTGAAAATTTGTCCTTTACGATCAAGATGAGTGTCAGATGGAGAATTTTCAAATGATTGTCTCCCTCTGCTAACTTTCTGCATATTTAGAGCCAGACTAAGAAAACTGAACATTAGTGATAATAAATTGCCTACTTTTGCTCTTTGCTTATTTATGCCATACTGACCTTGTTCAATCTTTAACACATAAGAAAACAAACAACACATGAAGGGTACCTACACAGTGGTCTCATTTTCTGATCTGCCCATAGGATCAGGAAAAGTATGCAGGGGGCTTCTGTGATGTGAATAGCTTTGGTATAGAAACTTGGGGAAGCACAAATTAGAAAAATATTTGACCTGTAAACTTGACAAGCAAACTTTTCATTTCCATTGTAACTTAATAGATATTTCAAGATTTTTCAGCTAAACCAAAGTTTTCGGTAATTTCACTACTAAAACTGTCAGATATTTGCCTGATGGTGTTTTTTCTTACTGGGGAACTTTGTAGTCTCACACCTTTCAGTTGACATCTTATCCTAAAAAAAGAGAGAAAAATCACTTAGGTAGAATTCTGTAGGTTTAAAGCATTCTTTAATTTGTAATACAAATTAAACATATTGGCTGAAGCACGTAAGATTACTTCCTGCTACACATACCCATTTTGAAATGTGGTATCTGATTCAAGCCACATAACCTCATATAGCTGGCACACGGCCAGATAATAATAATAATAATAATAATAATAATAATAATAATAATAATAATAATAATAATAATAATAATAATAATAATAATAATGCTCTGCTTAAAAAGAAAAAAAAACAGCAAGGAAGCGTATCCTGAACGGACCACACAGTCTTGAATACTGTTAAATGTATAGATACACCTGTGTGTCTTGTTTCCATAATGATCCTTCAAGAAGGTTTACATTTCAATGCACATGTTCATCAAATTAATGTTATGGTTTATAGGAAATTCTTAGCTGCCTAAAAAAAAGTACACTTAAGTTAGTTGCTTCTATATTATTGCTGCATTTAGGTAGAAAGGATTAGAAGAAATCCTTTTGCAAAATTACACATTTATTAAACTATCTTCTTCATGATGCATGGAATGCCACACGACATTCTTTAATTTTCATTTCCTATAAGAATTGCCTGTGTAAATTAATATCTATCTTAAAAATCATTCAGCCAAAGGAACTTGAAAGCTACTATTTTGGAGCTTCATTAGTAGCTGTGGATTAAGATATTGTAAGTATAGTTGTAAATGACCATGAAAAATGGAAATTAGTGTTAGAAAAAAGGCTTTTAAAAGATCATTTACTGCTGCACGCAATTAGGCCGGCTTAATTATAGTGTGAGAGCTTCCATGGGCTATGACATATGAAATGCTGAATTTTGCAGAGATTTCCAGTTTGAAAGTTGAGCAGAAAGGAAACCCAGCTGAATGACCCCTTCACAAGCTTTCCCTCAGTATCTCTGCTGGAGGCGATTTCTATATCAGTAGAGCCCTGCGGTTTGGAGGAACAGAGAAAAACTGAGAGTGGGCTTCATGTGCCTATTAAAAAATATAGACTACATATTTTATTTTTTTTCTGCAAGCTTGATGGTGATACTGGCACCTGATGAGGGGCTGGATCTTGTCTTGCTCTTTTGCTCTTTGGGCAGTCAGAGCTGCTTGACGAGAGTGGCTCCCAGGTCTTATGTTGTATAGTGGCCAAGTGCTGTGTGTGCCTCTACTTCATTATGGAACTGGTCATCTGTGGAGAATAAATATAGCATGATCTGCATTTCTGCTGAAATCAGCAGCATGAAAAGATCTAATGCTAAGATCTAAACTGTTATGTTTAAATGTAGTTCTTAAAAAATGCAGATAGAATATAGTTGTCTCAAATAGATCCTTTCACACTCTGTGCTGACTTAAATCTCCCCCCATGCCTCAGAAAAATAAACCTGTCAAGAATTACTTAGGTTTTCCTTCACTTAAAAAAAACCCAAACAACAAAGCCCCCCATGAATTCTGAGACAGAATGTGCAAAACAGTAAATTCTAGCTAGATCGCGACTTCTTACTGCTGATACAAATCTCTTTAATGAGATATGTCTTTGCTCCATAAGCCCTGGATTCAATGAGGACTTAGTCATGCAAACAAATACACTCTTAGAAAGCAACCTATTAAGCTCAGTATAACCACTAGCCTCCCTTATTAGGATTAAATTTCTGTGTGTAGTACAAAATTTTTAAGTATTATAATGCGTACTCCCAAACAACTACTCAAATTTTAGAGCAAAAATAACATTCAAAAGACGTTCATTATTTTAAAAGGCTTTTGCCACCAGAACTGGCACACAGGACTGTGGCTGGTTATATAACTATGTGATGAATCAAAAGTTAATTAATTTGATAAAAGGTTTGTAGGAAGGAATACTTAAAATAAAACCACCTACTTTAAACCACTGTTTTTTCTACTTCAGTTCTACTACAGGTTTTGTTCTATGGAAGGCAAAGGAAAGACCAATGAATTGTGTTTTGTGCAAGCAGTAGGCCAGGCTCACTGTTAGAACACCTCAGTCCATGACAGTGGATGAAGATGGTCCTCTGCCTCTTACCTTACAGCCTTTCACTTTTCAATCCCATGAGCTGAGAAATGTTATGTGTCTTCATCCAATGTGACAGTGTTTTCCACCTCAACTTTATTTTATGCTATTCCAGATACACATAATGCATTCAGCGCTCAAAATATCCCACTGTGTGTAAGTTTTTCCACAGCCCACCAGTGCAGCCTGGAGATAAACCTTCAGAAACTGGTGAAGTCCACCAGCGCAAGGAGGTTTGTCACTGGCCATGCAGATGTCCGCCTGTGCCAGCCTGCACCCCTGGGGTAAGCTTGGTGAAGGATGGCTGTGGCTGCTGTAAAGTCTGCGCCAAGCAGTCAGGAGAGCCCTGCAATGAAGCAGACGTCTGTGATCCCCATAAAGGTCTCTACTGCGACTACTCGGAAGACGAGCCTAGGTATGAAAAAGGCGTGTGTGCATGTAAGTTGTTCTTCCACGTTTCCTTCTTGAAATGCAGGAGGGTGGGACCATGCAGGTAAACGGTTTTGGAGGAAAATTCTGCTTGCAGGTGCTGTACAGCTCTGTGCTAAGCAATTTATCCTAATTTAGTTCTCTGACTGCTCAATCAGAGAATCTAAGAGTAGTGCTCGGACTGGCTTTAAACTTACCTGCATATGCATTAGTGAAACCAGTTCATCATGCACAAGCCTGTTATTGGCAGACATGTTGGTGACTGATTTAAAGAGCTGACAACATTTATGGCTCACCACATTTTAGCACTCTGTTAAGCAAGATCCACGTGCTCCTCCTGTGTTAGTAACTGTTGTTCACCATTTTCAGATCTGGTAGCTGTAGGATGTGAGCTCAATGGAGTCTATTATCCCAACGGGCAGACCTTCCAGCCTAACCCACTTTATAAGTGCCTGTGTGTCAGTGGTGCAATTGGATGTACACCTGTATTCACACCGAAACTAGCAGTGAGTCCCTGCACCAGGGTCACGGGCAGAAAGAAGCCTGGACAATCTATTTGTGGCCTAGGACAGCACAAGCAGCTTCAATCAACCAACTACAGACTAATGTCAGGTGAGCCTGGCCACACTGGTAAACTTTTCTGTACGTGAACCTTTATGCATTTAGTGTCCCTGGCTCCAGCAGCCAGGCAGGCAATGCACTGGCACTTTCTCAGTTCTTACTGAAGGCCATTGCCAGGGTGACTGTTCTGTCCCACTTATCCCTCTTACTCTCAGGTCACAGATTCTTTTCTCTAAACCTAATGAATGTGAAAAGCAAAAAGGCTTTTGGCTTCTGTCACCAGGGAATTGGGCAAAGCATCATTCTGCAGAGGTTTATTACTCATCAGATCAGCCCAATTAGAGATGCTGGTGGACAGCCATTTTGCAGCTTGGGAGCTGTCTCACTTTCTCCTGCTTTGTGGTGGTACAGAGTCTTGTTTTCACATACGTAAATTAACATGCTGCAGGCCTCTTCTTCCAATAGAAAGCAAAAAATGATAAAAATTGCCTTAGTGGCTTTCCTGACAAATTTGAGGTCACTGTAAGGACAGCACTCCCCCTTACTTTCTTCTCTATTCAGTCTGGTAAAAAACATCCACAAGCCTGTCCATGCTTGTCAACTGCCAGGGTCATTTGATATTCCCTTCAACTTCATTCTTGCTCTCCTGCTAACCCTGTAGTTTTCTTTTTCACTTTAAGGAAGCACCATGACAGAAGCAGCTATCCTGGCACTTCCCTGGCCACAGCTGCCTAAGCTTGCGCCATCTCCTCCCCTGTGCATGTGCAGCTTTCCATGGTGAAAGTCATCTTCATCACAACCAATATGGGTACCAGACAGCTGAGCCATTTATTTGGTGGCAGCTTGAATCATGATCATGGATCAATAAAATAAAACTAAAAGGATTGCAAAGCTTATCAGAAAACCTTCAAAGGCTGCTGAGTAAACAGGTAGATGCACAGAAGTCAATCTGCAGATAAACAGACCTGCTTACAAAATCTGAAGTTCAGTTTGGACAGCTTCTCACACATTAGCAGTGGTTATACAAGTCAGTAAAAATAAAAAAAGAATCCTTACTTCAAAATTATGATACCTCTGTCTAATATCAAAGCCTTTTAAGAGAAATGTCCTTAATGTTGTTGTATAAACATGCATTTGGTAAGGCAACTGACTTCAAGTGAAGAGTGATTTGTTTTCTAGAAAACAGTGTTAATCTGATTCAAGAGAGAACACACTGAAAACGATGGCAACCAAACCATTTGACCATTTGACATACAGTAATTGGGTTTGTGGGGAGATAGATATCTGGAGAACAGTATTAAGCCAACATTCATTCCAGAATTTGAATCAACTGTGCAGAATAACTTTGAGAGAAGACACTCAGCTTGCAAATCCTTCCTGTTGGCTCAGTTCAGAGACCTAACACCTTGTCTCTGTGGTGGCTGTACGTGCTGAAGGATGCTGTTCTTTAGGAACCTTCTAAAGAAATACACCTTGAAATTTTTGTTTCAAAGGCTTTCCCCTTCCATTTCCCAGACCAGCAGAAGTATCATGTCAACTTGTGCATGAACTCCATGGATGGCTCAATATCTATTTTGAAAAGTCCTTTTTCTGTTAGTGTGGATAAGTGCTAAGTTTCATTTTACTGCTCGTTTTGTTTTCTAGCTTTCTGTTTCAATTGAATTTACCTAATTCAGACACATAAGGATGTAAACAGGTCATACTTTAAAAAATATACCAAGTATAAATGACCATTTAGCTTCTCTTTATTTGTTGCAGTTCTGTGAAAGGCTTTTAAATTGCTTGTTTCAACGAGATCTTTAAATTGCTGTCTACTTCCAGGTATTCTGAAAAGCTGACAGCAATTCTGGCAATTTCAGGTAATTCTGCCTCTGCTCTTACATAAATGTCCAGATTCCACATAGTTTTTTTGCAGACTTTCACCATGAACTTTTTCACTACAATTTTATTTCTTTTTTTAAGTGTACTCCACCTAATCCAGGTGTCATCCATCAGAAAAATAGGCTTTTTGGTGATATCTAGAAGTGATTGGAGTATTTTATTCCTCAACACAAACTCTAAAGTCTTCACAGTATCTACAAGGAAATGAACATTAATGTTTTCAGCAGCCCTTTAAAAGCTATGTTTGGCCTGAAATAAAATAAAAAAAATCTGGACATTCCATAAAAATTCCACAAATAACCCTCTCCACATAACATTTCCATTAAGCAGAACTGGAGAGTCATATAACATATGCAATTTGATAGTCCTTACTAGGATCTGAGTATCCAGTGTCAGTAATGTTTAACAGGAGCTCAGCTGGCTTTTGAATAATGTTATTTATGTCTCATTTCTACGTTTACCTCCAGAAGTACCTTCAGGAACAGAAATCGAAGTCTTATCCTTGTATTTTCAATTCATCCTTTTGGGGCTGGTCTGCTGCATAAATAATATATTGCTGTCTTAGCTTACAGAACCTTACCACTAGTCTTGAAGAAAAAATGCCTTGTACAGGCAACTCCCTGGACACCCTGCTCCAGGACCTGTGGTATAGGCATATCCAGCAGAGTGACCAACGACAACAGAAGATGTGAGATGAAAAAAGAAAAGAGATTATGCTTCATCCAGCCTTGTCTGACTAATATGCTGAAGAAAATAAAGGTATTTTCTAATATAAAATTACTTCTTAATAGAAAACGAAAATATTGGAGCTAGTGGAAAAATGGATGTATTAGCAGTTACTAATAAAACATTTACTTCTTTCTTTTTTAAGGGTTTTAAAATAACTTATGTTTTCTACATTCAATCTTCAGGCTTCAATAGTAAACTACAGATGTGCAATTTAAAGAAAAAAATGTAATGTCCCGATATAGATGTGTAGCTAGTGCTGCCCTGATGCACAGTCACTCCAAAAGTATTTTCTATTTGTTGACTGCTAAAGGAAAAATAAGGCAGTTTCAGACCAAGTTAGTTTCAGACTAACTTTTAAGATATTTCTAAGTAAATGTTGCAACTATTTCTTACATGGTCTGTTTTTAATGCATAGAAAACTCAGGCTTTTCTTTGTTCTAATATTAAAGATTTCAAAAGGAAAAACATGTCAACCAACATTCCAGCTTCCAAGAGCAGAGAAGCTAGTTTTTTCTGGATGCTCAACTACTCAAAGCTACAGACTAACTTTCTGTGGGGTGTGCTTGGACAAGAGGTGCTGCATACCTAATAAGTCCAAAATGATCACTGTACAGTTTGAGTGTCCCAATGAAGGCTTCTTCAAGTGGAAGATGATGTGGATAACGTCCTGCGTATGTCAGAGGATTTGCAGTGCTCCAGGAGATATGTTTTCGGAACTCAAAGTCCTATGACAAGTTACACCACTGACTGTAACACACTGACAATGCAAAAGCACATTCACACCCTGAGGAGTTAGCATAACCCTCTGCCACAGCAGTGTTTATACTGTGGCAGTATAAACAGTATAAGCAGTGAAATAACATAAGTGAATACTTACTCATTTTTTAAATGTCACTGGAAAACACAAGCAACAGTGCATCTTTTTAATGTAACTGTTTTTATATGGGGAAATACACTCTTAAGAAGGATGCATGTAACACTAGTACTGTCCAAACAAGAACTTTTGGTAATTAAGAAAGGCAAAGCAAGACAGCTTCATGCCTCACTGTAACAAGGTGCTGCCCACAAAAAAAACCCAAACATGTTCTAACCTATTAGAAAAAATATTACCCTGTAATACTTCATCTATCATTCCTGATTCTTAAATTAACCTTTTCGACTATGTATCTGCAACAGTAAAACACATCAACGCTGTTTGAAAATGAAGAATTCAACTTTAAACTCAGATTGCTTTTTGCAGCAGATAGTGATCCTCTAGTGTTGTGAATATAAACAATGCATGTGTAAAGGACTAAAAAGTGGGCGGGCAACTACAGATAATAGATGCAACATTTCAAGGAAACTACTATTTTTAGAACATTTTCTTAAAAAATGCTCTCCCCAAATGCTAGCACAATGTTTTATTGAATGCTTCTGGACGTGTACATTGAAAATTGTGCTTACTTATACACCCACTCCAACTCTGCTAGAAGGACTTCAAGCTTCAAGAATTCATTGTATTGATCCATTCTGATGTTAAAACAGTCTTGCTGTTTTAAGACAGCCGAGGCTGGTAAGCAACTGGAAATAGCTGTATGTTCTATTTCGTAAAAGTTCTTACTGTAATATAAAAAGCTGCTTACCCTGATAATTATAAATATTAAAACATCTATTTTACTTGCCTTCTTTCAAGCCTATAAACTCTGTTCTCCAAACACTCGTTATAATTCTTTAAATATATATATATAACTTCACTATAAGTGCATGTTTTGGTCAGAGGTATACTGTATTATCTCATTATCAAGTGCAACTCAGCATTCAGGAATATGAGTCATTAAAATAATATGTTAATTAATACTCCAAGTATAACACTTGAAACAAAATTTATCTTGGGGAATTTTCTGATATTGCCAATTTTGGTATCAACTCGGATTGCTCTAATATAGCTAAGTACAACACAGAAGCAAAAATATTAAAATGATGAACATAGCTTAGAGCATTCTGAAATGTCCACTGTAAAGCTTAAGAAAGCAGTTTCATTAGAGACTTGCTTTCATCTTTGAAAAAACTACATAAGCTTTTCTTTTCTTTGTAGCTGCTTATTAAAAACCAAATCTAGCAATGGTGATCTTTCTTTGAAGCAAGGCCTACCTTTAGTTTACTGTAAAGTCTGAGAAAAGAATTACATTTTTGCTGCTAAAATCTCTTTTCCTTCTCTTCACAGCATATGGTGTGTCAATTTACTCCACAGTTAGGATTACTGCTCTTACTGATATCAGCTATAATTAGGTGCTGTCAAATCTTTCTTACAGGCAGGGCTTATCACTTAATATGACAACTCTTGAGCTGAGGAAGCCGTTGTCCTGGTCCCACTTCAGAATTACAACAGCCAGGCATGCTGCAAGTCATTCTGGTTAACTGAAGTGGCTGGATGCTTAGGAAGTATTTCATTCTTTTTAACCAAAATATAAAGAGCAGTTCTTCCTTCTTTAAACAGCTATCTTCAGTCTTGATGGGTCTGTTCTAGGCCCACCTTTTGTCACATCCAGTTCATTGTACTCTTCTATTAGATCAGACAACGAGGACACAGCTTCAGAAAAACAGCTTTGCTCCATCCCATCTATTTGCAGATAATGGTGAAGGTGAGCCTACAAGAATAAAAAAAAAATAATTCAGTGTTATTATTTTTCTTGGCCCCTAATTGCTTTGGCTCAGTAAGTACCATTTAGCCTGCACTGAAGGGGGAAGTGCAAGCACTGTAGAAAGGAGACTTAAAGACTTGTATCATGAAACCCCTTGTTTAAACACTTCACAACTTTAGTAACAATCCTCTATGGAATCACAATCGATATTCCTGATTCCTTAAACATCCATCTTTTCATACTGGTCGGGTGTACCCTAGGGGACAAACAGTGTTATTGGGTTTATGTGGCAAGGTTTTGGCAGCAGGGGCAGTGCAGAGCTGCAGGGGTGGCTTTTGCGAGAAGATAACAGGAGCTGCCTGCATGTGGGACAGAGCCAGTTCCAGCTGGCTCCAGAATGGACCTACCACTGGCTAAAGCTGAGCCCATTAGTGATGCTGGCAATGCCTCTGTGACAACATATTAAGAAGGGGTAAAAAGGATGCACAACAGCTGAGATTGGATTTAGGGCGTTGTGAGAGAAACAGCCCTGCAGACACAAAGATCAGGAAAGAAGGAATGGGAGTGAAATTCTGAGACTGGGAAGAAAGGGCAGGAATGGGGATGAAGGTGTTTTTAGTTTTGGTTTTATTTCCTGCTGTCCTACTCTGTTATTCACTGGCAGTAAATTAAAATAATATTCCNTTTGCACATGACAGTAACTGGTGAGTGATCTTCCTGTCCTTATCTTGACCTACAAGCTTTTCATTGTATATTCCTCCTGTCCTGCTGAGGAAGGGAAGTGAGAGAAAAGCTTGGTGGGAATCAACATTTAGATTAGATATGAGGAAGAAATTATTTAGAGGGTGGTGAGGCACTGGAACACGTTGCGCAGCAAAGCTGTGGATGCCCTATCCCTGGAAGTGTTCCTGGCCAGGCTAGATGGGGCTTTGAAACACTTGGTCTAGTGGAAGGTATCCCTGCCCATTGCAGGGGGGTTGGAATGGGATGACCTTTAAGGTCCCTTCTAACCTATACCATTCTATGATTCTGTGATATTGTCAGGTAGGTGCAGATTAATAAGGGATTTACACTTTTTAAGAAGCAGCTGTTGAAATGGCTCCTTTTCAGGTAACATAAATAAAAATCTTCGGCTGTTAATTTTAAGCAGTCCCTTTGCCATACTAAGATTTGCTTCCCAATAACACAAGATGCTAATGATTAGTGACTACAGATATTACAACAATAAGAGTTGCACCTTTTTCTTGTAGAGCTTCATAAATCTCTCCTTGAGTTCAATGAAAGTTGGTTTTATGCAAGTGTTGTTTGCTAAAGCCAGAAGTGAATGGGAATGGCCCACGGGAGGTACTGAACACAAACCAGTTTTCCAGCCCTCTTGATTCCAGGAGACAAAGTGCAGAGAAGGTTTTAACCTGTGACACAAAAATTTAGTTATCTAAGGAATGTAAAGAACATGAAGGCTAAGTTTTCTGTCTTAACTAACAATCTGAAAAGGTTAACATTTAAGCTTTCAGAACAAAGCAGGACAGTTATAACTATCATTGTGAATAAGACATTTTAGACTTCAGACTAAACCACTGAGTCTGTTTGAAAGTCAAATTGCAAACACCAATATTGTTTTGTTAATTTAATGCATCAGGATTTGAAAGATGAAGTTACAAGTACCTATTTCTACAAAAGAGACTGTAAGCCCTCTGAAATTTAGGAAAGGGACAGCTTAATACTGTGTGGGGACAATCAGTTGACCTGTAGTTTTGAAATAAGTTAAATGCTTTAGCTTCTCAGAAATTTTCCCCATGCTTCCCTGTCTGCCTATAAACTCCCTTCTGTATGTGAAGCTTGCCTGCCTTTCCTGTTATATCTATGTAGCTCAATAGTGTAAAAGGTAGTACCAGGGTGCTAACAATACAGAGCTGTCAAAATAAGGATGATTTCCTATCTACATGACAGTAACCATGAGAGATATCTTCTGTTTAGTAAAAAAAAATTTCTACTACAGAACATACTTCTCCAATATCCTTTACTGTCAGGAGACCCCTGGAAGGTTGGGCTTTGCTTTCTTTTGCATTTTTGAGAAAGGGAGGAGCAGTACAGGGTTATCTAGTCAGCTTCCTTTATTTGGAAATCCAGGAATGCTGTGACTTATTCTCACTCATTGCTAAGTTAATTACAGTTTCTTCCCTTCTAAAATTCAGAAAAATATTTCTGAGTAAACTGATTTGGTATTGAAACTCTTCAAATGAAAAGTTGGACTGCTCTGGATGACTGACAACAGTTTCCCATGACTACTTTGTGTGGTATTACAAACCTTTCAATATTTCGGCGAAGGTCTGAAACCTGCACATTTCCTCGAACAAGAAGTGCACAGGCAAGGTAGAGGCTGTGCTTTGGATCTGCTTGAATTAGTTGATGATCTCTACTAAATGCATCTGAAAACATCTGATCCAACCTAGGTGAAAAGAAAACAGTTACCTACTCTTATTAAAGTAGGATACAAAAGCTTTTCAGAACACCCACCTGCAGGGTTTGAAAGTTCATAAAATTCTGGAGATAAAGGTACATCTAACCTGGGACCATAAATTATAGGAAAAAGATTCAAACTTTTACATATACATATGTTGGCATTGCAAGTTTTTAAAAATACACTGGATGCATTTTTTACTCTTCTCCCTCATGTTACAAGCCACCGTTGAGTCAGAGAAGTTGCCTTTATAAAGGCAATTTGAGGTCAATAGTTACAAGGTCTTATGACAATTTGAGTGGACAATCTCACTGTGAAGGATCTGACAAGGAATATCAAAGCGCTGCTGACCCTTACAGAACTGGTTATCTGCCTATTACAATTCATTATTTAAAAGGATCAATGAATCATAGAACGGTATTGATTTGGATTAATGATTTAGAAAAAGACAGACTATACATACTTGTCTACTTATTCTAATTTTATCACGCATGACTGCTGATCATATTCTTTCTCTCTTCACTTCCTTAAGCAAGTTTCACTGTACTGTGGGATACCAAAGATGGTGTCTTGACGTTCCTGTGGACCCACAACATCTAAGCTATTCTTTCCATTTGTCTCAAACTCTCTGCATTCATCACCTCTATTTCTTTTTTCTTATATCACCTCTGCCACAATCTGCCTATTACAAAAAAAATAACTAAATAAAGGAAACAAAAATATTACTGTTCCCACTTCATTCTGAGACATCCTTGACTGAGCATCTCCCCATAGTATGCTTCCTTCCCCCAGCACTGTACTTTCTCCTCAAGGAATGTTTTCAACAGATACAACTGATTGTCACAACTTGCTATCACAGAATAGGGGTGATCCTGCCCTCTCCTCTGCTTTGCATACTTTCATCACTTACCTTTAGTTGCTTCTATCATCATTTGGACCTCTAGCTGATTGAACTTAATTCACTAAACCCAGTAAAATCTATTTTAACCGGTTATTTTTCTGCTATGTCAGAGGGATAAATACCTCAAAGAACTTTACAATAGTGTCGGCTTATCATTACAATAAGTTGATAAATAGGCACATTGCACCTCCAGACTCAATTAAGATGCCATTACTTCCCAAAGAGTCTAGTTTAATTCCTTGTTTGTCTTTACAGTATTTTGTCAGTCAAGTGCAAACTGTTACTCAAAAGAACTTGTGGTGTGGGTTCTAAGTAATAAATTTTTCCAACAAAAACATTTCCCAACAGAGATTAAAAAGATGTCAAGTTTACTGGCTCAACCATTACACAGAAAAGAGACAACATATGTTCCAAAAATCAACAGGATGAATTTGAAAATGTGGCAGACTTAAAAGTTTTAGAACTTCCACCCTTAGTTTTGCTACAAAATGGAATTTTTTAACGAGAACTATGGAAGAATCAGAAATTAAGCTTTAAATGTGAAACTCCCATAATATTTTTTTCCTACCTTCTAGAAGGTACGTTAACGTCCGCCAACGTATACAGAGGAGTCAAGCTTGAAACCAAATAATGAAGTCGAGGAAATGGAACCAAATTCATACTGATTTCATTAAGATCCATGTTCAGGGAACCTTCAAATCTAGCAGAGCTGAAAATTAACAAACCATTATAAAACTATTATAAACCAAGGAAATCACTTCTATAATGTAAACCTCCATTAAATCTATTTTTCAACTGTTCTGTACAATAAAATAGTAAAACAACACAGCATTCAAGAAACCCTTCACGTATAATTACAAAACTTTCACATCTGGCAGAATCAGTGCTAAATCTTATTTACTTATACTTCTCATTAAAGAACAATAAATCATCAAGAATAAGACCTTGTTTCCCAATTGCAGTCTTTAGCACTGTTTTTCAGTATGTGGACATAGTTGACTAATACCAGTTAATTAATACCAGTTTTACTAAACAAGCTATAATAAAACATGTGTGACTTAGCATTCCTGACAAGCTGTTTAAAAGAAAAACAGGCCAATACTCCAGAAATATATTTCTTGCAGTAACAGACCATTTAGGAGCAAAAATGATCTGACAGTATTTATAAAGTAATACAACTGTGCTAGAAAGGCAAACCTTTCTGGGCTCCACTGAGCACCTTCTGCCTACAAATTTACTTCAGTTTTAAGACTGTCATGGCTAAAGCAACACCACTACAATCTGAATACTTCCAAATACCTCAGCATTTAGTAACCAATTCTTAAAAAGAGAAGACTCACATCAAATGAAAATCAATTTATATTATTCAAGTTGATCCAGGCCTGCATATTTTCAGCAAACACCACCTGCAGCAATACCACTTTTTTATAGAGGAATAACCTGTAACTTTACCTTGTCAGGTTCAGCAGCAAGTTGGCTACGATATTATTCATTGCATCAAATGGCTTCTCTTGGAGAGTTTTTACACTGCCTGTACTTGATGTTACCAAGCTATTTTGCTTCACGGTTGACCCCAGCTTCCCAGAATTGATCATCTGATTAATTTTATTAACTATATCAAACAGAGACTTTGAGAGAGAAAAAAAAAAGCAAAGTAGTCTTGACCAAAGAACTTTCAAATTCAGTACCCCAATTTTTCACTTCTATTAATCTTAAAAACCTGTTGGCTTTTAAGTACTGTTAGCTCAAAGATTATTCCTTTGATATGTCTAAGTCCAACTTTTGAGCAATTCCAGTCGACTGAAGTGTTTCTAAAAGCCTGTTCCTTACACGTCACAGTATGTATAAAGCTTGACACAGAAATTTGAATTCTATTCAACTGTTTAAAATCCTTATCCTCTAAAAATGAATATTAAATTTCCATAATACCTGTGAAAGGAAAAATATATTCTCTAACTATATATCACTTTCTCTTGCTTTTTTCATAAACAAATACCAAGACAGTCACCAAAGTTAGATTCAAACGGGTCTAGTACTTTGCAAGGTCAGGTATGCCTATGGTTCTCCTATCAGTGTATCTCCTCATCAGCACAGTTAAGTCTGTTGGAATCTGGAGTGGTTTGTCATTTCTCTTGCAACACTATTAATACTATGCACAAAATGATTGCTAAAAGACGACACCCTGTCTCAGTAAACAGAAGCTTTTCAATGTTTACCTTGAAAAAGACAAAAAAATTCACTCTAGACTACTTTGAAGATGCAGAACAACTTTTTAGTGATACTCATGTTCATTTCAAAAGCCTGCGACTTAGAACTTTAATTATTACTTTAATTGGTACTCAAATCAATACAGAAAAGGGAGAAATTTGTGCAGCCTAATTAAAAAAAAATAACAGAAATATAATATTAATTCTTACTTCATTCTCTACTGGTAACACACAGTCTGCATGTTCATTAAGCTCCTTCATAGCCAGAACACTATTATATGGAGAAGTAATAACATCATCTTCACCAGAGGGATAAACTGAAGTAACAAATCTATACACTTCTGGGAATTCGTCCTCAAGCAAATTTAGTACAAAAGTTCCAAGACCAGATCCTGTCCCTAATTATGAACGAAAACAGAATGAGAGAAGATAAAAGGTTAAGGTTCCCCATGTTATCTTAGGCCCTAAGACTCACATATTGGAGACATACAACTTTTCGATTATATATGTTAATGAATATTTTCTGAAATATTTGGCTGACAGTGGAGGCTACTCAAATGTAACTTAAGGCAGGAAGGTTTTTACAGACAGGAAAATAATTAAGTAAAAAAAGTATTTTCCACAGTATACCACTCAGGATGAAGTATATAATCTCAAAAATTTCTGCAATCCAAAAAGTCCTATTATGTAACTAACATTTTCCAAGCTAGCATTTCTATTTCTTATTTTAAAATTTTTATTTCGATTTTGAAACAAAACATTTGCTTAAAAGCACTGAACTGCCCCAAACAATTACTTTCTTTCCTTTTAGGGTTTCTTTATAAAGTTTTCTCATTCTCCAGTCAAAACAGAACCATCCCTTTCTACCAGCACACAAGCTTTTTTCCTCATTATCACTAAGAACACAGCAGTGAGCTCAGATTTGAGAACTGAACTGTGATCTTTTTCTGAATTTGCAGCTACATTCTCACTGGCAGACAATTTATTCTTATGAACAAGACAGCAACTTTCTGCAATAACAGAAACAATATCTGCAGGGTCTCTGAAATTAAGCAAACAGCCACAAAAAAGGGCCTTGACAGAGCTCTTCCTTCATATTTAGAGCTATTTTCTGTGTCTTTTTCCACATCATAGCCAGTTATAATACATGCTGCTCCCAGGTTTCTGGGCTAGGAAGGCTTAGTGGCAAAGGATTCTCCCTTTTGACTTACTAACAAAGCAACTAGATTGGATTCAAGAGAATTATGTGGAAGGAAAACAGAAAAACAAAATTTTTCTAAAGCAACATTTGAAGTCTCCTTCAAGCCTTTCAGAAAACGCTTTCCCCAGGATTAAAAGCAACTTGATTACAACAATGACATCAGTGTTCAGAGGCCACTGACCCTTCTTCTGATCAGTAATTCCGAGGAGTTTATTTGTCTTTGGTACCTGCCTTGATCCATCCATTGTGTCACATTTAAAATTTTAGCAGCATTTTTGCTCTGGGTAACACATTAGGGCTCCTTAGTGGTCTAACAAAATAAGTAATAAATCACTACAGGTCCACTGTGGGTTTTTTTTTTATTACACATTCTGAACAATGTGAATTATTATGTTTATCTTCTTTTCAAGATACATGTTTTTCTTTTTCATCTGTGGCTACTGCAACCATACTCACTATAAAGACATTACTTACCACCTCCCATGGAGTGAATTATAAAGAAACATTGCAGACAGTCACAATGTTCTGCGGTTTTCCTCAGCTTTTCCACAATGCTTTCCCGGTACTGATAGCCATATAGCTTATGACCTACAGCCCTGAGGATATAAAAAGTACTTTAGAAAAATATTCCAACAATCAATCTTTCAATTTTTTATTTTATCTCCTTCTATTTGACAGTTTAGACTTCAGAGTCCAAAGCTGGGTGCAACACCTCATCTGCGAGAGTTTCCAAGCTGTGTCTACATAATGAGAATATGGGAGTCAGGATATGGTTTTAATTTTGAGGATGCAAGCAGCACTAATTTCACATCTGGAGCATGCACTGTTATTTTGTACTGATCAGGAAATAAACTCCCACATTGGATGATCTAATTGTAATAATGAAATGAAAATTATATACTCCTTAACAATAAGGATACCCCTATGCAAAATGTGTACTGATCTTCCTTTGAGTACTATGCAAGTCAAATGATATCAGTAATTAAAAAAAAACCCAAACAGCTCATTTTCCATACACATGCCTGCTAGATGGTAAAGTTACAGGATGTTTTATTCCGTGTATTGCCTTACAGGATGTTTTATTCCCTGTATTGCCCTCCCTTTTGGCACATTTGCTGATGATTTGCTTTCCAGTCTGTAATGCACTGAATATTATTAGAGGCACATTAGGGTCTCCATGAAAATTTGCAATTCGTTATGTTAATCAATCTTTTTCTGAATTTCTCTTTTTGGGAACATAGTTTAGACGCACAAAGCCAGACTCTGTGGTGCTTAGAAATCAGAAATGTATTTGTTCATATATCTCATTTCCACAGTAGTTGCACAGTCTCAAACTAGATTATGGCTTAGACTGAGCAATGGAAGCAGCTGAATACCAAAGAAACAAAAATAAAAAGCATGCTCTTTTGAAACAAAAATCAAAAAAGAAAAAAATAGACAAAATGGTGTATCAGCAAAATTATCCTTCTGTAAAAGCCTTTTCAAAGCCCTCCTCCAGGCAACAGTGACTCCAAGTTTGCTGGTAAAATGCTGCAGCACCCCAGGTGCAGAACGAAACAGAAAGCTACGGTTATCATTTCCCTTTTCAAATGCCATCTAATTAGTTGCTAAGAAATGTGTTCTGAAGAGGTTCTCACCAGTTGTTTCCTGAACCAGAAACATCTGTGATAAGCTGCTTGCTATCAAACATATCCCTCAATGGTCCCTGCAGAATTTCATTTACCACACCCTCCTCCATGTCAATCAACAGTGCCTTTGAGAAGAGAAAGAATTAAAATTCAGTCAGTAAGCAAACCACCCTTGAAATAACCCACTAAGAAATATAAAATTATTTACAATATAAAAGGTATACTGTTTCTATTCTGCTCCAGAGAAACCTTTTTTTTCCCAGTTGTTAACTAGGAGACCAATTAGATTAACCTTAGCTGATTTGCCAGAAGTTGCTCAATAGGACAGCATTTCAGATAATGAAATTTTGTTAAAATTTTATAATATTTTGCCCTGATAGAAATGAAGACCTTAAAATATTTTGTTTCAAGTTTTCTTGCTTCTTAAATCATTTAAAGTGGTTTAAGGAAACCCACTTCTTAGAGAATTCAAATAAATATTTAATTACTAATATCTGCAATCATTTTATTGGAATTACAATTTAAATTACTCAACAAGACTGGCAGCAAACTGTATTACTTGAATGAATCATGAAAGTTACTATTAGAAATTCTACTATTCAAAGCAGTATTTAAACCTGTATGGAATTTTAAGGACTTTATGAAAATTCCCACAGTTGGACGTAAATATGCAATGTAAAAAGAATGACCTTTATAGATTGTCTTACTCGTGCTTTTAAAGAGCAGATTTTTCCTTTGTAAATACCAGGACCATCACCACCACTTCTGAAAAAAAAACAGTAACAGAAAAATATAAGCTCAGATTCGTAAGAGAAAATACATAACATAATAAAATTTTCTCTTCAATATTTTGTGTTCAAAGGAGTACGACAATGCAAACAAACAGAAACACCATGATCATACTGCTACGAAAGACCTCACAATTCCCGGAAGTAATGCAATTCCAGGACACGATCTCAGTCAGAAATAGCCCAAGCATTACTTCAAGAAGCTGAAAAGAGAAGTATTGAATGTTTACTCTCAGATACAGCCTCTGCAGGAATTCTACAGGTTGCCAAAACTTGAAAGGATTATCTTTTATCAGCATGTAATATGTGTATCTGCATCACATAATTGAACACAGCGCACCAAGTAGCCCCACAAGGTTTTCAGTGGGGGTCGTTAGGACACTGTACTTCTGCTCAGGTGTGAAACCCGTGTTACTACACTAGCACAGCATTTACTTTTTGACTTACTTTGCTATTAAGATTTACCAGTTCAGAAACCATGCTGGGATGACATAGCTACTTCTTTCCCAGGATTGGCTGTAATGAGCCAACATAGGAGACCGCATTGTGCTACAATCATATTTTTTCAACAACGAATGCTGGTGCTTCTGCACTCAAAGAATGAGATACTCCAGTCTGGCCAAACTATATTGAACACGGGGGAAAAAAGGCAGGGATACTGGGAGATGGATCTAATTTTCCCCTCAGTTATATACCTGATTTGGGAGCTGGCCAAGCCTAAAGTATGTATTAGACCATTCTACATTCAACCACAATAATATTCCCAAAACATCAGCTAAAATTCGCTACAGTGCCAGTGTTCTGACCCTACTCAGTCCCATTAGAAATGAGGGGGAAAGAGTATGGGGCTGCGCTGAATTCCTCCAGGATTTTCCATCTTCTCACTCAGAGAAGCTCTCCAGACACTTCTCATTAGCTGAACAGCTCATAGCAGCCTCCAGTACTCATGTGATTCCTCTAACCTACACAACACCTATATGAGTCCGCTATAGCAGCACTAAATACACCTAGAGAAGTTTTATTTCTCTTCAGGGACTAACAAAACTCAAAGAGGAAAAAACCCAACTCCAAAACAACACTTCTTTTTCTTCCTGTTGTCTTTGTGATCTTTCATGAGAGACCATTCCTTCAATCACTTGGATTCAATTGCTGAAAAAAAATCTCCAAGTTCCTAGAATCACAGAATGGTTTTGGTTGGAAGGGACCTTTAAAGACCATTTAGTTCTAACCCCTCTGCCATGGGCAGGGTCACTTTCCACTAGACCGAGTTGCTCAGAAAGAAAACAGATGTTTCTATTGCAGTCAACCCCCCAACTAAAAATTTGATGATTTCATCAGGCTTGTACAGAAACATGGGCATTTTTTACAATCAAATTTTCTTGGTTAAAAAAAAAAAAAAGTTATTCCAGGAAATAACCACAAGGAGTGGCAACCATAAACTTCAATGCATTTGCATTGTTCTTTCAAAGAGGTAAAATCTGAGATAAAAATTTGTATTTCAATGCCATTTTAATTTGTATTTCAATGCCATTTTAATTAAAATCACATGCTGTACTATAACCTTGTCATATGATGGAAGGAAAAAGATGTTGGTCAAATCCTTTTTAATTAATTTAAAGACAACAGCAATATCCAAGTGCACATTTTATTCTTCCAAATTGCAAGGATTTTTCTAACTAGACAGATAAGAGATGACTGAATGCTCTTAAGATATGAATTGGTTAGTCCAAACTTTCAACATCTTTAACTACTGAAGTAAGTATACTTAAAATGGAAGTTTAGAGAAGAATACAAAAAAGCAAAATCTTTTCCTAGCACAAACTAAGTATGACTTGAAACAAAGAAAATTATTACTTAGGTTAAGACATTTGAAGTGTGGATCCACTGTATTAAACTCATGAGCTTCTTGAAAAGACAACTTACCTTGTATCTACGTTCCTAAAGAAGCTGCTTAAGGCTTCATCATAAATTCCTTTCTAAAAGGAAACAACACAAAATGATGTGTAACGTCAAAAATTCTCAGTGTTTTTTCATAAAATAATTTAAGTTGGAAGGGACCTCTGAAGGTCACTTGTCAAACCTCACCACTCAAAACAGAGTAAACATCTATGTTGAATCAAGCTAGCTCTAGTCAGCTCTAAACAGAACATTTCACTGAAAAATCAGGTTGTTATTAAAAACTGACAGGAAGACATAACTAGAAAATTAATTTTTCAGCACAAGATTAGACAACTGTAGTAGCTTACTGAAGATCCCAAGGCAATTATTAAATCAAATAGCTGCTGTTTAGCTGACTCAGTTCATCACTTACACAATACTCAGTTCATCATGGGCTCAATGCCCATGAAGTTCTGTGAAAAGGAAAGCATATCACACTGCATCAGTGATTCCAAAAATCCCTGCTGAGAGACAGCATGCAAATTACTTACCCCGCCATAAAGCTAAAGAGACCTGGCAAGTTAAAATACTTTAACATTATTATTTACAGATTGCTTACCATACTCAAGACCTGGTGAGGGAGAATTTGGAAGACACTGTTTTGTACTACACTACAACCAAAAGACTCTCCACACACAATAAGAACTTCACCCTTTGCTTCTAGAGAAGGCATTGAAGACTCCTCATCATTATCTGTTAATACCTTGTGTTAACCAGGAAACAGTATCTTTATAGTCACAGCAAGGAAAGTGTGATTTTGTTCAAGGTACTCAGCACAATCCTGTGCCCTCTTCACAGTGCTATTTTCTTTAGCACAGCTGTATGGCAAGTTTACAGCACAAGCTAAGATGGAGAACAACAGTGGAATTTGGGGGGCTGCCCTTCTGCTTTACTGCCAGTGGCAAAGAACTCGCACTGAACAGTCCTCTCTTGTCACTTACTGCCTCAAACCTGGTAATGCCTGGCTGTAGGGAGACACCCTGGGCTTTTCAAGGTGGAAAGGGTGGAGAAAGCTGACCGGAATTAGGGATCACAGAATATTCTGAGCTGGAAGAAACCTGCAAGGATCATCGAGTCCAACTCAGCTCTACACAGGACCGCCCCAAGAGTCTCACCATGTGCCTGACAGGATCACACAAATGCTTCTTGAACTCTGTCAGGCTTGATGCTATGACCACTTCTCTGGGGAGCCTGTTCCAGTGCTCAACCACCCTCTGGGTGAAAAACCTTGTTCTAATAGCCAACCTAAACCTCTCTTGACACAACTTCAGGACGTTCCCATGGGTCCTATCAGAGCTCAGATCAGTCCAGCAGTTTAATTACCTAGGTAGCCTCATCTCCTCGGATGGTAAGATTGACGGAGAGAAAGACAATAGGTTAGCAAAGGCATATAGTGCTTTTGGAAAACTCCATAAGAGTATGGCGTAATAAACACTAGAAGAAAAGTACAAAGATCAGTGTTTACAGAGCCATAGTGGTGTCTACTCTTTTATATGGATCCGAATCATGGGTCATCTACCACCACCACCTGCGACCCCTAGAACACTTCCATCAATGCTGTCTCCGTACAATCCTAAACATCCACTGGTCAGATTATGTGACCAATACATCTGTTCTAGAACAAGCAGCAGTCACAAGTATTGAGGCCATGTTGCTGACAACACAGCTGCATTGGGCAGGGCACGTCTCCAGGATGAAGGACCACTGCCTCCCTAAGATCCTGCTTTATGGTGAACTTGCCACCAGCTGCAGCAAGAGAGGAGCCCCGAAGAGAAGATACAAGGACTCCCTGAAGCAACATCTCAGCCTTGGCCATATTGATCAACATAACTGGTCTAATCTGGCCTCCAATTGGTAGGCTTGGAGACACACCATCTATAACGCTGCTGCTTCCTTTGAGAACGCACGCAGGATCACTCGAGGAGAAAAGACAATGCAGAAAGAATCGTGTCTTGCAGAATATACCACCTAAGGAGTCTTTCTGCTGTGCCTTTTGTAATCGGACATGTCTGTCTCGTATTGGCCTTATTAGCCACCAGCGTGCTTGTAACAAATGTGGATAGAGCCTTCCCAAATCTTTGTTCGCAAAGCCTAGCCATGATCATTGGTCACCAGAGAGAAGAGATCAGTGCTTGCTCTGCCTTTTCGCCTCATAAGGAAGCTGTAGACCACAATGACATCTTCCCTCAGTCTCCTCCAGGCTGAACAGACCAAATGACCTCAGCCACTCCTTATATGGCTTCTGTTGCAGACCCTTCACCATCTCGTGGCTCTCCTTTGGACGCTCTCTAATAGCCTAATGTCTTTTTTATGTTGTGGTGCTCAAAACTACACACAATATTCAAGGTGAGGCTGCCACAGTGCAGAGCAGACCAGGACAACCACCTCCCTCGACCAGCTAGTGATGCTTTGCCTGATGCCCCCTAGGACACGGTTGGCCCTCCTGGCTGCCAGGGCACTGCTGATTCATGTTCAACTTACCATCCACCAGGACCCCCAAGTCCCTTTCCGTGGCACTGCTTTCCAGCCTCTCATTCCTCTGTCTGCACGTACATCTGGGGTTGTCCCATCCCACGTGCAGAATCCAGCACTTTCCCTTGTTGAAACTTCATACGGTTGGTGATCGCCCAGCCCTCTGACTTATCAAGGTCTCTTGGTAGTTAAAACTCATGACTAGTTAAAAGGCACAAGAACCTGGGGGTAGTTTTGCTCACAGTGAAGCGGCGTTAGTTTAATCAAACAAACACAGAGCTTTGCAGTCACAGCGACGAAGGGAGCGCAGGGGCACCGCTGCCTCCCCACGGCGAGGGCGCTCGCCCCGGGCCAGCGGCAGCCGGAGCCGCGGCGGCAGCGGCGCCCTTACCTTGTTGACGGCGGCGTGTTCCCGCAGCGCCAGGTCCCAGAACCGGCAGCCCACCTGGTTCCCGCACTGTCCCACTGCAAAGGGGAGAGACACGGCTCAGGCACGGGGACGGTGTAGCGGCGGGGGGCTCTGGGCACCAAGACTCCTTACCCTGCACCACCACCGACTGCGTCATGGCGGGGCCGGCGACGCTCTGCCGTTTCGAAGTGGGCGCCCGGAAGCCGCGCCCCCTGAGTTCCTGCGGTGGAACGTCCCACCCGTTGCCCTGGCTGCGGGCGCCCGCCCCGAGTGGAACATCCCATTAGGGACCGCCGGGGGGTGTGAGGGGATCGGGGAACTGTGGAGGTGGTGAGCTGCTCGGACACCCGCTGTAGCCGTGAGGGTGAACCTGTGAGGAGCTGCAGGGTCTCAGACACAGGAGACTCAGCAAAGACCTAAAATGAAGTCCTTGTGTGGGAAAACAAGTAATCGAATCACAGAATATCCCGAGTTGGAAATATTTCCATACAGTACAGTTCATTACCTTTTATGGCTAAAAGTGGTGCGATAAGAAGCATTTTATTTTCCCCAAATTCATAGTTCAGGAATATGGTGTGAAATGTGCCAAACAGTATGAAAATACAAATTAAAAATTAAGTGAAAAAGTGGTCATTCGGAAATGCTGTTGTAAGGTACCTTCCCACCAGGTTCGCACGTTATATTTTTCTTTACGCTCAGTTTCGTATTTCTTGTGCATATAATTTTCCACAGTGCAACTGGGAGGTGCTATTGCCCATGTGCTTAACTTCAGGAATAAAAAAAAAGGAAAGAATGAAAAATGTAGAGATGCTATTGTCTCAGCACAGCAAGACTGGTCTAGAACAGCTAAGCTGCAAAATCGTAGAACTGTTTAGGTTGGAAAAGACCTTTAAGATCATGAAGTCGAATTGTTAATCCAGCACTGCCAAATCCACCCCTAAACCGGTAAAGAATGTGTGATAAGCAAAGCAGTCGCTTGCAGAAAGCTGTCTTGTGACACAGATGGCATTTCTGCTTCCTGTGGGAGAACAAAAGCACTTCCATGCAACTCAGTTCATTAGGTTTTATGGCTAAAACTATCCAACAAAATAGTCTTTTCCCAAATATATTATTTCTAGTACTGGTGTGCAAACAAAATTTGCTAAATGAAATTCCTAATCCTTTATTTGCTCCTGAACATGACCTAGGATCCTGTAGAGATTAATTATAGGTCCACAGGAAACTAAAGTTATAGCAAAAGACTATTTTGAAAAACTTTCTTGGAAAGATTATGTACGTACTGCAGCAAATAAAATATTGTACAATACAATCTAATAATGTATTGTATACAAGAAATAGATATACACTAGTTTTTTAAAACTTAATTGAAAGAGAAGAATCCATCTATTGGAAATTAGTATTATTCTTAAGAAAAAGTACTGAGTGGCCCAAGGTTACTCAAGTGTCATGTATGAAGTTGTAAAGGACCAATAACTTTAGTGTTATAGGCATGTTTAGCATGAAAAGAGTAGTACTGTCTCAAGCACTTCTTTTATAAACTAATAAACAATGTAAAACTACATGAATATTAAGAAGGAAAGCAGGTGATATTTCTCTCTGGACATTAGATGTAATTTATAGCTTAATTTTGTTCCCTGTGATTATCTGAACTGACTTATAGGCTGTGCTCTGTTCTAGCTATTCAATGTCAAACTGTTTCTATACTTCTTGCCTGCTATCACGTCCTTAAAGTCTTCCCTTCACATGCCTTTTTGATCTTACTTAGGCTAAAAACAGTACAACATTGCTTATAAGCATTCTGAAGTTTAATTTAAAGTCTGTGGAATCTCTTAATAATAATGTATCTGGCTTGCTTTCTTCTTGTGCAATTAGCTACAGTTTCTACTTGTTCTTTCAGTTAGTTGTAGGTTTTGTGTTCTATGTCCCATCAAGATTCAGCTTAATGGGATTCACTCTGTTGAATATGAGATTGCAGAAAGACACTGTGCTTTGACTTCCAGTATGCTATTAAGAGGTCAGTGCTGGCAAATGTTAAGTGATTATTCTCACTGAGCTTGGAAACACTAAATCAGAGATGCAATTGAGATTCATATTCATATGGAAATATTTTTTAGCTTCCAGGAAGTTGATGCTTAATAGCCAGGTTGGCTTGATGAATATGCCCAGAGGTTTAATGAAACAGTCAGCTCAACTATACAAAAGAAATCATCACACACTTTCTGTTTTGTTGTAGATGAAGCCCTACTTCATCTACCATGTTATAAATGCATGAATCTATACAGGTCCCATCAGAGACTTTTTGTCTATGTTAATCATTTAATCAACAGACTTATGTTAACATGTGTTTCTTACCCTAAATTTCTCAGTGACTTTGTGTTGAAGGTGTTATATGGGAATGGTGTTCCACAGCCTTGGAACACAGATTGAATAATTGTATGAATAACCTACTATGTTATTGAGAGGAAATGAGTTGCCATGGACCACAATGAATCTGCAAATAACCCTTAAATCCCAACTGTAACAACAGCCAATAATGCATAACAAGTTAAATATGTGTGCTATGCTTTCAGCATCTTTTTAATAACAGTCATTTGACTATTTAGGCCACATGCTGCTGTAGGGAGAATACACTGGAATTCGAACTAACGCTATCCCTTGATTTATATCAGGTCTTAGCTCACATATGAAGGTTTGTTGGTTTGTAGTTTTGTTTTTCTGTTTGTGGGGGGGTGTTTTTTTTTTCTGGTTCTTTTTTTTTAAACTTAAAATGGCTGGCTTTTGGGGAATTACTGTAAGGCTTGTAACATTCCATCTTTAATTTTCCTGTCTAGGCTGTTGTCCATACTCTTGATCCTTGAAGAGAGGGGGGATCTCAGATATAAGAGATGGAGGGGCCAGAGATCCTAATTAAATACTTTATTTTGAAGCAGTTTGAAGAGTATTTCATTTTGAAATTGGATTCTTTCTTATATATACATGCAAAGGTCCAGTTTCAAAATATTCCATGATATAATAACAGTGCCCTGATTTAGATAAAGGCTGCAACAACACTTATTAAAGTGTTGAAAGTGGCAGAGAAAAGTTATCATTTCTTAAGGTCAGTGCTCTTTTTTTTGGTAAGTTTTCTGCAGAATTGAGATAGTTATACTCATATTGAAAATGCAAATGGATAGTCTGACAATGTAGCTCAGAATGTGAAGGTTTTTCCCAAATCTTTGGAGATTAAGGGTTTTGTACTTTGAAGCTATAATTTTTAAGATAGATACAGAAGACAAATTGAATTCTGGGAAGATTTCTCCTTAGGCAGTCACCTTCTCTTAAACACCAGCAGCTTTGAAATGAATGTGGAGGTGTATGTAATATAATGCATCACATACAGACTTTCTTTGGTGCATATGAAATGGTAATTTCAAGGTCTGTGTGGATGTTGGGGGCAGGGAAATTTGCATTATTTTCTGCTCTCTCCTGAGTCTGCAAGTATCCTCTGGTTTATAGTATTTTTCTTTGGAAACCCTGTTCTGCAGAGGGAAAACCTACATCTCTGAGGCCTAGAAAGAAAAATTGAGGAAGATATCCTCCATGAATACTGCTATGTTTGATTAGGTGATGATATAGTAAAGAGAAGTAAATTGAATGGTAGCAGTTTATGAATTTTAATGTGGTTTTTATTAACATATACTGTTTTAGTGTATTTTTAGTTTTCCATATATAAAGTATGCAAAGGACTGATTAATCAGGTTCACAGAACAAAACCAAATCACATTGCAGCAAATATGGCTAAGAGAAATATTGTTTATTGGATGTGGATATGAGAAAATATGCTTTGGTTTGAAGTAGGTATAAGACAGAAAAACATTCTGAGTATGTGAGTACCATTTAACATACAATGCTCCACTTAATACCAACATTCACTAAACTGTGATGCTCTTAGGGGACACAGGCATATGCTATTCCTGGCTATCTCTGCTTAGCAGCTGCAGGCAACCTCAAAAGGAATTTCAGTAATCCTTGTAACAAACCTATCAGAGCAGGGAATCTGCTGTTCTTTTCTCTCCAGCAATAGGGTCATGGAGACTAGGGCCTGAGGAAGCTTAGCTCAGGTTGTGGTGTCCTGAGCTTGATTGAGCCAATCTAACAACTCATTAGCACTGGAAGGAGGGAGACTTCCTTTTTTTTACCCCTGCTCCCAGCTACACTGCGATGACATCATGCATGGCCTCTGCTACCCACTGGGAATCCAGCATACTGATCTGAGGACATTCCCCCTCAACACAAATTCCCAAAACAAAAGCCCTAAATGTTTTCTGTTCTGAATCTGCCAGGAGCAGAAAAGAGTTGAGTGGGCATAGTGGTTTTGGTATCCGAGACAAAGATGGCATTTGAAGGCAACTGAATTCAGGAGAGACCCATGCTGGATTCAGAGAGGCTGCAAAGGTATACTCTTAACTGCTTGCTTATAAACAGTGGGCTATGGAGTGATGAAAGGAGGAGTCTATATACCAATGCCAGAAGTACGGGGCCTCCATAACGAGTTGGAAAGGAAATCAGTCCTCAAAGCACATTGCCTAAGAGTTCCAGGGAAGGGAAGTGGAAACATGTTCTGGAGAAGGAACAGGCATGGGGACTGAAAGAAAGAGCAGAGCTGACAAGGCTGATGAAAGGAGAGGCAGTGGCTGCTGGAGCCATGCTGTCTTCTCTCATCCACCTACCACCCAACACTAGACTCTAAAGACAAGTGGAGAGTCAGTGATGGGGTCCCAGCTGCTGGAGAGTTCCTGTGCCAGTGTATCCAGAGCTTGCAGTTCTTTATCCAAAGTAAGCCAAGCCCACTGCAATCTGTCAAAACCCTTTCCCTCACTAGGGGTAAAGTAGTAGGGAAGCTGCTTACACATGTGTCTTATTCTGGTGGTTCCTCCAGCTGTCCATAGATTCAAGATCTTTGGATTCCAGTTGTCACTTGTGTGTTTTCCAGATGAATTCCCAATCAATTTTTAGTCTCTAGGGTGTTGTCCTTTGTTTCGCCTTTCATACTTTCTGCTTTGCAGCTGATCATCTTTTGAGTTGGTTCCAACAATAATTTTCCCAGCATTCGTAAAACTTTCTGTCAACAGTACTTTATTCTTAGAGAAAAGAAACCTAAATGGCTTTAATGCCTTTATGTGATCACTGAAGAGACAAAGTTTTGCAAGTGACTTGTGTTCAAGCCTACTGTGAGTTAAACCCTAGCATTAACTTCCATCTACCTTCTATGGTTATAACATAGCTCAGATTTGCAGCCCTTTGCCTTCTGTTTACATCTTCCTGTTTCACTCCCAGTTCCTCTGCAGCATCATATCTTCCAGGGGAACATATTCTTTGTTTGAGTATTACTGCTATAAAGTCCTGCAGCAGTCTCACAAGGAAGTGATGAATTTGTATAATAAGAGAGTCAACTGAAATTGGACCATGATTCTACTTTCTGTGCTTCATGTTTACTTGTGTTACCTTACTGCAAATGAAATCACAAGACTGTGAATTTAGTGCTATGTTTCTATGTAAGTGCATTTAAAAATTCAGAGAAAAAACTTGGAATTTGGAATTTTGTCTCTCTCTTTCTATGTAAGGCAAGTATTACTCTAAAACTGCCAAGTGTATGTAAATGATCAAATACGTAAAGCATCTATGTTAAAAGATATACATCCTGTCTTTACTCTGTGCTAGAACATATCCATGAAGTCTAGAAGTGGAATAAAAATTTTAATTTTTCATTGTTTGTAAGCTTACATAATTAGTATACTCTCTGCCCCCCATTTTATTTGAGGAATGTAAAATTAAAAATATACAGTAAAATCTTTTAAGTTATTTGTGATGTAAATCTATTATCTGGCTTTATTCTTTAAAGAGCATTAGCAGATGCTTTCCTGTGAAACAAAGGGTGACTAAAGTATGGAGTGAAATGATGTAGAGATCTATCTTGAAAATAACATATTTAATATAATTTTAATTTCTTTTATAATCCCACATTTTCATGTAACAGACTGGCCACACATACACTATAAGAAATGGTAAAGCTCACTCTTGTGGTATAGTAAGAGAAGTGCAGAAGCCACAGCCCTTTATTCTTCAGTGATTTTTCTTTGCGTGTAAATATTAGACGTGACCCTTAAGCATGCTGCTTTCTGTAGATGTAGTTGTGATATTTTCATTCTTCTTCTCTTGCTGAACATGGTTACTTTTGTTCTATTTTTCTTTCTGTGGTCTAAGGAACTTTACAGGATCAATGCAGTGCGCTATCAGGCTGCTGGACAGGTATTAATGCTTACAGCACCACTAACCAAAGCTGCTTTACTAAAACTCACTGGCTTTTCATCAATCATGAAGTTACGAATGCAGCCAATGAAGGAATTGCGTGTAGTCAGGCTCGTTGTTAGCAGAGACTCTGAAAGAAGCATATAAAAAAATTAAATAAATAAAAATTTAGAGCTCACGATGACCAAAATCATCAGTTCGGTGGCAGAATCTTTTATATTTGCTACTAACTGCAGCTCTGCTGAATCTTCAGTGGGTCTTTTAAAACACCTGGCTTACTACCAGTGTAGAGGTCATTAGAGTGAGTATGGTTAGTTATCTACAGTTATGTAAAGCCTTGATACCACATTGTCAGCAGAGAGAAAAATTACATTTTTTGACAACTGCATTTTCTTTTAAGTAAGAATAGATGAATCTCCTTGTCTGTTTTTGTAATTATACATTACATTACTGTGTCTGCTTTGTTAGTTTACGTCTAATTTGCTGTATTTGGTCATTATCATCACATCATCATGGCTAGGCTTTGCAAACAAAGATTTGGGGATTTGCACGGTATTATTTAGTATTATATCTTGTTTGGTTTTGTGAAGTTCTATGTAAGATTTTTCTGTGCCAGGGTGATTATAGTGTTATAGAGCCAATGAATGGCATTACCTTAGTATTCTATAATTAATGTAGAAATAGAAGGCTCCGTTATGAAGCAGAACAGCATTTGCAATTACCCCTTTATATTACCTCTCTGGGAAGAGTTCTGTCCTAATAAAATTCCAGTTTGGATTTAAAGATGAAGAGGCATCTGTGCATAGGTTTTATTATTCCTCTTAGGCTCATTTTACCTCCTGGTAGTGTGGAATGGATGTGAACACCACACACTCAAGCCACTAATCCAAGATAAGCAATATAATGAATTTTGTAGTTAGAGCTGTTCATGATTGACATGCAAGGCACAGAGAAATAATGCTGCATGTTTTCAATGAGAAATGTACAGGAGTTGACTTAAAAATTGAATCATGTAGTGTTGATTACAGTTTGTATATGAACCCCAACAGAGTAGCTCTGTCTGTTGAATAAGGGAAGTAAATGTAGTAATCTTGGCCCACGCTACACAGATGGTCTGTGAGTCACAAATACACATGAGCAGACATCTGTGCAATAGAAACAACTAGTCAGAAAAAGAATCTCCTTGTTTTGTCTTGTTTTCAAAGATGCCATTGCTTGAAGATAAGGAAAGAAGCCTACCAGCAACTAAACCTTGAGACTCCAGTGACAGTGACAGCGAGTTTCCAATCCCATAAATAAATAAATTGTTTCTTAAAAGAACAGTAAACCCATAGTGGAAGGTAAAATAGAAAAAGAAGGATTTTTTTTGTATCTGGCTGACTTCTCTTCTTAGTCCTTACTGACCCTCCAGCAGCTGTGAATGTTTTGATTTCAATGCAGCAGCACTCTCTTTTCTTTGAGAACTTGAGACAGAACATTTCTGATCTGCTCTTGTGCCTTTGAATTTTACCAAGTTGTTCACGTTTTGTTATTTTTTGACATGAAAACTAAGTCTTTATGCTTTCTCTGGAAACAGTGTTGAAATCTGAGAACAACATACCACAAAGCTGTGAAAAACGTACCTGGTACACCTCCAATAAACACTGGCTCCCTGTGGTCAATTGCCTTTGGATTTAGTGGCCCTACCACATGGTTGACTTCAGAGTCTACATCCAGCTGCACCACATTAGCATCTCTAATAACTGAAAGGAGAAGGAACAGGGATCAATAAGAAGTTGCACATGAGTTTTTTATGACAGAAGAGAGTTATCTGTTTGATCTGATTAGTTAATTTAGTGTTTGCTAGATTGAGTGTGAGCCCTCAGTGACAGCATGTGGGCAGAAGGGCCAGTGGAAAATACAGAGTGGGAGCAAGGGTGCTTTTGAGTGGGGCTCTTGATTGCTGGTGGCTGTGTCTGAGCTGTCAAATATGAGCATACAGTGGTGTGTGGCTTAGGAAAACTGTTTGCCAAATCATTCCCAATAGTGGATGTATTGGAATGCAGTGATGTTTCCTCCTTGCTTGTGTGCCAGGGTTTCCTTCAGAAGGGAATCAGAATGCACGGGGAAAGGGTGCATACTCAGATCTCTTCTTGATGTGACAGCTGGAGACATCCTAAGTCAGCATCTAGACAGGAAGGTAAAGGGGTTCAAAGTACCTGGGGTTTAGAAGTACTTTTTTGACTTTCAAATCCAGGAAAGAAGGATGACTCTCTGGCAAAATCCTGGGGGCAAAATCCTGGCTGTAAACATCTCTCTATTGTGAGCAAAAGGCTCCTCAGGTCTGTCTTGACCTTTAAAGGTGGCATATACTTGTGCCTATTACATTCTACCAACTTATTTAACCTCTAATTGAGAAAGGAAGAATATCATCTGGTATGTGACTTAGGAAAGGTTGCCAGCATTTCAGCTAGGCTGCTTTGTGTTTTTTGAATAAGGAGCTTCCATCTTTGCTTGTTCTTCATATCTTCACAGGAACTTCTGCTTGTCCTCCCAGAAAGCTCTACAGTTCTGTATCTGAGGGATGAATAAGACTGCATCTTTCACACAAACTTGGGTCTTGAGAGGTGAAAAAGAAGAACTGAAAATATGACCACATTCCTAGTGCTCTAGCCCATGGAGCTGGATATCTGGGGAGGGAGAGATGGGCTCTATCACCTTAATTAGGGGATGATTGCATTTTACTGACCTGCAATTCGATGCCACCTGCCATCACAGAGACTCTGTTTCAGTGTCACTGAAGTTGAAAAATCCTTGATTCCATTATTCAATTTCACAGTAACCTGGGGAAAATAATGTAATTGTCACTGTAAACACCCTCCTTTACTCTTTTTAACTTCAGTTATAATAATGATGTATTCCTCACTCAAAATATGTCAAGTATCCAAGAGAAAGGAAAACATGATTTCATTAAATTCTTCAAAATAAAGTACCTTTTTTAATCCACAATTTAGGTGGGTTTTTTTTTGTTTGTTTGTTTTGTTTGTTTTGTTTTGCGTGGTTTTGTTTTTAATTATTGTTCAGATTCAATAGTTCTGAGACATTTCTAATTTAACTCAAGGAAGAGTTCAAAAAAAAGATTTAAAAATAACAGCTAATTTCACTCATTTTCTGGTACCTCTACTCTATAATTTCCTGTATGGTAAATTAGTGTTTAGAAACATCAGATGATGTTTTGGCATCTTTCTAGCCACTTAATAAGGAAAACAGTAATGAAAAACCCAAGTATAAACAAACAGAAAAGATGTGAGAAAGGAATAGGTAGTGAATTTCAGAATGACTTTTAAGTTACTTTTTCAAGTTTACCAATAAATTTCTGGCAGAGCTAGAAAGTGAACCTAATGCTGAATTTTGCACCTCTGCTTTAGCTAATGGATTAGTATCTTTCTGCCTGGAAATGTTACAGCAGCAGCAGAGCAGTGTTGTGCCCCTATTGAGGGACATGAGGTTCCCAGCGATGACTGCCGGAGAACTCCAGACTGAGTTCAGCCACTCAGGCTTTTCAAACATCGAAGTTGCCCCTGATCATGCTGACACGGTATTGACTGAAAATAACAGAATCATAGAATGATTTGAATTGAAAGGAACCTTAAAGGTCATCTAGTTCCAACCCCCCTGCCATGGGCAGGGACATCTTCCACTGGATCAGGTTGCTTGTAGCCCTATCCAACCTATCCTTGAACACTTGCAGGGATGGGGCATCCACAATTTCACTGGGCAACCTGTTCCAGTGCCTCATCAACCTACAGTAAAAAATTTCTTCCTAATATGTAATCTAAACCTACTCTCTTTCAGTTTGAAGCCATTCCCACTTGCCCTGCCACTACAGGCCCTTGTAAATAGTCTCTCTCAAGGAAAGAACTTCTATTTAATTCTAGAGGGTCTCTGATATAGTTGTAACTAAGAAATTTTAAATATTTTTTTTTTGCAGAGGGGCACCAGCAAACACAATTGAAATGATCCTCACTTCTCTTTTATCCACCCTCGAACAAAATATATAGATTAAAGCAAACAAAGAATCATGAGGGAAAGTGACTCCTTAATAAATCACCCAGACAAGCTGTACTGATAGAGATGTGTACGTTTAAAAAATGAATTAAAATTGCTGATCTTATTTGTCCAGTAAAACTGTTTTCACAAAGCAAGTCTTTCATAATGCATTCAAAGGGAACAGATAGTTAATCCTAAAGAAACACAAATGCTTACTAAGAATGTACTGGACTGCTGCAGTGACAAGCAGGGAAGAGCTGCTTTTTCACAGTGAATTTTGTTTATGAATTGCATACGCATTGTACAGGAGGTGAGGTTTGAAGCAGTAAGTGAGACAGCATCTTTTGTTAGACCAACTGATACAGCTGGGAAACCAAACAAGTTTCTAGACATCCAGACCTCCAGTTAGAACTTTACATAAGAAGTACTAGACTGGACCAGTTGTATACAGATTCAGCCTTTAAGTGTGGCATGATATGCAGCAATGCAGTGTACTTTTACAATTTGTTAGTTCACCAAGAGCTAGCTACATGGGTAAGGATAACCTTTATCTTACCTAGTTAGCTGTCAAAAGTTAGGTGCCTGACTGAAAGACCCGTTGTTCCATCGATAACGAATATAGAAAAATAGGTTCTCTGAATAATAGCTCACTTAGTCACCTATGTTAGACACCTGCTTTCACCATGTTCAACTGTCCACTCAGTCACTCTGCTGTAGGTTCCTGCTCGTGTAAGAGAGGTGACAGCATGTTTCCTCAGGTGTTGCATTTCTCTCCCCATCCCACACATATATGTTAAAGGAAGAAGAGACTGAGTGCAACTCAGACTTCTCTTTTAACAAACAAGAAATTAAAATTCATCAGCAGTTACCTTACTTGCGACATTTTTAATGTGTAGGTGAAAGAACAGCACCAAAGAGTCAGTGCTTTTGCTTGTTTTCAACTGCTCATGAAATATTTATAGTTTGGGCCAGTAAAATGATCTGATCTTGTCTTAGGTGTTATCTTTTGTATTTTAAAATAAAAGTCTGGATTGCCTAATCTAAGCAGTTATCATATTTAGGAGAGAAATAAGAATCAATTAATGGCAATTTTGTAAGACAGAATTGCATGTAGCAAAGCCCAAGTAGGTGGAAGAGAAATCAGTCAAAGCAGTGGAGGAAATATGACCTTCATTATACCTGTCCATTTCTCATGTGCATATTCAAGTACTCTCCATTCACACTGTGACCATGCAGTAGAATTCCTGAGCTGCTTCGGGGACGTATTTCAAAAACAACTTCAAATTTCAGGCCTAAACTGAAGGATTCATCTGTGAGGTAAAAAGAATAACACTGTTTTTGTGCTGAGTTAGTGATGAAATTGGGCATTTATTCAAAGTCAAAATAGAAAATCAAACCCAGAGTGGAATTTATTTGTCCTTAAAACTATTGAAACTAGAGATAGCCTGGTGTGCTGTCAATGACCCATTTCAAGTTTTGTTTTGATTGTGTTTACTCGGAATACTAATGAAGGTTTATTTATTTTTTCTCATTATTTAAAAAATGTGTTTTGTTTAAAAATTTCTTAGCAATGAAATGGACAACAGGAAGTAAATGATCTGTATTTTTTGGCAATTTCTTACTGTGCAATTTGCTAGACATTCAGCAGTCATTATTGAGTGAGTGGGAATCCATTTGAGCTTTGATGATTCAGAAGGAGAAACTCCCTTTTTCAATCTGGTGGCAGGCCAGGGAGCAAATGAGAAATACTGTCTGATTCTCGGTGTTGCCAATGAATTGGGTTATGCAGTTTCCTTTCTTGTTCAGATCAGAGCCTATGTGACCAAATCACCCTTATAAAACACTTCCTGAAACACAGCAGGACTAAATGACAAAAACATGTGTTCTTTCATGCTGTTCTGCATTAAACATGCAAAAAGCATTTCTGTAGGATTTTTTAATTACATGTTGTTTTATTAATTAAAAAACTTAAGGGGTGACCATTTACTGATGTACTTGTCTTAGCAACATTGACTTCTATGGTAATTTTTACCATATTATAACCAGTTTCCTTGTGAAATTATTCTAATTATTTGAAATACATACACACAGATGTGTTTATATTAAGTTTCACGGTGACATTGGGACCTGTCAACATCAACTGCTTACCACAATAATGATCTGTATCCTTACAGCTCACAGCCTCAAAAATTACTATATCCTTTTGTGAAATATGCCATTCTGAAGCACAATCTCATTATAGGATACATTTGTTTAGAAGTGTATTACCAAGGACGACATATCCTCCTTCTGATGAAAAGTATGTTCCTGCTTCTGATGGGCCTTCAAAGCAAGGCGTTACACTAAATGTCTGCGAAGCTGAAGTAATTGATCTTCCATTGAGCTGTAAGTTGCTGAGACAGCCACTGAAACTGTAGACAGAATTAATCTGAGGGGTAAAAAAAACATGATTAGTAGATAAACTGCTTGTGGAAGGAAATAAATTCTCCTGTCCTTATTTTTACTTGTTTATAAGCTAAGGCTGTAAGACTGTGATTGTCTGGCTCATTTTAATTACGTGTTGTTTTATTAATTAAAAAACGTAAGGAGTGCCCATTTACTGGTGTACTTGTCTTAGCCACATTATTCTACGATAATTTCCCTTGTTAGGCTCATAACACTGAAGATTACCTTGAAGTAAACTTTGTTATGTTCATTTTTGCTTTAACATTCCTAACAAGATAGATAAACTCTGAAAAAGCAGACCCCTAACTCGCCTCGATGCTGTGAGGTATGTATAACACCGCCCTGCTCTAGTTGTGTTTTGTTTCTCACAGTTCAGTAAGGACTCTTTGAGAAACAACACAAGCTGGAATTACCTTGAAGGCAAGAGAGACATGAAAGGCTACAAAAAGCACTTTTCCTGCTTCCCTTCTCTGGAAACTGTTCTTAATTAAAATTCTAAAGATTACCTTGAACGAGACTTTGGTATGTTCATTTTTGCTTTAACAATCCTTTCCATATACTTCAGTACCAAGCTGTAGAACAGAATCCTGACTTCTAGGTACTGTCTTAAAACAGATACTAAAAGAAAATTCAGATCTCTTTGAAACCCATCCTACATGTCAGACTTCAGGGTGAAATTGATCTTGTGTAACTTTACCTGTGTCATCTCAGCTTGGGTGTTACTAAGATTTTTCTGTTCCTTGTGAACCACTGGGTTTCCAGTTGCTGCTGCTGCAAGTCTGTGGAAGCCTAGACGAGCTACCACCAGCCCAGTCATGTGGGAGCTTTGCTATAGACTTGAACTGAGGTGTTTGCTCCACAGTGTGCCGAGGATTCAGATCTTAATATGCTTTTGGCTGAACCCATCCCTACAGTCAGCTTTTGTATTAGCTGTACATAGACGTATGGGCTGATTTAACAGGTGTCTGCTTTACCTGGATATTTTTTACGGCTTTTCCGGGAGCTACACCTCCAATATAGAGTGGTGCAGTGACTTGCCAAGCATTAGTATTACCGCCAAAAGATTCTTCCAGTACTCGGAGACCATCAATTATCAAGTGACCAATATTTTTGCCTCTAGTAAATATCACCTAGGAAGGGAAAAAAAAAAGTGTGGAAGATTACTTTCCTTTGTTAAGGGATCACTCCTGTGCAGTGGGAGAAGATATTTGAGAAGAAAAGCTTGTGAGTGATACTCTACCAGCCCATTTTGTTAACTGCCAGTATTCTTTGCTGGGCAACCCTCTTTTTTCACATTCATGTGAAAGCTAGATAGTAAAACTGCTGACTTTCTTATGTTTTGATGTACAAGGCAGAGGTAATCAAGGTGTGACAAGGTCTACTGAGATCTAACCATCCTATATCTGCATACATGATTTGTTGCTACCTATCACTATTGGCATTTTCACAGTCTTTCCTAGCTTTATGGTCTGGATTCATCCAACCTGCTTTAAACACTTAAATGCCCAAGTCAGTGGCTTAGTAACTGTAGAATTCCTCGGTAGTTAGTGTGAAGAGAGATACCTACAGAGAGAAATTCACCCTGACTCCTAAAATTGTCTTTTTATTTTCATAGACTACGGAGGGAGCCCAAGACAGCTGTGCTTGTAGGCATTTCAAAGACATTTGCTGAACAAAATTATCATAGTTATTTCTTTCCTAGCTTACTTAACTCTTAATTGCCTTACTGTTCTGCTTGTTTCTATCACTTCTATTCAGCTGTTAGTGTTGGGATTTGCTGGATTTTTATAACTGACTCACTTTCTTGCCCTTAATTAATGACTTGATAAAATGCAACGTGGAAGATTTAAAAATATTGGTGGAAGTTTCTCAACATATAGGTGTGTTTATGAATACATGAATGCAAACTCCCTGAGCTGTCACATTAGCAGTGTCTTTACTGCAGCCTTGATAGGATGTGCCATCATAATGATTGATTTCTTTTACTTACATCGTGCCACAGACCATCATTGTATTTCTCTTGGCTCTTAATCCTTATCTTCTGATGACCAGCATTAAACATAAAAATGAGTCGGCCATGAGCAACGAAAAGGGCCATGAAGTTGGTCTCTTTTTGATCCGAAACGTAGAAAATCATTCCATGAGATGAGTGAGTTTTCAGACTGATAGAGAACTGAGCTCTGGCACAAAAAAACCCCAATATTAAAAATAAAGTAGATATACTTGACTTAAAACAAACATCAAGCAGAGGAAGACTGAGATTTTCCTTTCATCCAGAACAATATACATCTCCTTTATGGAACTAGTGTTTCTGAGAAACATTCGGTGCTGGTTGTTGGAGTAGAAGTCAAAGTTGAAGAAGAAGCTGCCTCGCAAGGAACTTGTTTTAAAAAATTAAAATCTCTGGAGTGAATAAATTCAATACAGACCACAAAAAACTGACACTATATACACTGCATTTCCATTCCTGTTGAACAGCAGTGTTGGGGGAATTTTTAACTGTGATGGCATAGAGGCTTGCTAGTTCACAAGTCTTTAATGCTATTCTAGACTTGGTTCTAAGCTTCCCCTTCCTTGAAGTTCCTTGTGAAGTCCATGGCAACATGGAAAGTTATACACTGTTGGTTTGACAATGTCAACAGTGAAAATTTCTTGAGTGATTGCTGTTATTACTTTGGGTCTAAAACATGTCGAAGTTGTATTGGTGTAGACAGTGCCAAAACTGACTCCTCCTTCTTCTCAGTTAACTAACCTAGCTTCCATTCTTCATATTATCTCAAGAATCTCTACATTGCCACTTGCCTGTGTGTGTACATTCCATACACACTTAGGCCCGTGCCAATATCAGTTGATTTAAAATCACACAAGTCGTGGTTTTTTTTAAATGCATGTTACAAAGATGAAGATTTAATAATGGTTGGAAAATATGTGTTGTAGGGATGAAGATGGGATGAAGATATTAGAGTTTGGGGTTTCCTTCATATGGGCACCATCAGGACTGCCCTAAGTAAAACACTATTGAATTAAAATAAGCATGGTGTGTTTTTTTTATTTAAATTAGGAAATAGCCAGGGTAAGAGCAGAAATGTGTCCCTTTTAAAAAAATTTGAAATACATCTTTCTTCTGCTCCGTATATTTAATTTTTATTTCTAAAGTCACTTTACCTTTGACTGAAATCCTTTGGTATGTGATCAAATTCTTGCCGGCTGTTTGCTGTTCCTCCAAACTGATATGCATGTTCGGTTGCCTTGGGATTCATGGGCAAGTGGCACTGAGGGTCCCTTTGCATATTCACTTGATAGAGTTTTTTGAGGCCAGTTGAAGGCTGTGAAATCTTGTCTTTCTCTCTTTCCACCTTCACAGGAAAAGAACTATTAACCATAATTTTAAACTGAAATTGACATAATAAAACAACAGTATCATTTATATCTAAGCTAGTAATATATTGTTTCCCTACATAAATACCAGGACTGTTTCCAAGTAAAATTTTCGTTAAACAGATCTAATATAGATGCTGGTTTAGGACAGAAGAAGGGATAAACAAAATACATGTGTAGCTAACATAATTACAATTCAATTCTTTTGCAGTTTTCCTACTTAAATCTTTTCCTCTCTGCTTTTGATGGTATGAGCTGTACTATAGGCATAAGAGGATATGCTTGAACTAAAAATTCTGCATGCCGAAGGAAGTATTTGTTTCACATTTATAATAGTGTGTGCTAATTGTAGCCAGTAGAAAAAGCCACACAGAAGGAGCTGAGAACAGAAGCAGGTTTATTGCTTTTAGAATATAGAAGAAATCAAGAAGGCTTTTTTCTGCAGTACTTTTTTTAAGAAGTTCTAGCAAGAGAGAATGATGCAAGGGTAGGCCAGATAGATTGGGTCAAGGCAATCATTTGCAGTGATGGGAATATGTAAAGGAGCAGAATACTTCCCTTTATGCATCTGAAATTGTCTTTATGCATTTTGGATCCATGATTTAGAGAATTTCCAATCATGGCATTTTGGAAAACTCTAGGGTGGTACTGGGGCAATTTGCAGCAAACCTTTTTATTACGGTTTCCTTTGGCTTTTGATGAGTTTTTTCCTTTCTTATGGAGAAGAGCTACCGGAGGAGATTCAACAGGGCATCCATACAAAGATGTCTGAACTTTCTCGGAGTACTTTTGGAAATCTTCTACTTCAACCTCTTCATCCAACCTGTTTCAAAGAGGAGGTGACAAGAACACCTTTTTTTTTTTTTTCCCCCAAGTGTTGGAATTGTCTTCACAAAAGTCACAGAATTGTACATTTGTAGTTTAAATGATGTTTGAACGGGTATTTTTCATTCTTGGATCATGGATAAAAATACAGATTGACCACTCAGTCTTTGGGTAATGTGGACAGCCTATACTACCTCTGACTGTTGTTATGCTAGCATAAACAAAGAGTATCAATCTGCAGCATCAAATTAACTTTAAAATCTTCTATATAAGAACAATTCATAAAGCAGTTAAGATCAACATATTCTGACCATTTTCACATGACCAAACTCCTAACTTCCCCAGCTCCTGTGAGATGCTTTAATATAATTTTGTTTCAGAGGCAGAGCTGAAAGCTGCATAACATAAATGTAAATTACAGCTATGCAAATTATACATTGCACCAGCAGCATTAGCAGGTACAGTACTGAAAGCTGATTTCATCAAGTTATTCCCACCTTAACAATATCTTAATCTAGCAGGTCTGTGCCAGCAGATTCCATGGCAAATAAGGTAAGAAACTTATTCACACATATTGTCTAGCCTCACAAAATGAGACAGAAATTTTTATTGTGAAAATAATCACTTCTCTTGACCTACTATTCAAGCTCTTAGGCAATGACTGCCTGTCTTTGGGAGGAATTTGCGCACCTAGTGAAGTAAGCATTGCTTATGCAGCCGGTGAAGTTGGCTTGCTGCGTTCTGAGGGGAGAGCCACCAAAATAAAACTTCTTGATGCTGTCTGGGCTTTTCCCTGGTCTGTCCTTTGCTGGATTCTTCTTGCTTTGTTTCTTGTCATCAACAGTCAGCTCATACCTGCAAAGGCAAAGCATACATTTGGCAGGCTAGTTTTGGAAATGTCAATGCCAGTGGTTAGACAACATATTACACACACCCAAAATGCTCCACTCAGTGTATACATCTCTGAATGATAGTGCTCAAAGTCATGAGAAGACCTTCTTGCTTTCAGCTGTGCAACAAGTAACAGTTCAATAAACCATTGACAAAGTTGTGCACAGAGACCCATGGATTTAATATTATCCTGTGGTTAATTGTGAAGTCCAAAAAATACAGTTCACTCAGTGAAGAAAGATAAACTAAACGATTGCTGATAAATGGATGGAGCCACCATTTGTGTAAGATAAGATCTAAGCACATGCTAATCCTTCTTGTTTGTGCCTCTATCCCTTTTTCCTTATCTTTCATCACAGAACATTGAATTTTGAGCTTATACAATGCTTTTTGCCTGATCTGATTTTGCAACACAAGCCAGGAAGGATTCTATTGTTTTAATAAGAAACTGAGTATAACTAAAGCATCAGACATAGATTTTGGTTGACAAGGTCAAAATTCAGCACACTCAGGGAAACATGACAATCCCCAAGGCTATTTCAAGGCACCTTTTCACACCATCAGCTTTTCAAAATATGATTCTTGGATGTCAGAAGTCATAGATACAAACCTCTACTTCCATTAGAAAAGTAAGAATGACCTTCTTGCATCTGCATAGACAAGATTCTTGAAGAAAGTTGTTTTGATTATTTGACCTTCTAAGAAAATTTTAAAAATAGAAAACAACAGTAAAACATACTAATAAACCAATGCTTTCAAGCTTTTTAAGAAGCACAGAGAGAGACTTATTCCCTAGTGCTGTATTTATTCTTACATTTGTGGTTGTCAGTGCTAAAAATATTTTGAACATGTTCCACTGTATATATCCCAAATGAATGCTTTATGTGAAGATGCCTCAATTACTTCAGACTCAACTGGGAATTGCTTTAACAAATTAGAAGAACCAATCCTGCTGAAAAATGAATCTCATGCTTGTCTTGAATTATATTAAACTGCTTTCTTACCTGAGGACAAAAAAAGGACTAAGCTTTGAGAAAAACTATTTTTTCGGTTTTACTAAATATTCCAATCATCTTGGAACTGGCCAAGCTGGCAAGTTTTCAGTCACTGAATTGGTCAGTTAAAAATATCACTTAAAAAAAGCACCACTTATGTGTCACTTTGAAAGTGAGTATTAAATGATAATGTGCTTTACAAGAAATATTTGTTTTCTAAAGGTAGGGACTAAAAGATGTTGGACAGCTTTACCTTTCTGGGGTGATAGAAGTAATGATGAAGTGGGTTTTTCCATCATTGTAATTTCGGTCTGATGACTGAATTTTGGTTCCACTTGCATTTAAAACAACGGCACCTCTGTCCATAGAGATGGATAATACATCTGACTGAAATACAGACAAAAACATCTTCATAAGCAAGTATAACACTGAAAACTTATCAATTCTCTGCATTTTCCTGTTGTATTTATTTTCCTTCCTGCTGTTTTCCCTATTTTTGCTTAATTTGCAAAAAGTTACACTCTGAGAAGCAAAACAGGAGATGATATCATTATAATTTAAATTCTTCCTGAATTCTGGGAATTTTGCTGCTCATTATGTCTCATGTATCTGTTGCATGAGCTCCTTCCATCTGGCACGAATGTATGATGTTTACATTTCTGGTAACCCAGTACTGTATTGAGCAGCTGTTACTGTGAGATTCCTGCTGTCATAAGATCAAGACATTTTTTTCTTTGCCTAATTCCTCCTAATCAGACCTTTTCAATCACTCAAAATTACCTCAGAGATAAGATCTGCTATCTGGGTCAGGCATATAGGATCACTGTGCCACTAGCAGGAATACTCTCTCTTCCATTAGAGCAAGCACTGTCACTGTGCGCTGGTAGGAACCATACTGTCTCATTCTCTTAAGTGCTAAATAGCTGAACTTCTGTTTATTAAGTAGGGCACTTGGCACCTCATAGGATTAGAGCTTTTGAGTTAAAACCTGAAGTGGTATGTGTAAGGCCTCATTTATGCAAANGGATAACTGACACGGTTACTGATTTCAATTTAAGGTAATACTCCAGGCTGCAAAATGTGAAGTGTTATCGGTGTCACACAGCCTTCCCTGCTGCACTGCTGATGATATTCTGCAAGGATAGCAGAACAGACATTTGGGGGTGGTTGCAAATGTTCTGTCATCTGAACATCATGCTTGCTGCAGATGCCAGTCTGAGCCTGCAGGATCTTGGGATTGCTTTGTCTCACACAACATTTTGTGTCCGTATTTCTGCCTGTGTCACACTTCTGAGGGGGTATTTAGAGCAGCCTGGCTTCCCATAGCTGCAAGGAGCTCTTCTCAAGTGCAGCTTTTCCCTGTCACACATGGAGGTCTGATTACCATCTGGGAATATAAGCAGCTTTCTGACTGATTTCTGTCTAGTCAGCAATGCTCAAAACACTATGCCACTAATTCAAACAAACTTTACTTCTAGGTGGTTGTCTCTGGAAGGCAAATGTCAGGTCCTTTGCCTTATTTTTGCCTTAGTATTATTTGTACATTGGTAGCACCTACAGGTCCAAATAGGGATTGCAGTGCTGCTGAGCACAGCAAGATACACTGGGCAAATTGAGTACAAATGGTGATTCTAGGCATATGATCCAGTTCTCTTTTCAACATCAAGATAATGTCTAAGAATTGCTAGTTTTCATCTGTAGATCAAATGCAAACTGTGAAAATGAAGTCACCAGTGGATACTTCTATATTGCAGACTGCTTTCTCTATTATGAAAGCATGAAGTGAAAAATTGTATTATTCCCCTAGTATTCTCCTGGGAAAAAAATGCAAGGATAAAATAAAACTAACTGTAAAGAAATAGATACTCACTCCCTCAGAATAGTAAAACAACAGCCCGCTGGGCTGCAATGTCCGGAAATTAAACCCTCCTTCAAATTCAGTAAAAAGAGATGCTTTTTGGCTTGATGCAATGAAGCTCTCTCCATTGAAGTATGCATTGCGGGACATCTGTGTATTAAATAAAACAAAATTACAAATAAATCTCAGAAAACATTTCAATAATAAAAAGGATGAGGTTATTTCTTCTTCTTCTTCTTCTTCTTTTTTTTTTTTTTTTTTTTTTTTTTTTAAGGTATGACCAGTTCTAGAAAATCTTACATTTTGCCTCCATGTCTTAACCTGATTTATATAGGCTTTCCATCACATGCTGGGAAAATCTGAAGAAAGTGTAGCAATTTATTCTCAGTCTCCTGGGATCTTGGCCTCGTCCTAAGTCTGCTGATGTTAGTGAGCATGAAGAGTGGAAGCAGATGCGACTTATGCCCCTGTCTGAGCTGTGTGGCACTGAGTCACAATTCCAACACGTGATGTATTAGTTTGTGTGCTGCACCAAGTGTTGGGGTGGGGTGGAAGGTGTTGGACATGGTGGTCTATAACCCTGTGAGTCTCAGGAGCAATACTGTGTCCAAGGTAGGACAAATTGCATACAGCTTCCTTGTTGACAGAGGGTGAGATTGTGTGAAGAGTTCTGCAAGTGGTGGAATCTTCTTCACAGGTTTGTAGCATGGCTTTGAACAGACATGACTGCAGGATGAAGACTCCAAACACTGTTTAGATTTATCAGCCTTGCATTACTATGATGGAAGGCACCAGAAGCAAAATGGCAATTTTCTCAGTGCTATTGCTGTGCAGTGTGTGTGTGTGTGTCAGAGAGGAGGAGCTGATCTTGAAGGATGAATGTTTTGCTGTCTTTTCCATTTCATACATCTGTATTAGGATGTGAGGACAATTCTCCTTGTATCTTTAAGAAAAACAAATTACATTGCAATATTTCTTTTCAAAATACAGCACACAATTTATTTCAGGTCTAGCTTTCACACTGCGATTTCACATATGAGAAGAATATCAAGTGAAACACCTTGTGCTGTAATTCAGGGTGAAAATTGGGTACTATGTCAGCAGACTTAACAGACACCTCCCCCCCACACCTCCTCTGCCAGTCAATGAGTGAATGATCATTTCCCTGGTTGAAGACTGTTCTTCCATCGTTTGGAGTAAAACTCAAGCTCACAGCTATATCCATTGTCAAAATTTTGTTATTATGTCACAAATGATGTCATGCTTACCAATGAATCCTCTGGGCACCCATAGCTGATTCCCAGTGTTCCTGGTTCTTCCAACAAGTTGAAATCCTTCTTTTGGAACTGGAAACCTTTCATGCAGCCTTTGAAGCCGATACTTCCTGCCAGATGTGAAATAATGCTGCTGGAAAACAATGCCAAACAAGCTGCAGTTAGATAGCCCTTGCCTTTCTGGACAGACTTTTGTTGCCAAGATGTTCTAAAGGGCTTGGAAAAACTGATCGTTTGCTTCACTAGTGCCCAATTCTTGCATCTTTATGTAAAACAACTAATTAGCCACATTATATGTTTTGAAAAGTCAAAATGCACCAGTTTTAATAAATTTTATGGGGAGAAATACATGAGAGTTCAGAGAGGATATACATATAGAGTAACTTTAAAAAGATAAAAATGGATGCTGAAATAAACTGAAATAAACTAAAACAGATTTATTTTAAAATGTATTTCTACCCCTTTAAAGTGAAAGTCAATGGATTTTTATCTCCATTTTTCTAAAATTTTAGAAAAATTTTGATTTAGTTTCCTGTCTTGCTTTTACTAGCAAGCTCTAGTCTTGCCATTGGAAGCAAATGGATCTCTATTTCTTAAAAAAAGTCTCAACAGAAGTCAGGGAAGCAAGAGTAAATTCTACTTGCCGATTTGTGGGTTTACATAATTGTAAATGTGAGCAGTAGGTGAGCTTCAAGGATCCTTTTTATGTCAGATTTGAGGTAGACAGCAGTTGAGTGTATCCCAACTGTTCCTACTCATTACTGTCAGTTTTTCAACACCTTAACAAGATATCACAACGTTACAGCATAGGGTGAATATAATTAAATTTGTCCTCACAATTCTCAAGTCGTAAGAAGAAGTAATTTGTGTAAAATCACAGCTTTGACAGGGCAAGAAAATTAGATGGGATCTACTGGGTACCAGTCCAAGAGATAACCAGGGAACAAATACACCGAAGGAGTGAATGTGAAATCCAGAGTTTTGACCTGGCTACCTGGAAACAGTCTTTGTTCTTTAAGCAGTGTGTGCCTTAGCAGTGGGATTCTTTTCACTTCACGTGCTATGATACTGTTGACATCTGCTTCTGCACTAAATATCTGTGAGTTATCTTGTTGTAAGGTAGACTTTAGAAACCTGGCAGATGAATCAAGCTCTTAGAATGCTTATTTTTACTGCACTGGCAAAAATGGACCATCAGGTGAAGTAATCCAGGTGTACTTGTACAAGTCTGAAATAAGGTGAGAGGAGGAGTGCTGTAGGGGCTCAATTTGCTCCTCACTGAAACCAGCAGGAAGACAAAATCAACAGGAAGGCTTCTGCCATTCTCACCGAGATTTGGATCAAAGTGTGAGGTATCAGTCTACCTGTATAATCTTTACTCTGACCATGTGACTGAATGCCACAAATCTGCCTGTTAAATGCCATTAACCTGACAACATGTTCTAGCAACAGGAACCATGGAGGATAGGCTTTCATCTAAAGAAAGGCTTCTGAGTTCATTTCTTAACAGTTCTCAGTGCCCTATGCTCCCACGTCCCCTTAGCTTTCTGCTTTACGCAGTGACTGAGGTGGAACAAAAATAATGTATAGCGGTACTTCTAGATTCATTTATTTGGAGAAAAAAGGCAATTGACAGAGAAAAATGCATTTGAAGTGAATGAAAAGACGCTGCTTTAAAAGAATATGAAATTCCTCCTCTAAGGCTAAAGCTAGCTTCCCACCCTGCTGTTGCTCAGCAAAGTCAGTAAAATGTAAGTCTGTCTGGAAAAAGAAAGCATAAATATCAGTAGTGGATAGCAGTAGTAGAGAGATAGTAGTACCTCATCAGTAGAATATTAACTTATGCTCCTGATGAAAATGGGATGATATCACCACATTTGGACCATACTTTTTGCTGTCTACCTTTGCCATGAGAATGAAAACTGAGTATAGTATCAGAAACAAAGCTGAAGCTCTGCTTAAATAATTTCTGTATATATTTTTCAGCATTATAATCGATCATATTTTTACAATGTCTACTTTTTTTTCTGATATAACTTTTTAATTGAAATGTTATTGTTATTTTTCCTGCTTTTAGAGTACCTTCCAGATGTGTACAAGAATAACCACAGTCTGCTCAGAAAACTGCAGGCATAATTCATGTGATTCATCTTCTATCCTACATTTGTGAACAAGTCTTATCTGCCATTGAACTGCTCAATTGCATATATTTCTAGGTCCTTCTGGGCTTTTTCAGTGTTCTTTAGGCTTGAATAACCAAAGTAATTTTCACCATCCTTTTGTACTTTGTTCCTAGATCATTAATGTATTTAATACCAACTCTAAGAGAGATCCTTTGAGCATGTGCTGTAGACTTTTTATATTGTGAAAATTGAAGAGTTAGTACCATGTCCTACTTTCTCTTTCCTAGGTGCTTGCTAATCCGCTGCAGCTTTTCCCCTCTCCACTCCACTAGTTTTCTTAATAGCCCTTTATGACAGACCATTGTAAAGAACTATTTGAAAGGACAGATAAATTATATACTCTGTTTCTCCCTTGCCAGCCACTTTGTTCACATGTTCAAATAATTCCATGGGATTGAAAGGCATCATTTTTCCTTACCTAATATTTGTCCCTATGTTCAAAGCTTCAAGATAAGGTATTACATATCTATATATGGCTTTTTTTTTACATGGAGGATATTTTAAAGAGAAATGGTGTTCCTGTTAGTAGTTGTTACACTTGAAACAGCAGCTGGAGCCCTTCTGAAAATGCAGGCCTTGCTGTCTGATCCTAGGAATGAATATTGCCTATCAAAAGAGCATACTCTTCTCCAAACAGCCAGTCTGCTCTCAGAATATGACCCTGGGGTCCGGCAGATTCCTACTGCAGGAAATTAGAGTTATAAACTCTACACAGACTAAACTTGGCTTCTGTCAAATGGCGCAATGGGAAAATGAGACTTTTCTTCCCACGCCTACACAGAGCCAGCTGACTTGGATCTAGAGAGAACCTGAGATGGATAAGAACTGAAATGCTTAGGAGGAAAAAGATCATCTTTAGATTTGAAAATGCAGTTGTTAGAGGGTCTTGATCCTGCAGCTAGTGCATTGCTATTTTACAAAGATCACTTTTTGCAGAGTAAGGAGGAATAGCAATTTTATATAATCATGTGTTCTTTGAAAATGCCTTTTTATTTTAAGAAGCCGACTGTTTCTGTTACCCTTACTAAAACTAGGCCAGTTTCAGTAGAATTTAACTGACTGTAATGGATCAAGTCTTATCCTCGGTACTTCAGGGCTCTGAGAGACACTTAGAAGAATGTCTGAGGGGTTGTTTTACATAAGGTGTTGATGCCAAAGAAAATGTTTTATTGTTAGCCCTTCAGCAAAGGTCATACAACAAAACTTAAATATGGTGATCACTTGAATATAATGATTGAATCCCAGTCGTAAACCGACCTGGAGTGCAAGATCTCAGCAGGTGCTCCTCCAATGTAGATATCTGTGAATGGCATTGCTGTTCTTTCATTGTCCACGCTTTTTATATGTCTCCTGTCTACTACCAAGATCATCTTCTTAGAATTGTGATAGATAATAGAAATCTGAAAAGAAAAGCGTGTGTTTAAAAATGTCATCTTTTGTAAGTCATCATGGTGATCTTGCAAAATTGATTGGATCTTTGTATCTTTTTGTTTGAAAAATTCCTCCAATTTATCAAAGAAATTGTTTGTAAATTGGGAGATGTTGGCAAAGATTACTACTAGGAAGCTTATTTTGATTGATCACAATTTCTCTGATGACTGAATCCTCAGGATATTTCACTTATGAATAAATCCACATGAAAGTACTCCTGTCAAATTCTGCACTGTGGCAAATAGATAAGCTCCATTAACCTCAGAATGCTTTCTTGATTTATCCAAGAAGTTAGGGCATACTTCTTAAAAAAATTATTTTGTTGTGAAAGCATAAAAGGCATAATTGTGCTGTACTTTAATATAAACAGAACTATAGTTGGGGGTCAGGAATCAAGTTGAGTTTACATCAAATAAATGGCAGGAGAAGCAATTCACTAAGGGAGATTTGCATAGTCACAGTTACACTGGCTTAAACCAAATTCCTGGAAACCAAATACAAGTAAATATTTTACATCTGCCAAAGTCCATAAAATACTGTGCATATATAAAAGAATGCTACCAAATCAACTATCTTTTCAAATGAAATGGGAAATGCTATATTTTTTGTACTACAATGCATAGCAACTAAGGTGGTGTCCTAGTTAGAACAGCTGGGACCAGTTCATCACTGTATGGGTGTAACCCAAAACTGTGTGTTCTATAGCCTTCCATGCCATTTCCCAGAAACTGTTATCAATAGACCATTTACACCATCTGCCCAAAGCACTCCTGACTCCTCAGGCTATAAACTGGGTGTTAAGAGGCCTGTGAGACAGGAGGATGCTCCTGTCCTCACACCCATTGTGGAACTTCCCGCCCTGAGGGAGGCACTGGGCATTCCTGCCTGAACCTGAGGATATATATAATCTTGGAGTCTTGGGACTTTTTGAACCACTCGTGGGAAACAGAGAAGGACTGAACCACCACTCTCGACCGGACTGCAATCACCACTATTGACCAGACTGCAACAGCACTCTCACCAACAGGTTTCTTTCCCTCTCCTTTTACTTTGGACTCAGGGGGCCCAACGAACACCACTCTGTTCATGCCCCAGGGTACTGGGTTATACATTTGGGTTTTGTGGGTTAAAACCAATTGTTTGTCTGTATAATCGTATTTATTGTATTATTTTATTAAATTGTTATTCTGACTTATAATCTCTCTTTTGAGTTGGGTTCATTTCCCCTGCCAGTTTACCTTTAAACCAGCACAGGTGGTCAAGTTAACATAATGACATGATTTTAGTTGAGGAGAGTTGTATATTTGAAATATAGAGCTGTCTTTGATATAATTTAATTTTGACTTAATAACACGTTTTCTCTCATGTAACTGTCCTGTCCTTGGCCAATAATACACAGAATCTGTCTAAAAGCATCGATTTATGAAGAGGAAGGGAGAGCCTTCCCTTTCCACTGCTCAGTAGTGGTGGGACTTGCATACACTCTACTCTTCTACCTGTTCTACTATATCACCACCTGGACCCTCATCATGGGTGTTGGAGCAATTATTGCTGCTTTGGAATTTCTGGGATAGCTAGTCAAATGGTTATGATAGTAACCACATCTCTACCTCATGAAATTTAGCATCATTAATCTGAGCCTTCTTCATGGAGTCCTCGAGAAGCACAGGACCATTGCTGAAGCCAAAGTCATAGAGAAGGTACAAGAAACCATTGTGCATCTCTAGGCTGAAGAACATGCTCTGTATAAAACAAAACAGCAGTCAGAAAAGCAGTCAGAAAAGCAGTATGTGGCAGCAACTAAAAAAAAAATTAATAAACAGTGCTACAAGAGTGACATTGTGAAAAGCATGATGGGAAAATATATTTTTATTTGCAAAACTATAACACAGTTATATTTTTATATTTATAATATATGTGTATATATGTACATGCACACGTAATTGTTTTATAAATGATACTTATTTGAAGACTTGGTGAACTGTTTCCCTATAGAAATAATATTTAGTAGCGCAGTAATGTCAATATTCTTTACCAGCAAAGTATTCCTAATGCAAACACAACTATTTACTGTTGAAGAAATACCACATGCCCTAAATGAAAGATGTTATACTGGTAAAAGCAATGTTGTGCTAGAATGGCTGCATCTGCATTAGCAGCTTCTGTCACAATGTCTGTAATGACTCAGGTTTTTTTTGTCTTTTCAAAGACGTGATCAACACTGATATATTTACTGAAGGTTGAGCAATAGCTAGAGTCTATTTACTATGTATTTGGTTTTTGGAATTCCTGTCAGTTCCTGCTTTAGCTTCTATTCTGTGGCTGGATGACCTAGATTTTATAAGCAGGAACTATACTTTAGAAAGTCTTTAAGGAGTGCTTGAAATGAAGATCTGTACCATGGAATTAGCCTTGTTCCAAAACTGAACATAAAGAATCAGAAAGGGCAGTTTACAGCATAAGTGCATCTGTGTAATGTTTTTAATGATAATGCTTGTCTTCTCTCCTAGTGTTCATAATGTTGTTTCCATGCCTAATGGAAACATGGGAACAATAATTCTCAAAACTCTACTGGAGGCCAAGAACTGCTGTCTTTGACATAGATGAGTCCACTTTCAGAAGTCATTATTTAAAGAAGTAAGAGTAGGTTTTAATCTAGTACTTTTAAATGAAACTGCAGCGTGGCTTTGTTCTGAACAGCTTAAACTTGAAAATGAAACAGGGATTACATTCAGAATATTTATGAGCTGTCTTTACAGAACTGAATAATGGACCGGCTTACACAGACTTTCTAAAAGTGCTTGTGAGAGGACATGGTCTCCCACAGCTGACATCCAACTTGATTGCAGCTTCCACTGTCAAACACAAAGTGCATATGTCTCCAAAAACCTCTAGGTGCTTTTGCTTGAAAGAAAAATAACTGGCCTGCAATAGAGGCTGTTAAAATTTTAACAGCAGCTGCTTAGTCAAAGCCTCCTAAGAATTAAGGTTAGTGGTAGCATGAGTAAATTGCAGCAGAGTAAATTGCTTCCCACAACTCTCCTCTGGAAGTTACTCTAAAGACAAACATTAGAGGGTTCTTCTAATGAGAGTGGATTTTTTTCCCTTCTAAATGCTTAATGCAGTGTTACATGTAGGTGTCTAGACAAGTGTCTGTCTGGAGACTGCATCTGCGAAAGAAAAATGTTTTCTGTGGCCTTCCCAGGTTGTAATCCACACAGGACTTGGGAGCTTGATGTGAAGATGTCCAAAGACAAAAAAATCCAATGTCTTCAGAGGATATTTTCATGTGGAGTCTACTTTCTTCAAACTCTTACAGAGATTGCATCACCCTCAAAGTTCAGAAAAGCTGCTGACATTTGGATCAAGCATTTTTATTTGGAGTGCTTTCTATTTTCAGTAACTTAAATATTTAACTATAGTACACCCTGAGGCACAGTTATAAAGTGGCAGCTACCACAAAGTGTCTGCTTTTTGGGAGTTACTTCATAGAAATTTTATATCGCTTTGATTGTACATTCACAGTTAAGTAAAGGTACAACTACTGGGCTTAACTGGAGTCTCTCTCGAAGTATCATCACAAGGATATGACCAGTTTGAAGTCCTGACTGTCTCTGGATGAAAGCAGAGTTCAACTCAGGGCCTCATCTTCCTGAGACCTTTTCAGAGCAAGTTCCAGTTCCCTCCTAATGTATACATGCACCAGATGAATACAAAATATTTCCTCTTTTCAGAAGTTAAGTGTAAGGACATAAGCAATTTGGATTGGGGAACTTATGATGCTCATGGATAAAGGGTACCAGCAGGATTTGGTACTCACCCCATTAATCATCAGCAGGATCAATCCGTTGTCCGTAGGTGTTCGAACTTCTATGTCAAATCGAGTTACCTGGCTGAATCTTCCCCTTCTCTCAATGTTTCTTGCCAAGGCGTAGCCAGAGCCATCAAAGAAATAGCTCACAGCCCGGCTCTGAGTGAAAGCCAACTTATCTCTATAAAAGAACGAGATGGGAAGGATCAGTTGGTATGCACCCATTTTAATTTGGGGAAACTTAAAGACCTTTACATACTTTATTGAAATAATTGTTCTGAACTTCTGCTTCTTCCTGGCAATGGTGAGACTGATGACTTTCTTTCAAATTTTTGTCTATGAATTTTTTTCTGAAAAATAGTATGTATCTTCGGAGGTGTATCTAACTCCTTCATCATGCTTTAATCCTGTGCTGTATGTAGAGGACAGGAAAATTCTTTGCTCATCCTTGTAAAGTGACAGGCCCACAGCACCTCCTCATTATAAGGATACACATATATTTCTATTAAGAGCTTGACCAGTTTGTGCAGAAATCCATTTGAAATCTCTGAGGCCTTTAGCTGAGCATGGACTCTGCTGGGGAGCCCAGGAGTCGTGGAGAGCAGCACCTTGAGCTCCCTGTGGGAATGGTGTGGAAAGCCACAATTTGTGCTATCCTAGCACTTCCTGCATTTTTTCCCACCGCATGAGGCAAATTTCTCACCTGTTCTTTCTCTAGAGAGGTTCTACTGTTGCTTCCTGTTGTGTAAGAAAATGCCTGCCTTGTCTGTGCTAAATGACTGCTACAGTTGATGTTCACTTCTGCTTTAGGAGCTGCATTTCCCAGTTTGTGAAAGGCTTATCTAAGGAATTTCTGTCGTGGATTTAAGAGTGTATGGCAGAAAGATAGCTTCAATACTGGCTTTGCTACCTGGGAGTGGGACTGCATTCAAGGTTACCAGACCCACGAGAGCTGACTGGCTGTGGCTGTATCACTTACAGCAACATAATTTGAGTATGGATCCTCCCTGTCCTAGACAAGCAGTCGGGTTAGGAGCGACATGGGACATGCTTCAGCTAACATGACAGTTCCCTTTTGGAAGGCATGATCAAGATTGTGAGATAGTTAGTGGAGACTACAGAAAATTATAAAGTATCTCAAGTTAAAAGGGACCCATACGGATCATAGAGTCCAACATGTATACATACACATACATACATATATATATACATACATATATACATATAAAAATTAAACGTGCTGATGCAATCAGGAGCTAAAAGTAACCAAGTTCCTTCTGAACAACTCAGTGTCACCTTCACGTTTGTAAAATAAAATCGGGACTGGTACTTGAAACAAACCAGAGTAGCAGAGTGAGGACTGGAGTGTCCCCTACCTGGCACAAGGTGGCGATGTGGTGGTGTCGATGTTGTAGACGTGCTTGAAGTTGTACAGGCTGATCACATCATTGTTTAGGGTAGCCAATTCCAGACAGCCGATGAAGCCAGGTAGGTTCAGGCTAGGAGGGAGCTGTGCAGAGGACAAGGAAGAGTAAAAGGGGAAAGGTCACACTCTAGTTAGGTATTGGGAGATCATTTGTGCCTGGGATCAGTTTTGTCCCTGTGCAATTTGTATTTTGAAAAAAATGGGGTGATACTACTGTGAATAGTCTTCACAGACCTTATCATGATATGGTCTATGGGCTGTAAGTTAAAAGGAAGCACATAAATGGTCTCAGAGTGAAAAAATTAAACCAGGAAAGGCAAATGCAAACAAAAGCTTCCTTTGTAGTTTTGAGTGGAGCACACTTGGAAAAGGGGGAAAGAGTTAAGATTTGACTAATAACCGATCTTACTCAATGTATTTGAATCTCTCAGTAGATAATTCATATCTAATGTATAGACATTGTTCACCTCAGAAAAATAACTTCATACCATGATGAAAAGGGAGAGAAATGAGAGAGCTCTTTAAACCCAGGAGACTGGGATTCAAAGTCTGTACCAGTGGGTAATCCTCAGTAGGTATTATTTTGAAGAGTTAGCAGGATGTAGAAACTTTTTCTTTTAATAAAGGTCACTGCAAATGGAATTTAAATAGCCACACTGGTGAGGGGAAAATTCCAAAGAATAACACTGACAGAGCTAGTGAATCATTCTTTTTATATTAAAATATTCTGCCCTGTGGAACAGGTGTGATATTAATAACAGCTCTTGTACTTCAGAGTTTGATCACTGTGAGTAAGTTCATCTTCTCATTATTTCCATTTTGCTTATGATATAATAGCAATGGTAATACAGCAATGCAGAATATATGTAGCTGTAAAAGAAAATCAGATTCTTATCTGCGGCACAGATACATTTGGCAAATGATCATGGTTTCCCCCCCTCTGTTTTGTCTACTATTTTGTTTAATTATGTTAAGGCTGAAACTTCCAATGGTTAGAAGTAGGTGGTACATTTCGTATTTGCAAAGTATGTAACTGGGAAGCAAAGGCAAAAGCTTTTAGCAAATAAGACCGTATGCTAATAAATGAAAATGTGAGTTGCCCTTTTCTAAGGGGAAAGAGGCCCCTATGCTTATTAAATAATACCATGAATAATTTTCTTCCCATTTTCTTTCACTTTTCTCTTTTGTTTTTCCTCTGCCCTGCTCTGGAACACACCTGGAGGGTTCATTTACTGGATGACTTTTTTGTGTGTGTATGTGTTCTATTCCCAGGCAATTTGCACCCAAGGCTCAGTAATCTAGAATTTGGATCATGGCATCTATCTGGTAGTCATAACAGTGCAAAGCTCAGGAATACGTAAGTGTATTGAATTAATCTTTCTTTGTTTTTATACTGCTAGAAGAGCTGCTTGTGGATCAGTATTTGGATCTTGAAAAAAACTGTTAGCCTGCAAGATTTGTTAAGCTGGACTAATAGACCTCATTTATGCATGCTAGTAAACAATTAGCAAGCCTTTCTTTGATTAAATTTCTGAAAACTTGAACACCGGCTATCATCAATATGATCATCTCACTGTATGACATAATATGCAAGAGAAAACTGTTTTTCCCATGGCTAAAAGATGAAGTCCTATGATAATAAATGACTAAATAAGGAAATTTTCTTTATTTACCATTTCTATGTTTAAAGGGAAGTCCAGCAAGATAAGTTTGCACTATTTAGTTTTGAATACAGAATATTTATCTGACCAACCTTGAAGCCTGGAGGCACTCCACCGACATAGAAAACAGCATTTTCAGGTTCCAAATTAAGGAGAGAGCCAGGACCAAGAACCTCTCCCTTTTTGATGAATTTTTCTTCATCTGTGCTGCTAAGACTGGGCACAGTTAAAAACATTTTGCCATGTCTTCCAATCCTGTAGAAAGGAATTGTAAGAGAAGAGAGTTTCATGTTGGCTGGACTTAAAAAAGAATAAGAAAGCCTTCAGCTCCAGGAAGGGTTTTTATTTCCTTACTAGAAGACTAGTAATCTGGGGGAAGAGAAAAGGAGAAACCACAGACACTTTCTCTTCCTCCATGTGGCCCTTTGGATCCTGGTTCTCCAAAAGCAGAGAGAATTTCCATCTATTTCAGAAGGAATAGAACCAGACACTGAAGATTCTTGTTGGGCAGTTCTGACACAGGCTTTTCTGCTTGATTTTATTTTCCTACTGTTTGATTTGGGGAAAATGCACATAATCACTTTACCTCTCAATTTTGATGATGCTGAAGTAAGAAGGCCAGGTGCTGACTGGCTTGGCATCCAGAGGTATCTCCACGTCTTGGCCCCCCAGATTATAAATGTACACAAGATTGTCATTTTTAATTGCAAGACCAATGTAATGTTTTGCCTAAAAAAACAATGGAGAAGGATGTCAGAGATACAACACCAAAAGAGATTTAATGCAGAACATTAGTAAAGGGAGGGCTTTGATAAACTAAATGACACCTTTTAATATTACTATAAAAAGCTATTTAAATATAAACAAAAGCTTCATTCTCTAATTGGTTGCTTTCACCAGATAAAACTGTATAGAAAAATCTCTTGATATTTTACTTTATATCAATTTTCACTGCCTTAAATACAAGGTCAGTGAGATGTCTGCTGACCATGAATTAGTCATGTTCAATGGGAAGCTATTCATCAGTATTTGGTGTGCAGTGTTATGCAGGAAATAGTCTAAAGCCTAGATATTATGCTGCAATTAAATATTCTGTCAAAAGTGGTTTCACTTGATTTATATTCAGTAGTCATTCTTTGTAGAAAAGCTTAAAAATAAAAGACTGTCTCTTTACCCTTCCGAGGTAACAAATTGCCAGGATTATACCTGGCTTGTGAGGTGTGATTTTTTTTCTTTTAGGGACCATAATTTAAAGAACAGCTATTTCAAAGCAGTGGTCTACAGAGTATACAACAGCAGCACAAGCCACAGATAAAGAAAACTGCTTATCTTGTGGGCCTCTGACCTCAGAGATTTGGAATTGACACTGTCAGCAACATAAACTGATTAAATTGTATCTCACAAAAGCCAGGTGGGTGACATTAACTGCTTCAGATCACCTTGGTACTAGCAGTGGAGATAGCAAGTATGGCTTGCATCAGTGTCAATCAAAGCAGTACACTCAATAGGCAGTCCAATTTCCTTTTAAGAGAGAATCCTTCATTTTTTGAGGTGAGAAGTCTCAAGGACAAGAGTCTCAGGAACCCTTGCTCTTTGCTTGTCACAAAATCAATGACAGTCATATAGTAGACACCTCTTATTTTGAAACACGAAGAAACAGTGAAAGGAAAAACCAGGGGCAAACAAAATTCAAACCTATTTCAATTTTCATTTTTTTGTTAAAAATATATGTAAAAAAAAAAACACAACTGAATTGTTCTCTTACGTTTTTGTTTCCGAGGTACAAAATGAATCTGTCTGGAGATGCTGCCAGTTGTGGATTGTCTTTCTGAAGCTTTATGTACAAGCTCATGGAAGTGAAAGATTTCAGTTCCTCCACGTTGATCTTTGGATTGACTTCAACAGCTGATTGGCCTCCAAACATCATGGAAACTTGGACCTGCAGTTGCAAGTGTGCTACGTGAGACAGATTATTGCTGCCTGGGGTAATTACTTAAGGTAAATATGCAAGAATACTTAGGCAAGTATTGGCTTAGTGAGAGAGTAGAGTTGGCACCTATATGTTAGCCATGTAAAATTGCATGTTTATAACAATCATTTCTGGAAGACGCTGTAAAGAACATGAAAGAAATTAATTTTAAAATTAATTAAAGGTCCTAATTAACTCTGCTTAAGCATATTCATGTAGTAAATCATATATCAGTGGGAGACAGATATATTCTTAGTTGAATCAGGGCACATAACGAAATCCTTACATAGCTATAAAGCTTCTGGTAATAATTTATTTCTTAGCTTTGCAAGGAGCATGACCAATTTTCTTTTCATGAGTAATCCTGTTATATTACTGATTCTACAGTGATATTTATGAGATGCTAATAAAATTGTAAAACCTTTTCATTTTAGTTCAAAATGCCTTCAACATGACTGAAGTAATGCTTTCAAATTGAAGCACAATATGCCTGAATGGCAAAATACATTTAAAGACCAGTCAAGCACTGCACACATACTGATTTTTCCTTTTCTTTTTTAAGTAATATATGTGGACTGCATATTCCAGCATTTTGAACATTTTTTATTTCTCTGAATTTTTTATTTCTCTGAATGAATTCAAATACACTTTTAATTTTTGACATTGGTATTCTCGTTACAGAAAAAAACTTCATTATTTATGAAATGAAAGTGTTTTTTCTCTACTAAATATGTGCAGGCCAAAAGTTCTCTTACCCTGAAGAAAATGAATTAAAAAGAAATACTGTTATCTCAGAAAAGTTTACATTAAATTGCCATAATTACTATTCCTGAAAACTAATGCTGCCAGCTGAGTAATGATCTATTAGTTTTAGCTTTGAATGGTTTTGTTGTTGAGGCCATCTTATGCACTGTGCCAATAACTTTATTAAAGTTCCTAGTGCAGTAGCAATAGTCTACCCCAACTACCATGATAATGTTGACTGCTTGCAAAATAGGAACTGTAAAGATTTTACTGACCTCCATGGTGCTTTGTTTCTCTAGTTTTGGGGAGGTGATAATGTCCAGGTTTGGACTTCTAATACAGCCCAAGGAAATGGAGGTTATAGTAAGATGCATTTGATTATTAACACTAGTATCCAGAAGTCCCATCCAAAAGTTTTACCTTGCTTGCTACACTCCTGGTTTGTGCAATTAACTCTCTGATCCGCTGTATGCTGGAAGAAATATTGTTTGCTGGTGCCTTCTGTTCTACTCTGCGCAGTTTGTCCAGGAGTTCAGGAAAAACTTCTGTAAGTTTCTTCACTGTAGTTAGAAAAAAGTGACAACGCGGTTTTTTCCTCTTTGAAACACTGATTTTGCACCAGGAAAATTTCTTATTATCCTCTTAGGTTAACTTACCTGTTTCCTTCTGCTTTAAGAACAAATTCACACTGTAGTGTATGAGAGACAGTGATTTTAGAAAGAGTAGTGAATTATAAGAATCTAGTATTGCAAAAGGTTTTGGGAATAAGTTTGCACAAAGGAGACTACGTTTTAAGGAGACTCCTAGGTAATACCGTGGTGAGTTACCTCTGTAATACTTTCCTCAAGGAGCTCTGCAAATGTTAATAATTTTAACCTTTTCATCTTCCTTCAAGGCAAATACATGTTAAACCCAATTTTACAGATATGGCAACTGGAGCAGAAGGATTATTTGTTCAGCATCTCACTGGTTATCTGTGGCTGACCTGGGAAGTGCATCTAGGAGTTATGGTTCAAAAGCTCTTCAAATTCATTGTAGGGGAGATGTATAGATTGTTTTCCTCAGCTTTCGTCTGTGCATCTCTCCCAAAGGTCATACCCAGATAACAGCAATGGCTGCACAGGTGTCTGCATGTGGTTCGCAGCCCACTCGTAATAGAAACACTGCCACTTCCAGACTGTGGTAACAGGCCTGTAGTGTACAAAAATAGAAGGCCTTAGGTGATAATGTGCGTGCACCTAAACTGTACTTACTGCCTGCCCCAGCTCTTGTGATTGGTAACCTCTTCGGCTTTCCTGCCTACATCTTCCAGAGGTCGTGAATGAGAGTCCAGGACCTTTGGTCTTTTGCTGCTGTATCTTCTGGTGGTACATGTACAAGTGTCATTGTTATCATTGGGAAATACAGGGGCTTTGTTGTGTTCAAAGGGACATAAGTCCTTTTCCAAAAAGATAAGCAGAACAAATTTTCAAGAAAGAAAAATAAGTACCCTTAGTTATAATCCAATTTCATCACATCACATTCCAATGACATGTTGCCCTTTGAAGGATATTTACACATCACATCAGTTTTCATCTTTAATTAAATGTAGGTACAAGTAGCTGAGTATAATGAAATGCGATTTTAGCTGCAAGCTACGTGCGTGTAAGAAAGATCCAGCATTCAGAGTTAATTTTTAATGACATGGATTGCCTATAAAGGTTAAACCAGATTTGTAGGGTTTGCAGTTACATTTTAGGGGTTGTCAACTTGTGTCCACCTGCTTTTGTGTTCTTCCCTGCATATTGTTACTCTTGTCCGATAATCACAGAATCATAGAATGGCTTGGGTTGGAAGGAAGTTTAAAGATCATCTAGTTCCAACCCCGCTGCTGTGGGCAGGGACACCTTCCACTTCTCAGGTTGCTCAGAGCCCCATCCAGTCTGTCCTTGAACGTTGCCAGGAGAAGATAGCAGAGAAGGCAGGTAGAGGGGCTAATCATCAGATATACTGAGACTGTATAAAAGGTAAGAAAGGAGGAGTAGACTCCCATCACTTTTCTATTCTTCCAGTCTGTATTGTCTAAAGACTGAAGCAGCTCTCAGCTTCATTCAGATCAACACAGAATATGAGAATATCCCATGGAATCCTACAGATCTGCCTCTCTTTGGACAGAGTGAAAAGCTATATTTGCCTCAGTCCTGTTCTCTCTCTGCTTGGCTGTTTTCACTTGTCTTTTACTTTCCAAGTTCAGTGTAGGAGTGGGCCATATAGAGTTTTAGTTATTACAGTTATTCCCATTAAGTCCTGAAAGTCCCTTATGTTCTGGGGTCAGTAATCAGATATTCTATATAACGTCTACTGTATATTAAAAAGCCATTATTTTTAGCAAATTCTCAAAGTAACACAGTAATTCCTGAATGCATTAAAATTAAAAGACCAAACCCAAATGGAATGATAATCAACTTATAAAAAGTTTTCTCTGCCTTTTGAAATGAATGTTGCATTGCATTGGAAAAAAGCCCACATTATTTTTATAGGTAAAAAAATTAAAAGCTCAGAAAGGGATTTAGCAAATTTCAACCACTTTTTTTTTTTTTTTAAATAATCCACAACTGAATTGGAATTGAGTTTGATCTGATATCTTTTAAACCTGGATTTTCATCGTTTGAAATTTGGTGTACGAAAATTGAAATGCTATTGTAACATGAAAATGCAAAGCTAACATCTATTACTACTAGAACTGTTATAAAATCTCAACGTAAATATCTTTCTTTGGTCCTTTATAATGGCATTCTTCAACACAGAAGAATATTGATTTTTGATTTTAATAATGGGATGAAGGTAAGAGTGGAAAAGGAAAACTAGTCTTACTAAGTGATGAAATATAAAAAAAGAATAGAAGGGAAACTGTCAAGGAGGATATACCTTGACTGTAACCTTCCAGACACTTTCTCCTTTCATGTTTTTCTTCCCAATCTGTCCTTCATACTGTCTGCTGAAGCCCTCCAGTTCCTGCACAATGGAAACAGGCAGTATTCTCAGATATGCTCTTGCCCTTCCAAAAATCAAGTTCAAGCTTTATTCAAAGGCAATCCAGATATGCCAGTTTATAGGCTTCAGCTGCTTATGGTAGTGCTATCGGTATGATGATCAGGTGTTTTAGTGTTTCAGGAACCCATCTGAACATTTGTTGTGACTTTCTTTTGGACTTTGGTGGACATTCCTCCTGTCAGATCAACCTCTCCTGGCAAAATACACAGCTGATCTGGGAACACTCCACTGTGCTTGGCGTGTCTGTATCTGTCTTCCCAGGCAGTGAATCACAGTCACATCTGTCTGGAGCACTACCTGTGCCAGCCTTCTATGTAGCACCGATCTCTCTTCTCAGCTATTTCCACCTGATCTTTCTGGCAAAAAAAAAAAAGTCATACCGCCTTTGTACCTTAAAACAAGCAGAACAAATGCCTTCAGACGCAAAAATGCCATGAAAAGCTGCCTCCACAAAAGCACTAGGGCACACTTTGCTGTAGTTTGCATATTATCATCTCTTCAACAGTGAGTTTGTGGTCAACAGGCCCTCGAGGCACTTTCATATGAATGCAGTATTTTCAAGGTAACTCCCTACCTGCAAAACCACAGTCACAGAGAACACATTTTTGCCAGGCACATCACATAGGAGCTGAACTGTTCTTAACAACTGGTGGTGCGTGTACCATGCATGCCTTTTTGAGAACATAACAAAATAGGAGAGCTGGGCCATCTTAACTCTGTTCACTCTTACGGAGCGTCTCAAATGCCACTGGAGATATTTCTTCCAGAACAACAGCTAGTACGAGTGGATTTTTTGAATCCTGACTGTCTGCTGGTATTTTGAGCATGAAGAGCCAAATGTAGTCTGTGTTGCTGCTCTATCTGCTAAGCTGGCACTGGTAAATGTTAAATGTAAATCAAGTGTAAAGGTGAATAAAAACAAAAACTTTCATGTGTAAGCTACAGCAGACTGTTTCTCTTGGATGTTTTTCATACTATTCCCTCCTGGGAGGCCAATCATATCCACATTTACATTATCTTAAATGGGAATTAGAGCCCATAGCCCATAGCCTAAACTCTGCTCTGTGGTGATCAAAAATATTTTACAGCAATGCAACACAATTGCTGTTAAATTAACTATATGCTCATGGAGCTCTGTGCAGTGACTAACAGTGAGTTTATCTATTCCCAAAAAGAGCAGCTCACTGTTTCCTTTAGATGAAAAGCTCAGAGAAATCTGAGATTTTCTCCAGTTCTGGAGACAGAAATTGAGTTATTGAACAGCACTGAATTTATTCTTGCAGAGGGAACCACTCCTAAACCAGTTCTTGGGAGCACTGGTTTCACTTAATGAAAAATACTAGTATAAGGGTCTTATTCATTACTGAATTCTGAAAATAACATGACCTTTGGGTTTCCCTGACCTAGAGGGAAGAGTGTGACTTTGGGGCACTAGAAGCAACATTGGGTTTGGTACTCATTTGGTACTCAACACCATTTGCAGTAAAATGACAGCTGAGTTGCCAAGTTTCTGACGGACAAGGGATTTAGGGCAGTAGATCTTAGATTCAGACTTTCTGGATATAGAGTCAGTGGAGTTATGGACCTTCTCTGAGGCACTTGCAGAAGGCAAGACATCACTGAACAGTGTTGCAGGTGATGGTATCATCAAACGTATGAAGGAAATTATTTTATGGCAAGATTTCCTTGCCATAAATACCTTGGGATTAGTGAGCCTCCTGAGCAGAGCCAGGAATACATTGAGCAATAAATAGTGGTGCTTGTTACCAATTTTTTATTCTGAATATTTTAATTTCTAGATTGATTCTTTTCTTTCGAAATTGTTCTTTTCCTTCTTTCAACAGTCACTTCATTTCAGCTTCACTCTCACTGCCTTTTTTCCACTCTTGCCTATCATCTTCATTTCAATTTTGTAGTCTGCCCTAGGGTTTTTTTTTTGTGTTTTTATTTATGTTAAATTTTTCATAACAAGTTTTCTAATGTTTACTTTTTCTTCTTCCCCAATAATAAAAGTGGAATTAATGTGATGTTTACAAGCTTTTCCAGCAATCACCCTGCTTAAATATTTTATTTCCTCGTTGATCCTCTTTGCCCTCTTTGTTTAGACTACAAGCTCATTGAGTCAGGGACCATTTCTCCTCCATGTTTGTACTACTGAGGACGAAAGGGCTCTGTTTTGAAATGCCTACCAATGTTAAAAACCAAAAAAACAAAACTAAATCACCAATCATAATAGCAAGAAGTGTTTAAACAAGCTGTCTACCATTCAGTGTTACCTTGGTACCATGATAAAAATGACTTAGAAGCCAATAAATCTTCATCACATAAGAGTTTTAAGTAATTTTTGGAAATGCGCAAATATCCAACACTTTTAAAATATAGTCAAGACTATAGATAACCACTAATTTTTGAAATGATTTCATGGAGGTAAAATTTTAGATTATATGCAATATAATATGCAATGTAAACAATTCATACAACATGATGTTATGGTGATTCCCTGACTTTTTAATGCTAAGGAATGGCAAAATTCAGGTCACCATACCTGCATCCCCAGCTGAATGCACAGCATTGTCGTATGCCTCTGAACTGTGCTGGAAATCTTGCAGATTTTGCGACCATAACCTCACATTCTCACCCATGGGGGTCGTAGCCTCTGTTACTGTCATGGTAGCACTTACAGCCTCTGCAGTCTTCTGTTTAGCTTGCTCCAAACGCTCTCTGGCCACCACTACAAAGAGGGAGTAAGGAGAAATGAACTCTTTCAAAGGTTCAAGTGTGTTGTTTGTCCTGTCTCCCCCCCTTGCCCCGTGTGTCCTGTCCCCACCACCAACTCCCAGTGTCCCCTTTCCTTCTTCTTCCCAGTTCATATACTGAGCATGATGTCATATGGTATGAAATACCCCTTTGGTCAGTCAAGGTCAGCTGTTCCAGCTGTGCCTCTTGCTACCTTCCCATGCACCCCTAGTCCCCTCACCAGCATGGCAGTATGAGAAGAAGAAAAGGCCTTGGCTCTGTGTAAGCCCTGGTCAGCAACAGCAAAAACATCTCTATATTACAACCCTGTGTTCAGCACAAATCAAAAACACGGCCACATATTCACCACTTTGAAGAAAGTTAACTCTACCCCAGTTAAAACCAGCACAAGGATCAAGAAGAATGTTCATAATTTCAGGTGGCAAAACACTTATTTCATTATGAATGTGTTAAAGCTGGGTGTTTGCTATCTGGGTCTACTAGTTTCAGTCAAATTCCTTTAGGCCTCCCTAGTACTGAAATCTTAATAGTAACTTCATAGGTCATATGGAAAGATAAAAATATGTTCTTGATTGTATGAAGATAAAGCATCATAAAGGTTAAGTTCCAACCTGGGTCTGCTGATTGCATTTTTGCAACGGCTCTCATCAGTTGGTTTCGCAGAACATTCATTCTGGCAAAAGTGCCATTAACCTGCCAGCTGGTGTCTGCAATGTTATAATCATTACCTGTGGGGAGAAAATAGGAGGTAAAGCTAAGCGGCATCAAAGTGACATTCAAAAAGGTAAGTTTAATTCTGTGGAGGTATGTTATTAGGCATTTAATACACCACAGACCATGGCCTCTTTTAGTACAGGACATACTAGCACTCTCGACTTCATGTAATCTAAAGGAAAAAGCAACCTTGCAGTTCCCAGCCACTATTTGCTTGCCACAGGGTGTCATACAAAAATCTGGAGACCTGTATCTCAGTCAGTACTCTCTCTCTTTGCTTTACCAGAAGTGCTGGGAATAGCTGCAACAAGTATACAGGAGAAGTTTTAAGGAACTCAGAAAGTCCCAAAAAATTGAAAAGGTAATTCTGCAATTTTAGAGCTTTCTTTCTTTCACAGTGAACAAAGGCCAAAATCCTTTTAGATTTTGGTGAAATTGGTGAAATCCAGCTTGCTGAACACTTATACTATTGTGATTTACTTTTTGTTGAGCTACTAAACTGAATATATTTACCAGTGAACAACTGTTTGCAGGGTCACATATTTAAACAGTGATGTGCCTTAGTGCCTTACTGATGTGCTTTTAAAATTTACTTTAACATGCATGCCTTTATGCTGACTGGGAAAGTAGAAAGGATGTATATTTACTGTCATATGTTGTCCGTTGTAGCTGCATGGCTCGGATGAGAAGTTCTTCACTTTTACCTTTATGGTAAATGACCTGAGTATCAATTCCAACTGCAGCCTACAAGTATGTTCCAAAAAAGAAAGTCAGAATAATGTTTACCAAATGTTCTGCTTTATCATGTTCAATTATGGACAACATATTACCTGCATATAAATGCAATTGCAAAGTCACTGCAGTTTCGTTACCTTTGTTAACACTTAAGATTGGCAAAAAAGACCGAAAAGCAGAATTTTTTGTTTTAAAAACATTTAGAGAAATGTGTGGTTTTCCAGACAACACTACTGAATAACAAAGGTTCAGAAAGCACAAAAGTCCTCCTAATTTATCAGCTCCAGTTTAGTCAACGTGACACTCATGCTGCATGTTAGGCACTGACTACTGTCATCTCAGATAGGTGCTGAATGTTTGCACTGCATGGGGACCTGCCTTGCAGTCTGCAATAGCATGCTGGAAACAGAGGGCTGGACTTGAAATCCCACAGCCCTCTGGGGTTCAGGACCCTTTAATCTACCAAAGTCCTTTTGCTATCCCACTAATAAATTGTTGGTAAATAGCATGTATACAAATTGGAAACTATATATGTACAAAAAATACTTATAAAGTATTCTAGAACAGTAAGGCCAGAGACAAAATTAGCATCCTTATCCTTATGCTGAGTATATGAGTGGGCTTTGTCCCATTTTAACTTGATTTTCTATGAGAAACAGTGGTGCTTCTGTTAGATATCCTGACCACCTTTTCTGCCACATGGCACTGAGTGAACTAGCAGGACTCAAGCACTAAATGCCAGCTCAGGTTCCCACAAGGCCAGGAAGTTTTCTGGACTTTCACAGAAGTGTCCCAATATGATTCACAACACAGAGCAGCATCACTCTGTGATGGGATACGGGCAGAAGAACCTGTTGGGTCTTTTCGAATATCAGGGAACTCAGACTGGCAGAATAATTAACCGCATAGGATTTAATTCAGGAAATAATAAAGGGAAAATAGGTGTGCAGTGAGAAGTTCAATGCTGCCAGTTAAGCTACATCTTGTTTTTAATTTACACTTATGTGTCTGAAGTCCTTGAAGCATTGCAAAGTAAAAGCTGATGTTATGAAATTTACGTACATCTTTAACCCGGTTTGTTGTGTTCAGTGCCAACAATGCAGCTTTATTAGCTTCTTCAATATAACCAGCAATATTTTCATACACATTTGAAGCATTGATTGCCCTTTGTACCAAACCATTTGAATCGACGCCATACAAATTCCTGTTAAAAAGAGAGTAAAAGAAGAAATCAAACTGAATCAAAGTAGTTTCAAATTGGTCAATATTCTCAACATTCTGACTTCATAATCACACACATAAATATACTTAGCCTAAGTGGTAGTCTCTTCATTGTGTATGACCAACCTGAAACAGGTGGAAATTATGTGGATAGAAGGTACTTCCCAGTCATTTAACTCCAGGCATTTTGCACTTAACATCTATGCGAGCAGGAACACGTGACTACTGAACTTTTATCTTTTTTTAATCTAAATTAGATATTCCATAAATTAACAGAATAACAGATCTATTGGTAGTCCTTCTTTAGGAATAACTTCTGGCCATGAATGGAAAGACCTGTGTGTGTCAGTGACCAGGACAGATGTATCACTTGCATGTTTATATTTTCCAAAAGTAGGTGGGAAAAGAAGAAGATCAGATGAAGAACTACTCGTGGTCATGAAACTTTGCAAGAAGTTAAATTTAAAAAACACAAGACAACTTTGATGGCATGGTTGAGCTTGATTTGCATATTAGGTGATAACTGGGAGATAAGGGGATATTCCAAACAGCAGCTGGTTCAGGGCTCAACATTCAGCTATTAACAATTCTGAATCAATATTATTTTTTAATGTTTTAGTGATAAGCAGATTTCACAGTATATATGAGATATAGATTTAAATATAAATATATATATTTGTATGTGTGTGCATTCACTTCAAAGTGTTTGCACACTGAGGGATTGCTAAGTTTCCAGATTCAGTGTTGTTGCAAGAATTTTCAGCTATATTCCCCTAAGGCAAAAGAATAAACTCTATCAAATAAAATCTTAACAGGCTAATAAAGCAAACTTATAAAACCAAAATGATTTGAGGTCAGGCAAAATGTTTTAAAGGATTAAAGTTTCACTGCAGGACAATGTTCTTAACAAATAAAAGAGTCAGCATATTTCTGTATGGATATTTTGTAATTACTTTTGTTTGCTTTTTGTGAAATTCCTAATGTGTTTGACTTGGTAGTAGTTTTTAAATTATTTTGGCAAGTGAGGAAGGCTAGCCATATGGGGTATTTTCTTTCAAGTGATTCTACTGCCCCCAGTTAGCTGATCTCAGACTGAACATATTGTTTGGTTTTTAGGTTGTGTGTAGTTTGTGTGGCATTATAGAACAGTTTCAGATGTCAGCTTTATATAATTGTATAAAAGAAAACCATCTGTTATTTTTTTCCTCTATTTTAATCTCCTATATAGGGCATACTATTATTAAGAAACAACTGGTATTAGAATAACATACCTGAATAGTAGTTTTAAGTTTATCTTCCAAAAGCATATGTCCATGATGTTACTTAAGGCAGAATTCAGTGACATATTTTATTTAAGAATTCGTTTACAGCAGAGATTTTTCCATGTGTAGTCCCAATTGCAAATAAGGTCATATTTCAAATCTGTCTAGAATAGTAGATTTGTACTACTAGTAAGTTAGTAAATTGATGCAATGTTGATGCATTTAGTATCTTCCAGCAAGATAAAAAGACTTACAGTAATTTTTTATTATTACTGTGCGCCAGTTTCACTGGGACACAACCTATTGTGAATCAGAACTACTCCATCTGTAAACAAGTTCTTGAACAAAAATTATCTCAAAGCCCATATTGTGTCCTGTAATGCTAAATGTTTTTTTATGTGAATGAACTTACTGACACGAGCTGTTTCTGCCTGTATTGTTTTACTTTCCAGTGATCTACCTTTCCTATTCTTTTGGTATTGGAAGAGAATGTCATGCAAGATATGTGTTCTTTAAAAAGTTTCATAGATTTTGCTTAGCTCAATTTCAGTTGTTCCCTCTGGACCATGACAAGTCCTTCTATACGTGACTTAACACTGTTTTGTGTAGTGCCTATTTATGGTCATGGTGTTTCTCCTTGTCTTTTAGTTCATTCAGCTGTTCAGTAAATAGCACTTGTATGAACAGAGTCTGCTGAAGTTAAATTTTACCCGTCCAGCTCATCAGCAAGTCTTCTTAGGTTGTGTGTATGATGCATAGCCTTTTCTACCAAATCATCATCAAACAGAGACAGATTGGCTATTTTTTCTTGCAATTCCTTTTTCGCTCCATCTATTTCTGCGTAGAACCCTGATGCATTCTGAACAAATTATGGAAGAAAGGAAAGAAGATGAAAACTGTAAAAAATCAAGTCTGTATTTTGATTATTATGTTTTATTTTACCCTTTTGTATTATTATGATGTCCCCTTTTTTTCTGTAAAGTTGTTTTATTTTACATTTTTAAGAGCAAAAGAGGAAAGATCTAAAGGTGAATGTCAGTATGGAAAGACAAATGCAGGAAGATAAAAAAATCAACCAGAACTCCAGAAATCCCTTAAGAAGATATTAGAGACATATGCATAAAATACAAAAGAATGATGAGAAATGTCTTTATGTCTTGCATGTTTTCTCCAGAATTGTGCCAATAACAAGTCTTTCAAAATGAAGTGTTTAGAGATGAGGTAACTAAACCTGATCTTTACAAAAATCCCCTCATTGTGGTTCTTCTAAAGCTGGGAGTTGGGACCCATTTTTTTTTATTTTTTTAACCTCTTCTCTGTGAAGACTGCAGGCCAGAAATTAGGTTTTGCAACTTCTAAATAATATCCATAAAAATGAAATAAATATTTCCGTGGTTATTTGTCTCATGTGTCATCCTGTTACTGCATGGGTCCTGGCATTGTTTTAGCCATGGCTGGCTTCTACTCTCCCGAACCTGCCTCCTTGGGAGTAGCATGGGAGGGTGCCTGTGCCCTGGGTAACAATTTGGCAATTGCTGGAGAGGGGCAGATAGTTTAATTGTACAGCTGTGAGCTGTGCCACATTGTATAAAACATGCCCCAGCCCTCTTTCTATCCATGATATCCCTCATGCTAAGACATCTTGGGTAAGTTTGATTTGTAAATCAGTCCACCTAAATACTATCTATATGTATATATAGCCAAAGAGTAGTATCCCTTTGCCTTAGCCGTCTTTCTTATATGAAATAGTTGTGGGGAAGACCAAATGGGCTTCACTTTCTCTCCAATACATAGTATTGCTGATGTGTTTGAAGATTATAAATTTGGCCTCAAAATGCATGAAAAATGATGAAATGGAGGGAGAGAAAAAGTGTGAATGAATGAAACGTGAGAGTATTTATTGTTGATGAGGAAGAAACATGTATGATGTTTGCATACTACCGTCCCTGCAGTGTGAACAACCTCTGTGTGTAAACTTATCCACAGCAGTGAGGAACACGAATTGATAAACTGCAATAATTTGTTTTGCACAAAACACAGGAACCCCCCCCCCAGCATACTGCTTGATCACCCAGGGGTGGTTACAAAGTAAGCTTTCTGTTTTCTCAAGTTATCTTTTCAAAGAAAAATTAATGACTTTTGATATTTGCTTTTGTGTGAAGAATGGGAAACTGACCAAAGTGAATTCTTGTAGAAAATTTTAATTTCTCTTAAATTATTTCAAAATTTTAAAATAAATCATGAAGAAAAAACCAGCTTTTGTAAATACTTCAGTTATCAAAATCCTAGTTTTATTTTCTTCATCTTTTCATAGAAAATCCAAACACCTAAAATTTAAAAAAATTTCCTACAGCACTATGTCTCATTCAAAACACTGGATAGTAATCTACAGTTCCAGAAGAGGGTTTCTATGAGACAATCTGTTTATATATGTTTTACACATTGCCTGGTTTTAACTCTGATATCTGGGATCTTTAGCCTTCTTCCGTGCTTACTGGTAGCTAATAGAAAAGGAATTTAGCATATAGTGCAGTCTTTTACCAGAGCATCTTTTGGCATCTGCTTATAATGAAATAATTGAGAACTCTAGAGCTAAGTCTTTCATTAAGCTTTTTGTACAGTAAGGTGTCCTTATAATAGAATTATTTTTTTTTAGGCAGTAAACTGTAATTACAGAGTTTTTCATCCAAGAGTTCTACTTTTTCAGGGGATATTAATCAGTATTTCAGTGAATTAGTATAAAAAGGAGAGATTTTTGATTAATGGTCCAAACACATCAAAAAATCAGGACATATTATTTAAACAAGTCACTCAGGCACCTACCTTTATTACTTCACTTAAATCAGAGTTGACCTTTTGTGGTTCTTCCAAAATAGTTGTGGCACTGAGCAAAATGCTGTTCACTTCATCCATTTGCTTTTTTACTTTCTCAAGTTGTTTCTACAAAGAAACCCCAAAACATAAATCACATCCAATACCATTTGTGCATTGATAAAATACAGTGTCAAGTTAATTCAAAAGATAGTGGTGAACTAAACAGATTTTAGACATATCTGAAGTCTGATTTTCCCAGACATCTGTAATAGCTACATATTATAATGTGACTGTGCACTTTTTTGGTTTTGTGAAAGAAATACTGAGTGATTTTTTAAAAAATTTGTTAATTTTATTTTGTATTACAGCATAACCAGTTATTGGAATGAAACATTATTCAGTGCACTGCCAGCAGAGACAAATTAACCAACAATTTTTCATAGTGATCTGGAGATTAGTTTTTTCTGGAGTTTTTTAAAATCTACAGTAGAGTGATCTCTTTTCTTTGTCAGTAGTAAAGCATCTTCCTTCATTGTGAGGAATAATGAAGATCCAACTCGTTAAAAACAGTGAACAAATGCAACTACACACTTCAGGCTTTGCTTTATAAATGTGAGACAAGCTGCAGCTTGGCACTGTAATTATGAAACAATGGAACAACAGAAGAGGCTTTGTACTGAAGGATCACAACCTCTTATGGAAGGATTCATGAGAGCAGCACACCTGATTTCTCTATTGAATCATTAGACCTTCCACATCAGCGTGAACTTCTATCACTGTAAATTTCAGGAGCTCAAAACTCAGCCTCCAACGCTATGAAACCCAGAGGTTGGCCTGAATTTGCAAGATTATTCTTCAAATCACAAAACTGCTCCCTAACCCCCTTCTGCTCCAGAATCCAAATGAATTCAGCCACTAAAATGAAAACAGTTTCCTTCAAATGCTCCCAATTCATTCTCCTTGTCGTTTTATTCTTTGCTGAAAAAATAAATGAAAAGTTTTACATGGGATATTCTGGTTTTGCATTCCTTAAAGGAAACTTAGGAAAACGGGGAAAGAGTCACAGAACTTCTGGGAAGAGAAAAAATACTCTTTTTTTATATGGTTGATGGATTGGGTACTTTCCTGGGATAAGAGGCTTGAAAATTCAATTTCCTCATCAGCCATATGGGATTTGAACCTAATACCACCACTTAGAGGCAAACATGCCCCACTTCCATGCTGTAGGGGACAGATCTCCTCTGAGCTCTCCTCTGGAACTATTTATTTGAACAGGCCATAGGGGAAAACTGCTGTATCCTTATAACTAATCTGTTCACCAAGCACGTAGGAAGCCCAATTTTAAGGTACCTATTGTGCAGCAGTTAGACAATGGATTTATGCATGAAGGTGCAAGGACCACCATCTGCTCTTCCTGAAAAAGTGGTGATGCATTTTGTTTAAAGAGGATCAGAGAGAAAGTATGGGTGAGACAGTATGAATGAACTCAGACCAGGGCACAAATGCAGCGCAGAGTCTTTATAAATAATTGTTATCATAGAATATAATTACTTTTGTGAGCATGAGGTCCTTTCACATTATAAGTCAGTACATAATAGGTGAAACAATCCCAGCACAATATTTATAGCAGCCATGCTACATGATATTTCAAGCTTCCTGTGTTTTACTGTAATATGCCTTCCAAGGGTAGGCATAAGTATCCATCTCTTCCTTGGTCTGATGAGACATGACATGCCAAAATTTGTCATTTATTGTCACTCCACAAATAAATAAAAGTACCTTGAACTTTCACAACTTGTTTCTTAGAATTGAAGAGTCAAACTCATCCTGCTGACTGGTCCAAGAAATTCTTTTTTGGTGTGGTGATTCCTGAGTTTAACTTATGTTCAGTCTACTACTTTAAGCAATGGCAGAGATTGAGCATTTGCAGACAAGTTGTGATAAATGTACTGCACATTACCTCACGCCTTTGGAGACTGGCTGTGTTTTCCTTATTTATATCCTCCGTTTGTAAAACATAGTCAAGTGCCTGGTCTAATGCCTCCTCCAGATCTGACAGCTTCACATCCTGTTCGCTGAGCTGCTCTAGCACGTCAGATACTAGGGATCTGGTGTCATTGTACTTCTCATGAAACGCTTCAATTTGCTGTAGCACTAGGAGAAAAATAACAGGCCAATAAATCCAAAGCTTGCATGTCTGACAAAACTTACCTATACAACAATTTCTGTTGCTATTACTCAGGCAACAGTAAAACACATTTTGTAAAGCTCACTTTTGAGATCATACACTTAGATTTTAATTTTCCTTCCTCTTTTGAAAAGGAAAGATGCCTCTCATTTCCCTCTTATTTTAATCCTATTAATTTCCCCTCTGAAGTAGAAGTCCTTAAAAGAAACTAGGTCTATCTTTCCTTGCTTTTTATTTGTTTTTCATTGTCAAAACCTAGGCAGACTATTCTGGAGAAGACAGTCCTTAAGCCTCACATTCTGACTCATGTTCACTAAGCTGTGAGAACTAGACTGCCACTCTTTCCTATGCCAGCAGTTTTTCTCTCTCTACTGGAGTTTGCTGTCCCCATGGCAGAGCTGGAGGGGAAAAGACATTCACATGAGCAATTCCAGTCCTGTCATGAACCTTCTCTAAGCATCTGTTGTTGAGGTACTGCAATGCACAGGCACACGTAGATCTTTTTCTCCCCATTCTGCCATGGGGAGCAGCAAGCATCAGCAAACTTGGAGCAGGCATTTTGAAGCAGCAGCATGTCCAGCACACCAGTTAGTGCTTGCCAAATGCCTGTCTGTTCTCCCCAAGGGCTCAGCAGTACACCCAGAGCTGCCCACCCCGTGCCAGCTGTGCAACATGTGGGTGAATGGAAAAGACTGAAAACTTACACTTCTCTGCTGCATTTTCCTCTTCATCTGCAAGTTGCCTTTGATTAGTGAAAGGCTTACGACGTTTGATCTCCTTCAGCATCTCCTCAGCCACACTTTGCTTCTGGGCAACTTCTTCAGGGCTCAGCTCTTGTTGTTGTTGAATTACGAGGTATTTTGACTTGCTGCTGATTTCTGGGGGGAAAAAGGAACAGATGGTCAATTCACTGTGTCTACAGAGAAGTAAATAATGTGGAGTACTTTTACTTTTGTGAATCCAGATCATGCTGTAGGCAAAAGAAAGTTTTAATTATCTTCAACTCTATGGTAGATAATTATTATGTTTAATCCAGTTTTAAAATTAAACCTGTAAAAAACACACTTTCTGGCATATGTGGAGGTCTCATCAGAAGAGGATGAGATTAAGCAGGCATGGGATGTGTGCATTATTTGGCTTGGCAGTTCTTATAGGGTGGAATCATCATTTTATTTTGAGTTCTGTGGCATGTAGCTGGCTGGGGCTTTTATCTGGGACTGTGGTTTTTAAGTGTTGCTGCAAAAATGTTATGTGTACTAAACAACTATGGTAAGGAGAAGTGTTATGTTTATTAAATAACAACAGTGGTAAGGAGACTGAAGTAACTTCTTTTTCCATCTAAAGAAGTTTGAGGCACCTTAAAGAGGTATACTGCCTTGCTGGTTTGGAGATAGATACTATTTCAAGGTTTTGAAACAGTTCAGAACTGTTCAACACTGTTGGATCCCTGCAGCTAAATTGAGTTTACCAATCCCCAGTGTAAGCATTACAAAGTTTACCCATTTCTCACTCCCTGTCCTCGAATACAAATCACCACCTCTTTTGTACCCTGTGATGTGCATGCCTTTGGCTTGTATTTATCACTAATTTTGTGGATAACCAGAGCTGGCAAAACCAGCAATATGTATCTGTAAGATTTTTTATAAAAGATAGATGTGTAACTGTGGCACCACTTATTCTTTGGCAGAGTGTCTCTGCATGCATTTTCTTGCTGTACCCTAAGCCCATTAGTGAAGCTTTAAAGGCTCATACTGAGCACTAACTGATCATGACCAGGGGCTCCATGGATTTCTTTTTCCTTGTGCTGGCACACACACATTCTCTTCAGTAAAGAGTGGTTTGCCTTGTACAGGGTGATGCCTCTGTAGAATAATAGTTTCCATCATGGTGGAAAACCTACTTGTTTCCAACTGTTTTCACTCTCTTTATTCATAGCCATAGATGTTGCTTCTTCTATAACAGCTTAAACTGATTGTGTTATTTGTGTGCTGAACTAGATACATATCTGCCTTATGCAGTTCCTCCTGCCCCAAATCAATTAATGATGTAACAGGATGATCCACAGACATGGATCACGACTGTTAGTGATATACAACGAGGCTCATGCTGATGCTTATACTCAATAATTGTAAAAATAGAATGTGACAAATGACCAAGCAGCCAATGACATCTAGCATTAGATGTGAAAGGAGGTAGTACAAATGTAACATCCTATGAGACTGGTATTAGCCTGCCTCTTTTGTGTGGTGGGATATATGAACCACGTTTGCTGAAATAAAGTAGTGGTTGGAGCACTCGTGGAGGTAAGGAAAGCAAGGATAACAGCTGATATGTAACCACTCTTTCTTACACAAGTTGCCACATAGCTTGCAATAACTGCTAAGATAGAACTACTCAGGTCTATTAATCAAATATTTCCATTGGAAAAGGACTCTTTAACCTCAACTACCAGTCTATTCTATTCTGGTGCCATAGACAGCTTTTGTATACTGTTAGATTTGCTGAAGCCTGGGAAAACCCATGTGTTCTATAGCGGGATGGAGGCTTTCATGATGCAGCTGTACAGAGGACAGCGATATTTTTGAGTACATTCATTTTGGGTTTTATTGCTTTCTGTAGGTATTGAAGAAGAGGCTGTAATTGGTTTAGTCTCATTTTTATATATGAGGATGATAAGAATATGTCATAGATATTCCAGATGAAGATGATTATCTCTGACTAGGAAATCTTTTTTAAGTGCAGCTGTGCTTGGGAAGTGTTTACTGTTGTCATAAATTACATACTGTCCTATATATCGAAGGATAAACCCTTTGATATGTAGGACAGTAAAAATTCTTGAAGATTCACTAACACATGAAGGTTTCATTAATACATTCTTGACACTGAGCTGAGCCAGAAAGAAATCTATTTACCTTCAATGTTATCTCTCATGTTATTGAGCTGCTGCACAAGCTGAGTAGCACGGTTGTTGGTCTCTATGGTTTCCTTCTGTACCAATAAGCCTTTGCTGGATGCTTCACTTCCCTATGAATAAAACATATGAAGTAAACATTAGATTTCTTTTCAGATGTGAGGATGAAGAGTATAAACACACATTTTCTTTTCTCCTGATGAGCATGTGGAAGTCCTTTTTATCATATAAAGTGATATTTACAAAGGTGCTCAAAGTGCAGATCGGTCTTGTTGATGTTTTCAGAATTGCAGAGTGAGAGATTAAAAGTTGTCCCATATTTATCCATTATTTGCTGCAATAAAATTTTCATAAATTATGTGCAGTTGTAAAATTCCATCTGATGCCTTATTTTGCTGGGTATGGCATCTCTGAGTAGGCATATAGAATGAAGAAGATGTCAAGCCCACAATCATTTGCAGATCAGTGTCTTCCTCAAGTGAGGTCCCGAGAGCTGAATCTTTTTCGAAGTAAGAAAAAGCATGAGGATTAAAAATACTCTGAAAAGTATAGCCACTCTCCTATACTACTGTGTTGGAGGTTGCACTCTGCATTTTGTTCCCTTATAGGTAAGGGAAACAGAGAGCTACCATATCATAGTCATCTTCTTTTCAAGAAGGTTGCTGAGTTTGGGAGTCTTTAGACTTAATTTTCTATGTTACTTCCTAGGATAAAGAAAACAACATGACCACTGTGCCGTCAATGTTTCATGGGCCCTTTGGGTGTGGGTGTGTGTAAATCCACACTACATACTTACCAGTGCTAAGGTGTTTGATTCACAGTCTCTGTTGGGGCTGCATCAGCAAAATTTTCAACAGTAAAGCTGCTTTCTGGGTTTAGGGTGCCCTGATACCTCATAAGGCAGAGGATACTTGGCTGTTGGTATGCTCTCTTTGTATTTATTTGACCCTGCAAGAAGTGCGTTCTGGCTGCAGGTTCAGCGCTGAAATCAGCCTTCTCCCACATTTTCACATGGGGTTTGCGGAGGCCCCAGGTGGCATTTGAAGGCAGGGCCAGGGTAGCCAGCACTGCTAAGAGGGATGGGCATACTGATAAAACAAATGTAAAAGTTAGTAGTAAGGGTTCTGGTGCATGTCTGCCAAACATTCAGGATCAAGCTACGTGCTGTTTTACTCAAAGCTCATCCCATGCAGATTCAAGGAGCTACAGGTCACATTTACTCTTCTCATTTAGCAGGAGGTTTTGCCTGCAGTTGGTGCATTCATCCTGACTTTGGGGTTTAGATCAGAATCTGCAGCAACACCTGAGACATGGGAACATGCGTTTGAAGTGCTCCGAACAGAAAATGCTGCATATCTCTGCAAAATCCACTGAAGGCCCTACCACCCATTTTCCACTAAAGAGCCTTGAAAGAGCACAAAGTTCAATATATTCAGAGTTATTATTGTGCTCTTCCTCCCACTCTTAGAGTCTGGGGCCGTTATTTCCCTGCCTTTGCAAGCAATCACGGGTATTGATGTGGAACAAGCATTAGGAGTAACAAGGGAGAAAAGACCAGAGGAAACACAATGTATTTGTTCAAGGACAATAAAATTAAGGCATGAGCTCAGAAATCCCCAGATAGTACTGAAAATGTAATGTTATTATCCAAATTCACTAAATATTCATAGAAAACCTAATACCTTAATCATCTGACTCACCAACTACATAGAGGGACACTGAGGCATGTGAGCTCTGACAGATATTCACAGATACAGAGCTCTGTGTGTGAGCTGATTTAATCAAAGCTCTCTTGAGCACAGATGTAGTCTGTATCATTCCTAGGTGCCCTTTATACTAAGTTAACTAAACTGTTGACTAAAAACACCCAAACTCAAATTTTCTCTTTTGCTTTCCTTTGTGTTGTTTTTTTTTTCTCCCTACTTGCTCCTGTATTTGAGTTTTAGTTTAAGGTATAATTTTAATTTGTCTTGTGAAAGAATTGGTATAGTGAATATAAGGTCTGGCATTTTGCAATAAGCATGAAATATAATCTAGTACTACTACAGATGTGGTTATCTCTGATAATAGCATAGAGTGATGTATTTTACTAATATATATATCTATCTATCTTAGCAACAGAAAGATGTTTAATATTATCTTTTTAAAATAGAGAAGCAGTTCTGAACCCTATTTTTTCTCTTAACATATAACATAACAGTATCCTTCTAGGGTGCAATGATAGTGTTGTGGGATCTGAGAGCAGATAACTTTAATTTTATATAACTGGCAATTTGATATGGATGCAACATTTATGACTACAATTGTGTTAAAAATAACTTGAGCGCTGATCAGGTTCCCATCTCAGTGGATATATGAAAAACCTTATAAATTGGCAGGTTTATAATATATTTTGAAATGTTTAATTGTGGCTAATTTAGTTTTATGAGAGCATACACGTAAAATAGATATAGTACAAATGCTTCCAAAGTCAATCTGAATTAGACAGTGTCGGTTACTTCATTTAACTAGAAAATAAAATGTGAAAGAGAAAGGCAGTGTGTATCTCAGATCAAACATTGTGTAGGGGGTAAGTGGGAACCCAGATCTGAGGAGAAGCTTTTTGTGATTGATGTCAAACCTCCAACCACACTCAACACACTTTGGCCTTACCTCCTTCCTTTTCTGTGAAGAAGACTTGATAGGTCATTTATGCTTTTAATTCAGAGTTAAACTATAAAGCTAGAAATAGAAGGTTCTCCCAACTGTCTTTCAGGGCACATCCACTCTTGTTTGGTGAACGCAGAGATTCAGACTAGGTGTTAGGAAACATTTTTTTGTTATGAGGGGTCAAACACTGGAACGGATTTCACAGAGAAGTGGTCGATGCCCCGTGTCTGTCAGAGTTTAAGAAGCATTTGTACAATGCCCTTAATAATATGCTTTAGCTTTTGGTCAGCCCTGTATTGCTCAGGCAGTTGGACTAGGTGATCATTGTAGGTGCCTTCCAACTGGAACTACTCTATGCAAGCCTTTTATGCCAAGAGGTAACTATGGCAATGTGCAAACTCTCAGAGTTTTGGCAGGAGGCTATAAACAAACCTGTTCATCAAGTGTTGCTGCTTCTCTCAGGAGGTCATTCATTTCATCTGCAGCGTCTTCGACCTGGATACTCCAAAGCACAACATGGCTCTTCTTTTTGGACATTGCCTCCTGCATGTGGGGATAAAAAGTCAGTGCATCTGAAAAAAACCTATTTCTCTAGTGAGGGCAGGGATTGAAATTTACAGGAGTGGAGTGGAAATTCAAAGATTCAAATTATATTAAAAAAAAAAATGTCATCAATGTTTGTACCTGGAGATGGGTGGTAGTGAGGTTCAAGTCATTCAAGCGCTTTTGAGCTGCAAGACCTGTAGAAATGCTCAGTAAAGTCGATTTGCTTTCATCGATAGCCAGAACTGATAACCGGATGTCATCTGTCAAATCCCAAATACATTTATCGCAGCCTGGTAAGAAAATAAGAAAGCATATTTTTTCTTTAATGTTTGTGTCAATTAACAGCAAATATCCTAAATTCACGTTATAAATTCATTTTATAGTGCTCTTGAACTGTGGCATTCCCTCTCTTCATCATTGATGGATCCTGATGGATACCCATCTTTTTTTCACTTTCATCCACCTACTTCCAAGGTCCCACAGTACAGATATGATATTTCCAGCTGAGCAGCACCAGATGGAACTGCTCAAAGGGGCTGCCACAGCAATTCTGTAATCAGTAGGGAGAGAGGGAGAGGTATTTCCTGGCTATTCCCTAGGCTCTGCATGTTTGTGGCCTGAAGAATAACAGATGAGGGTCAAAAAAACCCCTGCGTTTTTTCAGAACCCAAACCTCTGTATTTAAAATTCAGTGGTATGAGAAGTAAAGATGTCCAGCACATGGGCTTTTGACTGCCTATTTGATTAGGAAGGCAGTTTCGAAAACCACAGTTATAACATGCCTGAAAAGTGCTTGTGCAGAACTATACCCTTGTTCCTGCTGAATGATTCCAATGCCACCTTGTTTTTAGTAATATTGGTGTCATCACTAAGCGCAAGAGACCTAGGTGAATGTGAAACACAGATTCCTACAGACATTTTTCCTTGATATTCTAGCAGCTCCCAAATGCTTTCCTTCTGGTTGCACTTCAGGAATATGACCCTTCTTGAGAGTCAGTTTAGGATTAATGGTCTGCATTATACCACAGATATAAATATACTAACATTTAAAAAACATCAGTGGTTAGCAATAGTTACAACATAATGCTCCAGGAAACTCTCCGGGTTTCCTATCAGAACATGGGAGATAGTGTAAAAGCAACTGACTGATGGATATATGTCAAATTGGCAATAGCAACGATCTATATTAGATGTGCTGGTTTTGGCTGGGGTAGGGTTAATTTTCTTCACAGTGCCTAGTAGGGGGCTGTGTTTTGAATTTTTGCTGAACACAGGGTTGATAATATAGAGATATTTTTGTTATTGCTGAGCAGTGCTTACACAGAGCCGAAGCCTTTTCTGCTTTTCGTACTGCTGGTGAGCAGACTTGGGCTGTGCTGGAAACTGGGAGGAGACACAGGACAGTGATCCCAACTGATCAAAGGAATATTCCATATCATATGACATCATGCTTAGTATATAAAGTAGGGGGAAGAAGGAGGAAGGGAGGTGATGCTTAGAGTGATAGTATTTGTCTTCCAAGTAACTGTTACAGGTGATGGGGCCCTGCTGTCCTGGAAATGGCTGAACTCCCACCTGTCCATGTGAAGCAGTGAATTAATTCCTTGTTTTGCTTTGTTTGCATGCATGGCTTTTGTTTTCCATGTTAAACCATCTTAATTTCAACCCATGATTTTTCTGCCTTTTACCCATTTGATTCTCTCTCTGATCCTGCTGGAGTGAGTGAGTGGCTGTGTGGTACTTGTTTGATGGCTGGGGTTAAACCACAACAGATGTATGACTAGAAACCCATAAATTAAGTTGGAATAGATAAAGTTGTAAGGGCAGTTTTCAGGGCCAAAATATTATTTTGCAGGCACTGTGGTTCAAAGTCTATGGAAATGGTTTTGGTGACATTTTCCTCCCCCTCTGCAGCTTGTACCTGAACATGCAGTCTGTATTGCAGAGTTGGACATACCCATGTACTCTAACAAGTGTGTGAGAACATGCTTAAATACTCAGTCTGCAGGTCCTTCTGTATATTCAGAAATTTAAATGCTCTGTGGGACCAAGGTCAAAGTGGTAAGTCCACTGGAGTACCGAGCTCCCAAGCTAGTATTTGTAAGCTTCTAAGTACATGAACGATATTAATTTTTGGTATTCTCGTGATGATGTTCTTACTGATGGTTGGGCAGTCTGTGTCAGTAGAAGCTTCAGGACTGTCTGCGAGGCATTCTCCAGTCTGGCTGTCACACATTCTCCCTCCACAGTTACATGCTGGGGGAAAAAGAAAGGACATTTGAAAGAATAATCTTCAAAATGTACAACTCCCCTTTCCCCTCCCAAGACTAGTGAAATAATTTTACTTAGGATTGTGCATGGATAGTTAAACCAATATCAAGAACTTCTTGGACTGATTTTCCCTTCAGTATGTAGAAAAAGGTATTTTTTTGCACTATGGTCAAAATGAACCAAATGAAATATAATGTGGAAAACAGAATGAGAACACCTCTGCTGAGATTTCTTGTTCGAAGCCTGGTTACAAGCAGAGTCAGTGAGGCCAGAGTTGCCAAGATGGGTCATTGTGCATCAGCATCTAGAGCGAGTGACGTTTAGGAGATGTGCTAAGAAAAACAGCACAACTAAAGTTAATTATTAGTTACAAGTTTCTCCAAAGCCCTGTAGAATTTATCAGCACTGTGTCAGGCTGTCACCGAAAAGGCTTTGGAGCTATCAAGGATTGATAGTGGACTCCTATTCCATCGTCACGTTGAACATATCAAAAAGTAAATATCTCCTACCACTTACAGTGAAGAATAAATGACATTTTACATTTTTTCAGACTTGAGTAAGTAACATTTTTATTGCCAGCACAAGCAGCTTTTAAAAAAGTCTATTTTTTAATCTAAAGTGTCTCTTTCAAGGTTTAATTGGCCTTTTAAAAAATATATTATTTTAAAGATTAAAGTATTCTTTGAGCACTTTGATACAATTACAAAAACTCAAGCAAAACATAAGAACAGCCACAACTTTTCTGGAATTTGTTTTGTACTTGTGATTCATGGTTTCAGCAGAATCTCATATAACAAAATATTTTACCATCATTTTATTGCAGCCCATTCATTTCTCTCTATTTCTGTATTTACATTGCACATTGCACATTCAAGGAATTATCAGTGAAAATATGTAATACAACTTCAAAGACAACATGATGCAGTAATGTTAGAATAAGTTCGTATAAGTGGACCAGTGTTAGTAGAATTAATCAGTTTTTGTACTATGTAAGAACAGAAATTGGTTATGAATTTTCTGATGCAGTTAGTATTTTGACCTTATCCCAATCTGTATGAACTGGGTGCCTACCAGCTTTTGGATCTACAAGTATTTTTAATTTGCTATTTCTTTTGTTAAGAAGTGAAAGAAAAGTCTCAGTTGAAAGCAGAGATTTCTCTTTGCCTATATCTTGGAAACCAGGTTGCCATGCCCTGATGGCATGATCACAGTTACAAAGTTAAAATTTGGTTGAGATCAGTGCTCAAGTAAATAAAATTGTGTCTTCTTATTTAAATGAATATCTGTTTACAAAAAAAACTTATAGCAAATAAATTTCAAAAGCAGTCCTGACTATTTTTCAACTACTTGTTTAAGAAGTACCACATTTTCAGTAGGGAAATAAGACTTTCAGTGCTACTGTGGTTTACTGGTGGAGAAAGCTTCTGAATTTACCTTTATTTCTGAGGGACATTGTGGAGAGTTTTGAAGTGTGGCTAAAGGATTTCTGGTTAAAAAAGAATTATTTAAAAGCAGTTGAAAACTACTGTACACAGCTACACAGGCTTTATCTTTGTACTCAAAGGAAAAAAAAGATGATCTTAGATGGATAGAGCTGTTTGTTCCTTTAAGTTTTCTGGCCTTTTTTTGTTCTATATACCCTTTGAGATGCTCTGTGTAAACCATATATGCAGATTATCTTGATTCTTCCACTAGTTTAGTTTCTGTATTTTTCAGTTTTAAAGAAGATATTTGTCTCATTTCAGAATCCATTCTAAACAATAGTTTCTAATTGTTCTACAATGCCAAACAAAGTATAAGGTTTCCCTGTAAACTACATGAATAGTTTGAATATCATGGATGTATTGATGTACTGCAATCTCTGCAGTACTGTTAAGTACAGCACATTGTCATGTTCAGCAGAAATTAAGATGAAACAAGAAGTGTGTAATTCTCTGAAACATAATACTGAAAAATCAGGATTTGCTAGAGTGAACTTTAATATTAAATTCACTTCTAAATAGAGAAAAGCTGTAGCTCTCACAACGTATCCAAGTGCCCAAGAATTTTTTATTTTTAGCAAAGACCAAGTACTACAAGGAAATCTGCTAACAAAGAGAATTACCATGTTCATTTGTAGTCTGCATGGAAAGCCTCTACAGAGAAGTCCTGTGCACCTACTTTAGGGCAAAACCAAAAAAACTATACTGAGGTGACAAAAATTTGACTTGAGTTTCAAAACTGTGTGTTCAGAGATGCCTTCCAAAATTATATATCGCATAACCTGTTTAGACACTTGGAATGCCCTGTAATCCTCAGATTTATGGCAAAGCTACTCTTAGGTGTTTGAAGCTTTGCTTTTGCCTATGGCCAGGGCACAATTGTTGCAGTTTGCTGATTTGAAGTTCTGGATGTGTTTCTCCTTCCTCATGGAATTCAGCAGTCACAGATTAGATCCTGTCATTCATTCCTTATGGGAGAACTGCAGTTAAATCATCTCAGGTGAGGTGAATTAGGCAGTGAAGTTCATAAACAAGGTTTCCTTTTGCAATCTCAAAATCACAGAGGGTGCCTAGATCCAGATAGGAGGTGAGTTTTGGGGCATTGTGTTCCCTACAACTGATGTCTTTTTAGCTGTTTTGGATACATGGCTTTGGCTTTTGGGATCACTGTACATGAGCACTATCTCTTCCTGTTCTTGTGAATTTAAACACATGACTAAGTGATGTGAGTTACATCCTGGAGATGAGCACTCAACTTCTGTCACCGGAACATAAAACCAGAAAGGATCAATAGTAATATGATATGGGGTCCCCTACAAATGAAGATAGCAGCACAAGGGATACTTGAGTACTCACAGACTCCATCTTGTGTGTCCAAAAACACATTTAAGCATTTAATAGTAAGGTCGGAAAAAGCTAAGTTCAAGTGGACAGTGAGTTGCAAAAAGGATCAAGACATTGCTAAGGCCCTGAGGCCTGTAGCTCTGTACCCTGAGGTTCTGGAGCACTTCTGAGGTCCAGATTGGGTGAGTGCTTTGTCTGTGTCTTACCTTGGAGTCAGGTGAAGAGCTAGAAGTGATCTATCTCCCCAGTTTGTGTTCTAGTCCTTCAGGGAAAGACCCTGCCATGAGGTTGGGAGGGAGCTCCAAGGTCCTTGCTCTGAGCAGCTGCATTTTGCGATGGCTATTCCTAAGTGCTTTGAAAGAGGATGTAAACTTGTCTCCCAGAGCCAAAGCAAGGACAGAAGGCATGAATTCAAAGGATTGAACTCAGAAATCGGGAGAATAATTATATTAGAGGAGATAAACCTTTGTGAACCCTCTGTACAGGTATGTTTTGGTAAGGTCCTCTGGGTAGCACTGTACCAGACTCTTAAAATACAGTCATTTCTGGTGTGGAAATACCGTAACCAGCAAGATTACACAGACACAAAGGAAATGCAGAATACATTACCAGTGTGGAAACTAGCAGAAAGGGAGTGGGCACTGGGTCAGGGCAGAAGGATGATCCTGTTCCCTTAAAAATACTTTCAAGTCTTTAACCACCATCAGTCTGAGTGGTCATATTGGGCAGCACATGGTGTGGACAAGCATAAAGGTGAAGTCTCTGTCCAAAGAAAGCTTAGACATCCTTATTTAAAACAAGATTCAGGAGGACACAACAGTGCCTACATTAATTCTGCCCAGGCACTAAAGGTTTTGGACTCTGGGATCTGAGACTTGTTCATGGGCACTGAAAAGAGATATTTCCCTGCCACTGAGAATGACTCAAGCTGAATAGGCATCCAAATTATCCCGACCAGGCAGATGGCTGGGAGCACTGCCTGCCTCCCAGGGCCACGAATATCTTCTAACTGCTTCACATATCTCTGGTATTTGGGAGATCATCCATAGATCATGCTGTGCTGCCTTTTGCTCAGCTCTGCTGGACTAAACTGAGACAATACCTGTACAGTTTTTAGCAAATCTGGCATCCCCATAGTAACCCGGAGCACATCGTTCGCACTTGAACCCGCTGGTGTTGTGCAGGCAGTTGCGGCACTGGCCAGTCACTTCATCGCAGTCTTCAAAAATCATGTTTGGATCTGAGTTGCCATTGCAGTCACATTTTTTACAAGTGCTTCCAATTAGCAAAGGGTTCCCATAGTAACCAGGGGCACACCTGAAAGGCAGAACAAACCTGTCAGGGACAAGCAATGACATTCCCATCTGCAGTACCATTTTTTCTGACCATATTTATGTTACCAGAAATTGATGACTGTCAGCAGCTACTAATGGACAGGAGGCAAATTAGGAGCTGTATTTCTGCAGAGATTGCTTTGTACTCTAATCTCAATCCATATAATTATATATTTTTCCCTTCTTGAACACCCCTGGTATTTCATACACACCAGTCTGCATTGATTTACTTTTTCTGTGTGTCTTTAGCAGTGAAATTATTTGTTCTCTATTGTTTTAAAATCTGTGACAGAATGACCTTGGCAGAGAAGCAGCTATACAGTGTTTATTTTGGTCTCTTTCAGCTTTGGATCTCACCAACTATATTGTGTTATATAGGAAACTGGGGTAAGAGACAGCATTTCATGATGCTGAAACTCAGAGGAAGCTCAGACTTATTTCTATTATAAATGTACATAAAAAGTACTGAGCAGGAAAGATTTATAGAAATACTTCTATGGTGATGTATTGGGGTGGTTTCTGGTTTTTGCAAAACAGAACAGGCACTGAACCAGACTGCGTTTTTCAGATCTGTTTGATGTTGTCCTGCTGGATGAGGGCAAAAGGCTGAGAGCAGCCAGCAGCCTGGGAAGGGAGGATTCCTCTGTTGGTTTTCAGAGGGAGAGAGGGAGGTGCATACCAAGCACCACAGGGAAGGCCTGAAATGGGTCCAAATTGCTTATTGTGTTTTGGCATGTTTGGGAAGCATTTCAGCTGAGAACTTTCTACAGCTTAAAATGGAAGAGATGTTGAAACTGTGGTGGTTTTTGAGACCCTAGACAAACCAGTGATATGAACCATTCCTGGGTGACTGGTGGCCCTAAGCTAAGAGGTAGTTACATACTTGGTCATCATTTGGGAAAAAAGTGTCTCAATCAGAGATGTTTCTGTTGATATCAGGGAGTGTCCTTAATCCTACAAGCAAGAGGAGCTTTTGCAAAACAACCAGCGAGGCAAAGAGAACTGGTACTGGTGTGAGCATGGAGCAGTGCGTGGGAGCAAATCCTCAAGAAAGGGATTTGCTGAAGGATCTGGCAGCTGAAGCAGCATGGAGCAGTGTCTGATGGACTGGAGGGGTCAGCTAGAAGGACAAGGGCAACCCACACTGTTCATGGTGTTACTGCACGGTGGCAGGAGGGCCCATGACCCAGAAGCCTGGGCCACAGAGATCAGGGACTTACACCCCCAAACTGGAAATGAAGAATTACAGCAGGGAGGGGAATAACTAGCTGGTGTAGCAATTGCTGGCTGAAGAAATTGGAGACTTGGATAGTTGCTGCAATGTCTTAGGAAAGGAGTGCCTGTTGTAGTTCATTCTGTTTTATCACCATATTGTCCTTTTCTTCCACCCATGAAGTCCTGTTTAACATGCTGTTTGTTCTGCTGTTGGTGGTGGGGAGGGTGAGCACTCAGGCAGTTCAGTTAAATTTTCCCAGATTCTGGCTTGGTACCTGAACCAAGGTCTCTTTTCTCCTAAAATCTGAACATAGTCACATTCAGGTTATGCCATGTCTGAACAATGAAAATGTAGGAGATCTGATACAAGAATTGAGGTTTGATCTGTTCTTACTTTTGCTAATTTTTTTTTAATAAAAAAGTAATTTCCTCAACACCGCTTTGTTCATGTTCCAGTCCTGAACACCCACAGTAAAAACACATAAAATTTTAAGCATCTTAATATAAACCACTTGGCTGCCTCAAATACTGCTTTTGTCAATGACAAAGGCTCTTTTTGTATCTTTGCAGTACTGCCAGAATCTTTGGTGCAGATTTTATCGTGTGGGTGACCCAGATGTAAAGAATAAAAGTGACTGGGAGTTCTGTGCATCCCTTGAAGAACTGTGAATGCTAAACTGCGTGCAGAGTGTAATTTATCTGACTTTGGTGAAGTCACTGCCCATTCCTGTGGGAGTTAGAGCAGGCAGCAATGGGTAAAGCTACTATTTAATCATGCCAAAAGTCTTGCTATGATTTGCTGATATTTCAGCCAATGTGAGACTGTAGTATTTTTCCAAATTTCAGAATTTCAGAATGTTTATGAAGCTTTATCAAGGAAAAAAACCCTCTGCGTCATTGCTGGTTTTTTTTTTTTCCTTTTTGTTTGTTTTAATCTGTAGATGCATTTGATTTATTATGAACTATATAATCTTGAAGGGTTTGGTTTTGGTTTACTGTAGTTAGATATTTTCCAAATGATCATCTGTCTAATGTGGCCACCAAGTCACAGAGGCCACTGAGCAGGGCTGGGGCCAGACCAGCCTTTTTCCTACTGCTAGCCAGCATCTACCAAAGACAGTGTGCTATCCTCTTCAGGCCTGCAATGTCTGCCCTCTCACTGGGACAAAGTAATTTTCCCTTCCTTCTTTGCTGATATATATCGTTCAATTCACTTGCCAGGAATGTAGTGGACATTTCCTCACATCCTCACAGATACGTTTTGTAAGTGCTGCTTTTTATGACCACCTGAGGCACTGGAACAGGTTGCCCAGAGAAGTTGTGGATGCTCCATCCCTGGAGGTGTTCAAGCCCAGGTTGGATGGGGCCTCGAGCAACCTGGTGTATTGGTAGATGTCCCTGCCCATGGCAGGGGGTTGGAACTAGATGATCTTTAAGATCCCTCAAAACCGGAACTATTGTGTGAGTCTATAACTCATTTTATTGTATTTTCTCATCTGGAGCAGCTGTTTAAAACAAAAAGAGAAGCTTTAAGAGCTGAAATTTAATGTGGTACTTTCCCCTCCCCCTTTGCCACTCAGGTCATCTCATAGGGCTGAGGCACGTGGCCTCTTTTGAATAATGAGTAGCATGTGAGAAGAGCAGAGGTCATTGACGGAAAACATACTGGTCCATCTCTGCACTTTATGTCCTGCAAAAATTTAGAGGCCTGAAGTAAATGTCTTTTCCTACATTGTATCATTAAATGACTTTTTGTTGCTAACAAGGGATGTTTCCTCTCCCATAATAAAACTGCTAAGCTATCTTTGTTTCATTTTGCAGCCGTAGTTTCTTCCTGTAATTACTGGTGAATAAGAAATTAACTTCCTCTTCCCCTACAATGCCAAAAGAACCTTTTTAATCTATTTGCTTTAGAAACTAAAATGTCATTTGTTCGGTTATTTTTTTAACATCTGAGCATTAACAAAACCTGCATTTCATCAGCTACCACTCTCCTGCCTTATTACTGAAGTCCAGGAGAAAAATTATTAGTTCCTAAATTTCAAGTTGGGAAGCTGGTTTTCTCAATTCCTAGCAAGGGCCTCTGTGAATTCACAGCACCATTTCCTGACAAACATAAATTGGATAAGTTCGTGCCAACCTCTAGAGCAGCACAAGAAAGCCTCCTACACAAATGCCAGAGGAAATGGAGCAGGTTGCCTCCCTGTGAGCTGTTTTGGGGATCCCACATGCTGCCTGTTGAGGGGTGTCCGGTAGCTCACTGTAATAGGGTGCCTGTCACTGACTACTGCAGAGAGCTGGGAGGGAGAATGGTGAGCAGGGTGTAGCCTTCCTCTCCCTGGGGACAGGAGTGGCTCTTTGAGCTGCAGGGAGGGACAGAGGCAATGACCCTTCTCGCTCAGGATCCTCCAGTCCTCCTGCCAGAAAGCTGATGGCCCAATAGCTGCGGTGGGAGTAGGGCATGGTGACAGTAGCTGGAAGGGTATGTGAAGTAGGGACTTGCTCTTTAGCAAGTGGACAGAGACAAGCAATGCATCATCCATCTTTGAAATGCTTTTTGATGTTTCTGACACAAATGGAAGGAGGACCAGGAGCCTACTAGAAGGCAAGTCTTGCCTGTCACTGCTTGCTGCTTACTCCAGCAATTAGCCAAGGTCTTAATGCAGTGACTAGGACAGGCTGATTTTTTCTGTATTTTTTTCTACACAGCTTTGCATTCCTTCAGACAGATGTACTGTGTCAGGCTGGGTAGTGGCTATTAGAAAACAAAGCCAATGTTATTTTCTGCTGTTCCTATGCATCTGCTGCTCATTTCACAGGATTTGTGTTGCTTGTAGTCTAGGCTGACATTTTAATAACCATTAAGAAATCTCACTGACTTTTTATTGTCTGTATTATGCTTTTTGTATAAATCTGACATTTTGGAAGAACAAAAGAATACAACCATGGGCCTGTAAATAAGGGTGGGGGTTTTTTATTTGTGTGCCATCTGTCTAAAGGGCTTTCACTGTTGCTGTCACCATGTTAGTGATGCGGAGGTAATTTACTGATGTTTTTGCATCATCTGCAAGGGGAAAAACCTTCATTCATTTGTTCACCTTACCTTTTTCATATCGATTTCTCTTTGCATCTTAAGCATCCCTTTTCTCCCTTCTCTGACAGTTACATTAAGTATCATTTGAATTCAAGACGTGCCCATTAATGACAGTTGACTGAAGACTGAAATACTTCAGACGATTTAAGGGAAAAAAAAAGATGTTCAGGAAGCCAGTGTCTGAGCCATCCTATACTCTTCAGTCTTTGTGTTAGAGCTGTTTTAATTTATTGGCTGCTTAAGGACAATTCCTGAATTATAATCAGGCCTCTGACATTCATTGAGACATCATCCCTGTATATTCATAGCAAGTACGACAGTCTCTTACAGGACATGAGGGGTAGTTATATTCCTGTTGTATAGCTCCATTTATTGGTGTAATTTGTTATTTAGAAAATATTTACTGGAAATTGTTTATGGACATGAAGAAAATATGAAATGCAACACTGGCCTATGCTTGGTTTGACTTTATTGAATTATGTCTGTGAAGTGCATTTAAAATGTAACTAAAAAAGCTGCATCTGCTCATTAGGAATTTGACTCAAAAATGGATTTTGTTCTTTGTCTTAGAAAAATTTATTTGCTATATGTTTTAGAGGGGTGAATTTCAAGAGGCATCTATGTGTATGTTATTTTTCACTTCAGCTGCTGTTTCTGATTTGTATTTTGTATTTTTAAATTACATTCATTTTAGGAAGATCACCACATGAAGGTACACAAAGTGCAAGAAATAGATCAAAATACATCAGATGTAAATATCTGTCTTATGCTGACATGTCTCCACAGCAAGTTTTCGTGGTTTTTAGTAGAAACTGAATGAGATCATTTAACAGACATGATTCAACCTGATGAAAACAAATGCTCCAGGTTTCTCAACCATGTGGGAAGATTTCCTTTAAAAATTCTGGACTTAAGTATTGCTGACCAGCAAGTCATCCTAATCTTTTTCTTACCTTTCACAGTTGGGTCCTGCATAGTTTTCTTTACAGACACAACGCACACTTCCACTTTTTCTGTAACAGGAGACTGCAAAACTGGAATTTCATTAGAATGAACAGTTAGAAGAGCAGGCAATAGCAAACACTTGGGAATGTTTTTTATTATATTATGGACATTTGCTGTCAGTTTGAAATCTGGCTTTTGATGACTCTTTGCTGAATAGGTATTAAGCTCCCATTATTCACATTATACCCCCTATTTAGTAATTTTAATTAGTATAGAAAGCACTAATTAGAATATAGTACTATGGAGCTGTATAAATACATACATACACACACATATATATACACATATATAAAAGTTCTTGTCTTGCAGTGTAAATCACACACCCCTGCAGGTTTTGATACAGACATTTTAGATAAGGGACTTAGGAAAATGTCTATGTCACGTAAACCTAATTGCTTCCTGTCTGTTATTCTAAAGGCTTGTGAAAGACACTGCAGTGACCACTTCAGAAACTGAGATTCTGGAACTGGTGCAGCAGTTTCCTATGCAAATCCAGTCTAGAAGTACCGAGTGGTGAAAACTGACCTCAATGATGCTGTCCTCATTTACAGTAACCGAGTTTACAGTAACCAAGGCTGCTCTACCATCTTTCAGAGTAAGCTGGAAAGAGTCCGTCGTCTCTTCGGAGACCAACATGTCAAGTAGTGACGCTGATTGCAGTGATGGCTTGGGCAGTAATTTTTACTGCCTTGATTCTGAATCCTGGATTCCTTTGTTTTCTTATGTTTTCAGCATGTAACAAATGAGTAACTAAATATGAGATTCAAAGAACAGCAGTAGCCAGATGTGGAAAGTGTAAATTGTATATACACTTCAAACACAGTGGTGGACATGTCTTAAATACATTTGCAGAAAAAAAGAGATACAATCCTAAAGATGTTTCTAGTTAGTTTGCAATATGTGTGAATAAATTTCTGCCAGCACTAGAAAGCAACCAGAGCAGTGAGTGATGCCAGCTGCAGGCCCACAGTGGCTAAAACACAGCTCCTGAGTCACAGGGTGTTGAGCAGCTGTGGCTGGGTTGCATCCCTTTCACACTGGACAAAAGACTCAGATCAATGGGAAAGAGCATGAGCCGTGCACTCCTTGTTCCAGGAGTAAACAGAATTGAAAGGTGACAAGAATTCCTGCATAATTTCAGTTCCTGCCAGCATTTCTCAGCTGGTTGAACAACTAGAGACAAATAAATCTGTGTCTGGATCTCTGGATCTCTCTGCTCTGTCTCAAAATATTTCATATAATCAGAGAGAACATAAAATGAGATTCTACTCACAGAATTCACAAATTAACTTCTGTGCAGCTTTTACAAGAACATATTGAGAAAATCATAATAGTTTGGCAGGCTTGCACTTCTGTTACGGAGACTAATTTCTTCATGTAGTTGAAAAAACCACATTGTGGATCTAAGTTATGAAATACAACTGAAATCTCCTGAAGTTTTATACTTTTTGTGATCTTTTAGGGAAAAAAAAGGTCATATAATTCTCTTGAGTTTGAAAAGAAATAACATCTGCTAGACTGGGAAGCAACCTCCATCCCCCTTTTTGTTATTCCAAAGAGATGACATTACATTCATGTGTACTGTCCAAAAGTTACTCCAAAAATTCCCAGGATAGCAGATATGAAGATAGCCTGGTCAGAAAATCTAGAGACACACATCTGAGTTCCTGGAAAAAATATCTATCTGATGAGTCTGTCAGTTTACAGATTTGGTCATTTTGCCTAGTATGAATTCACTGGCTATTTCCAAAATAAAACACAGAACAAAACAACATCCTTTGAATGGCCTTTAAGACATTTAATGCTTCTTTGACTTATGGTAGAGTTATTATTTTTCCTTACTATATATGGAGTAGGATTAATTAAGGAAAATTGTAAAAAACTAAGAAAGAACACTTTTGCTTTGAATTTAGTTATACAAGGCTTAATGGAACTCAATTATTATTAGCCTTTTCCAGACCCAGATGAAAACTATTTCTGTGGTCAGGTCTCTCTCATGCAGGAAGCTGAACAGGCAATTTCTGCATGTTATTTAAATAGGGGTATGAGGCAAATTGGGATGGGATATTGCTTTAATTATTGCTTTCAGTACTTTTCTGAGGGAAAACTCTGAAAAACTGAAGTAGATTTTTACTGAGGTAGTTTTAAAGGGGAGACATATCATAAAACATAGAATATTCTGAGATGGAAGGGACCCATGAGGCTCATCAAGTCCAAAGGCTATAATTGCTGCTAATGGAGAAGCATCTGCATTCAGGCATTGTGCAACTTCTGTTCTCCCTTCCCAATCCCATGCTGCTGTCCTTTTGGGTTTGGGGTTTCCTTATCTCTAGTGGTCTGAAATAGGAGAGGCATTATGTCCCTAGCAGAAGGTCTAAGGAGCATGTAGAAGCAGAGAATGCTATTTGGCCTCTGCTCCCATCTCACATAGACTGGCCAAGATAGGCTGTAGGTCAGGTCTCTGCTAGTCCTGCTGCACTGAGCCCTACTCAGTGCCTGGTAGACTGACCAGTTCCCTGCTGTCAAGGGGCACTGCTGAAGAGCCCAGTGGGCTGCAGGACTAGGCAGGGTGTGGGTGAGTGCAAACCTAGCCATGCTGCATGAAATCACAGCATAGGGAGGACAGATCAGACCTTGCTTGGCTGACTTTGCTTAGTAGAGACTAGATCTTGTGCTGTAGTGCCTCAGGCATGAGCAGCCCAGGATGTAGTTGAGAGAACAGCTTCTTATGCTGAAGCAGCTCCTCTGTGCCTAGCAGGCTAAAAAAAATCACGTTGCCAAGGGTAAAGCACTACTTCTGACTGTTCCTATTTTTTCAGGAATTACAGCTGTAACTGAAACTGGAGGAAGTAGTCTACTTCATCTGTGAGCTCACTCACTCCTAAGCCTTTCTGTAAGTGAGCAAAGCCAGGTTCTTCCACTGTCTCTGGAGGATTTTCTCTGTAATCCAGGCGTAAGCTGAAGTTTTTCAACATAGCTGTTCTCCACCCCATGGCCCTTTCACATGTCCGCAGCTCACTGCAAAAGCCAGAGTTGTTTTGCGGGAATTTGGCCAGAGTGATTTTGTTCCATTGCCAGGTTGAACCCTGAGCAGCTAAGCAAAATGCAGCTTATCCCACCTTAAGGCTGTGTGAGTAATCCTATGGCAACAGCAAACAAATACAGTGAGGACAAAATTCCCTTTACTGAGAAGCCCTGCTGAAAGCAGAATGGAAAACAATACAAGGGGAGTACGTAGCCCCCTGAGAAATAGCTTCAACCTATTGGCAACTATTTACTAGCATCTCTTCTGTGCACTATGGTGGGATTTGCAGAGATGCCTCTCTCCCAGAGCATGAAACTTGAGCAGGATGAAGTTGATGATTTCTTTCAGCTGCATTACTGATGTGCCACTCACAGTTTCTAATGGCTGCTCATAGTTTGCAGGTTTTTTTTTTTTTTTTCTTTTTTCTGAAGGCACAAAGCAGTCAGCAGCTGGAGCTCTTTGGCTTGATCTTTTTCTGTCAGGCTTCAGAGTTTCTTACCCAAAAGTAGCTAGGCATCAGCTGAAGGGGCACCGTACCTATCACAGGGTCCTCTGGTCCTTTAACTGTTACTGTATTAACCAGATCCAACCGCTGTTGACTCAGGAGACTGACAAGTTTTGCTTTTTTGTGGTTGCTTTTACCCTTCAGAGGACATGAACTGATCTTTCTGTCTCTCTGTCTCAGCCTCATAAATCCCTGATGCCACCTTCCTTGGGAATTGGACTTTAGGAGACTCTTAAAAGTTACCAGACAACTGAATAATCTCTCCTATGTAAAAGAGGGTGAACTTGAATTTGCTCAAATATTTTCTCCCCCCTCCTGGTAAAAATTTATATGAGCACTGAAGGATACTTTACACCTTCCAAGTGAAATGCTGTTTCCTGTGGTTATAAATGTGAGCAGCTGGTATTCCTCTTATATTCCCCCATTTGTCAAGAGCAGCAGCCTTGTTTCCTGCATCGAGGAAGGGATGCTGACCCCACCTTGGGAAGCGTCAAAGCCAGCCCAAATCAAAGAAAAGCAAAGACTCTTTACATACTTAGAATGTGCTGGCAGAGGACAGGGGCAGGGCTGGCAGAACGTGGGCACTCCTCTGACAACATCACCAATGAAGCCGTCTGGACACTGCTCACAGTGCTGTCCTGTTGTGTTTCTCTGACAGTCCTTCAGTGGAAAGAGAGAGAATGGTGAAAGTTAAACAGAGGTGCTGTCTAATTCAGAAAGAAATTTAGCTGAAGACCTGGCCAAGCAGAACAGTGGCTGATGCCAGACCTAGACCCTTCAAGGTACTGACAGATGTAGCCAAATCAGCTAGCACTCCTGAAAATAAAAATGCTATAAATGATTACACTGACCAGCAGCAAGTGTTGACAAGGTGTGATACAGGATAAAACAGACATATGTGCCTGGCAGGTGCTGGAGCAGAAGCAGCACTGCCTGTTGACAGAGATGTAGGAGGTACTCAGAGGTAGCTGGCAGCCCTATTTTGAACTGCTATAGCCAGCAGTGCAAAATCCCTTTTATTGATATCAAAACAAAATAAAAAATATCTGCTGGTGAATACTGGCAACAGACTTCAGCCCAGACACAGGTTTCAGCAAGGCTGCTTCTAGGATTTGGTGACTGGAGAAGAGCATCCAGAGAATCTGCATAGAGCATCCAGAGAATTTGCATGTAAATGCTGCCTGTATCAGTGGCTCTGAAATTTTTCTCCTGAAATGAAGTATTATAGCATGAAGGGTTGTGTTACCACTAAACTTGGTTTTCAGTCTTAAAGAGGTCTACTTAAGAAGGTAAGAAGCAGGAGTCTTCTGTAAGTGGCCTTTCTATGAAATACTGATCAATGGGGCAAAATGTCACTCACTTTATAAGCAAGTTTCCATGCTTTAATGTTTTTAAGGAAACATGTTTCCACATGCAGAAGAAAATCGGTCACCAGCTGAAACTGTTGGTGCTTCAGGGAAGTAAATCAAGCTGTGGTAATTCATACAGAATATATGTTCCAAAACATTTTATTTTGCTAGGTACAACATTGGGCTGCTCAGATAATACCTTTAATAACAAAAGAAGTCAAGGTTTGCTGTCATCATGGCTAGGCTTCGCGAATGAAGATTTGGGAGGTTTGCTGTAAACAGTTCTAAATAGAACTGGTAAGTCATGTAAGCTTAAGAAACCATTATTATGTTTTTTTTGTTTACAAACGGACGCATTTGGATGCCACAGATTATGTGGACTTTCCCCTAGGTACATGACAAGGTGGTGGGTCAATGGCACAGAGTTCATGACCAGTGCTCCTGCACACTGCAGGACTTCTGCAGATTCCCTTTCCACTTCAGCAAATATCCAGAAGTTATCATCAAAAACCCACAACCCTCCAAATTCTAATTGTCTCACAGAATTACTTTAAAACAGTAGGAAAGGTGCATAAAGACTGTTCCATTCTTGCAATAGTGCAATGAGTTTTGCAATGTCCCTAAATCAAAACTCTCCAGTTACAGCACTTTGTATGGATAGGAGGCTTGAGGCAGCAAGAAAACGGCTCATTGGTAGAAATATGTGGAGATCTATCAGTGCATATTTGCTGTGCGCTTGGGTTAGCTTCCTTGATTCTTTCCTCTTCTGAGCTAAAACAGGGATAATGGAAACTGTAGACTGATAGATATGATTTCCATCCCTGGTAAAATGACAGTGTCTATAATAAAGAAGAAGATTTCTGATACATGAATAAGAATCATCTGTTCCAGGAACTTCTGCCTCAGTAATCTGCTGTATAATGGTGCAAATAAGCAAGGGTATGAAGTGGAACCAGAGGGTGTAACTTATCTGGTATTTCAATAAAGGCCAACTAAGTTGTCAGGGTACTTGAAAAAAGTTTCTTTTGCAAACTGAAAGCTGATAAAGGGCAGGAAAATAAAAGCAGGATAGAACAGCTATTTTTCAGAGTGGGAAGAGTCACTATTCAGATCACCTAAGCCTTGGTGCTAATATGAGTTTTGTTCAGTATTCAGAGACCAAAAATGTAGGGTTGCTCAGCTGGGAGAGAAAGGCAGGAGGGTGTGTTTGTATAGTTATAAAGCTGGTAAATAAGTTGAATGCAGTACAATAGTTCACCCAAATTCTGCAATATAAGAACTGAGAGGCACTGAGGGTCCTCCTTGCCTGGACCTCCATTGCCGCTGCTGGAGACCATATGAGCTGTAGAGACCTTCAGTTGGGCCCTGCATGGAACCTCTTGTGCTAGGTTCCCCCAATTTATTCTTCAGCAGCCATTTAATCCCATCACAGGAGATGCTATATTGTCAGCATTCCATGTAAGAAACAGAGAAGTTGGATGTGGGATTTCAGAAGTGCTCAAAGTGGGGGGAAGCTCCCTAGCCTTGGGCAAGGGGCACTGTGGCTGAAACTTCTTTAACAGCAGCAGGCTGGTGATGGGTGAGTTCAGCTAACCAATTTTTTCACCTGAGGCAGTCTCTACAGATTTGAAGCACACTGTCTACTCCAAACATCATGTGTTCTTTGAAGAAAAGAGTATGAGAAGAGAAGAATACAATTAGGGGAGACATAATGAAAATAAATAGTCAGGCTTCATTTGCACAGGAATTCCTAAATGAGTTTTGTATCCTAGTATTGTGACTTTGATTTAGTGGCAGAATTTTGTCCTGGCGACACTGTTTTGGGTTTTGCTTGGGTTTTTTTTATATCATCAATATGCATTGAAAAGCACCATTTTAGTAAAAATTCTCACCCTTGTGAAAACATATCTGACTTTTTTTTTTTAGCCAATCTTTCTTATCTGAATTCCATTATAGCCTTCTGGTTAGGATTCACCATTTTACATCAGAGTTTTGATTCTAGAAGACTTTGTCTTGATACATGTTTTATGGTCTTAGAGAACTCATTGTACAGGAATTATTTATTTCTACAAGACTGTGATTTGGCTGGAGAACTCTACAGTAAGTAGAATGTGATAAGAAAAGGAAAAAAAGTCAATTTTTATTTCATAGATCTTTAAACAGATTAGGCAACAGTAGTTTTAGAGCTAAAGATGTTTTTTTCCTAGTCTTATTTGTGTAAGGAAGAAAATATTCAGTATACAGAAAACCAGGAAGTTATTTTAACTGAGAAGCAAAAGAGCAATCCTGTGTCTGAAGCACTGGCAGAGGCCTCAGGTGGACTGCATTCAATTGTAGCCTTCACTATGCTCTGTGTTTGATCAATTCACTTCACGTTGTTTGTCTTCAGGTCTCCAAACAACACAATGGTAATAACAGAATAAATTTGTTACTGATTTCCAAAGCTCAGATACTATTGCAATGAACAGAACAGGGCAGCAAATGCTACTTCTTAAATCTGTAGTTTTTCATCTTCTAAACTGAAAGGAAGTGATAATCGGCTCTTTTACCCAAAGTTCACCTTAGCTGAGTGTTTGAAGAACTTTTTGAGTTTTTCTCTGGTTAGTGATTATGACTTTATCTTCTTTAACAAGTCAGAACTCCTCTGAGGATTTAAAACCGTATTTTTAAAGTGATAGAAAAAGTGTCCTTATATTTTATGTTCCACTATTTTTCAATGAGATGCTGAGTGCATTAAGCCTGGGAGACATCTCTGAAGGGAGGGAGAATACCCTCCCCGAAGCTCATGGGTGACTCTCAGTGTTGAGTACACTGGCTTGGTAGTTTGAGAAAAGTGTTTTGCTTCTAAGTGGATCACTTTTGACAGAGAAATAAAGAGGAAAAAAATTAAATTCCATTTATGGTGATTTCTGTGAAATTGGATTTCAAATAAGTGCTTTGCTGTAAGAGTTGTAAGGGTTACTCTTGGTTCTGGTATTCATACATGTTTTAGAATGAAAGGCATCATTTATGGTTGATATTATATGTCAGACTATGTATGGGATTGCTCACAACTCCCCCCGTCTCAGTGGTTAATTCAAATGTGCATGTAGAATTGTAGACGTATGTTTACTCATATTGGTGTCTACTTTTTCAAATAAAGAAACCCAGTATATGGTTTTTCTTTTGGTTTCCTTTGAAAAACAAGCAGAAACCTCTAAAAAATATGCAGTAACATGTACCTTAGGACATCAGACGCTGAAGTTTAGCAGAAAATTGCTGCCTGTTTTTGTTCAGGACAGAGAGAGAAATGGCAAAGGTCAAGAATACAGGTACAACCATATAGTTAGAAATATCACAGCTAGGCTTTATAATACTCTATTTTTTTGTAAACTGTTTCAAATTACAGCCAGTTAAAAATTTAAGCTCAATTCTTTTCATAAACCCATGTTAATACTTTTCCCTTCCTCAAGAACACTTCAGCTTCAGCAGAAATAATCCAATATAATAGCAGCCTGGCTTCTAAAAGCTTCTGTGTGAGTCTACAGCATATAATAATTCATTCATCAGTACACCAGCAGCAGCTTGTCAGATGACAAAGTGGCTGGAGTGTATTTGCTTGTGGAAGAAAATGCCTTAGCTTGTCTTACCACTCTGCTCTCACTGAGTGCCAGCAATCAGGGTGAGCGTTTCTACCTGTCTCTTACTGAAACTATCTATATGCACATGAAAAGAACACAAGATGGTGCTATGGGGAGGGGGAGTGTAGGGAGGTATAATTTGGAAATGATTGTCAGCACTGAGCTCCTGAACTCATTTGCTTGGAAAGTATGGATGGAATAGCTGTTTTGAGACCATAGAGCACTTCATGTGATGCAGTTCTTCTCAGCAGATACATTTGTGCATAAATAATAATGAAAAGTTTGTTGATTCTCTTCAGGCAATGGTACCAGAACAAGTTTCCCAGCACAAGACAAACATGCTCCTGTAAATGAATATAACTGAAAATGAGAGTTGGGAATCTGCCCCACCTTAATTTAGGAACATGAACTTACAAGAGAAGAGCTCATTCTAATGGTTTTCAAATGCACCAGCTTAATTAAATGTTCCATTTAGGGAGTTTTAGGGAAATTATTTAATCAGAAATGGGGTTTACATTGCTGTGCAGTTTGTTTGTGTTTATTGCTGGGCCAGTAGAAATTGGCCTGAGGTAGATTTAGACTTCCTAAGTCATATATGCCCTAATATCTGAGGTTACAGAACTGCATAGCATTCCCAATGTCAGCACATCAGAACTTTCTACTGTCCCAAAATAATAATATTAATAAATAA